TTCTCCCAGGATTTTATCCATGGTGTAAATGTAACAGGAATACTTTCATTTTCCCATATTTGGTGAATTATAGTTGGAATGTGATTTGCGTTGTGTTTTTGCTTAATTTTGTACTTTATCAAAAAGTCATTTATTTCCCTAGTTGATGGAATTTGAAATAATTGATTGATTGTACTATGTGTTTTTAATGATTTTGCACTTATCGTTGTCTTATTTCGAACATTCGTACTCATTTTATTTTTTCCTTGACTAATTCCAACAATTACTGGTACCACATTTGGTAAATTATTCGTTGACATTGCCTGTTTAGTTTTCTTGAGCTTAGTTCTTTTAGCTTTATTCCTCTTTGTATCCCAATTATTGGATGCTGCAATACTATGGCTTACGTCCTTAATATTCTTGGCTCTGTATATCGTTGGGAATGTGAATGCCCGGTCCGCTTCCATCCTCATTCTCTCCATATATGATTCATGGTGCGACCTTGCCCACCAGAGGATATAATAAAGCAGTGTAATACTGAAGAGAAGTGTCCACCTTTGGGATGTTTTTCGGAATTTAAGTCTCACATACCTCAACATATTCCCATTCTATAGCAGTTTTTCCTCATGCATAACACAACATCAGTATTTTTATGAGCTTTATTTCAGGTATTAAAAGCTCAATACTTTCAACATTGTTTAGTCCCAGTTGTGTCATGAAATCACAATAAACATTTATGTTCTAGTCATATATATAACTCTGAAAATCAACGTTCTTAATGTTATATCAACTTTGTACTCCAGTTGTTCAACAGTTTTCCCTCAGTTTTTAACTTCAACATTGTTTAGTCCCAGATGTGTCATGAAATCACAACAAACATTTATATGTTCTAGTCATATATATAACTCTGAAAATCAACATTCTTAATGTTATATCAACTTTGTACTCCAGTTGTTCAACAGTTTTCCCTCAGTATTTAATTTCAACATTGTTTAGTCCCAGTCGTGTCATAAAATCACAACAAACATTAATATTCTTGTCATGTGTCTAACTCTGAGTTTCAATATTGCTTCATTCTTATTTTATCAACTTAAATCCTGTTTACCAATATAACATTCCTTTATGTACCTCCATTTCAAATGTATTTTAAGGCCACGTTATCAATGCAAAGGTACGAACTTACACTATTAAATATCATTGATTAACCAATATGCTCCAGAGTTAACATAGCCTGGGTGAACTTAATAAAAACTACAGTTTCATAGTATTTATATGCTACTGAGATAATTGCTACAGTACAGGTAGAGACTGCTATAGCCAGAAGGTGAATAGAATACTAAATCCTTATTAAAATAAAGGTATATTGGTGGAATATGTTCAATGTTCCATTTGACCTCAAAGGCCATATAAAATATCTTTATTACTATGATTTTAAAGAACTGAATACTTGTGTAATAAATGTATATATAGTAAAACCTGTAGACGGTGAATGGAAGGGATCAGCTCAAATGATTCATAATCTACTAAAAATTGCTTAAATGAAAAGCTCCGATACATGGAAGCTAATCCAATGTGAAAGGCCTAAAACAGACAAAGTGTTCACATTTCAAGGTGTTGATATAGAGAGATGTTCATATGTACAGGTCTTGCTATATTGCTCCATGTATTTGTAAGGTTTTCAATAAATGCCCAAACACAAGTAGCAATCTGACAGGTGCAATTTAGATAAAAATATTAAATCTGCCATTTTCATTAATTATTAACAATATAGTCAACTTGTTTTCCATATAAGGCTAACAGTAACAAATAAATATTCTGATAACAAGTCCCTCTTTATCAAAAACTCTCTTCTTGGGATAATAGAGGCTTAATGTTAAATGAACCTCTGTAAATGGAACACCTCCCAAATGGAACACTTTTTAGAGGTGTTCCACTTAGGCGAGCTTTACTATATATGTAAGGGGTCACACAAACTATCAATGTATTTTTCCACTGAATACTAACAAGCCTCAGACCCGCTCAACCCCCTAACATACCAACACTAAACCTTGAAAGACATATTCTAATAGCATGTGAACTCCCAACATGCAACTTCATTATCCTCCATAAGTTTTGAGAATCGGAAGTACTATTTTTGAACGGTTGTTTATGTTTTGCGAGAAAAAAATTCATTAACATTTGTCATAAACTTCTGAACTTACATAATTGCATCCTCCAACTACAGAGCCAGAATATCTTCTTTTGGGAAGAAAGAGGAACGAGTAATATAGCCCTATGTAAGGAAAGATGTTGTCACCACCTACCATTTGTTACAGATGCAGATTGCTGCCCAGTGAACACCTGATGCCAACCGACAAACACTGTCCACAAAAAATTGGACTCTTAACAATATGACAGGTTTTGAAATGCTATCCAATGCAAACTTCCAGTTGCCAAACTTATGCAGGGGGGTGTATGTCTCAACCCCTTACCACCCCCATATGTCATAGTGTAATAACTAGTCATGTGTGGAAATTGTCATCCTCCTAAACAGGTGTCCAGAATCCGTACCTCCTTCTTCCCCCTGCTATAACCAAGTTGGAAGCGCCCAATCAAACTGAATCACGTGATCTAATTATGCGCCGATGACGTATACATGATTGTTGCGACAGCGAATCAAATTGCGAGTTCTTAATCGGGGAAATGCTAACTGCTTATAGCAGGGGGTAAAAAGAAAGAAGTATATCTATGGAGTATCTTATAAAGGAAAATTATTTGAAGATCAATTTCAAAAATGGTTGGTAATTTTCATTGTTGGTTTTATAATTGTGTCTTTTTATAATTGTTCTTCAAATGTTGTCACATGTGATGATTATGACAAGGCATGTATGCAGAGACTCATACACCTGTCAAAGTAACTCATTTAAGATCATGTAAGCCATGGTCACATTTCTGGGTTAAGGAGGAATATAGGAAATGAAAGGTAACTTTTACACCTCTTTGACATTGATTTGATTAAAATATTTTCAATTCATAACTATGAGTAACTCATATGATCAACTGACTTGAACACAAACCTTCACTGAAAATATCAAAGTTTGAAAAGAATACCTTCTCCAAAGTTAAGAAAACTACTGCCCTTTAAACGAGTAACAAGGCACTCAGTGATAGATAATCGTACATGAAGAGTAAAATGGCTATCTTGTAAATGAATTCTCAAAACATGATCAGATATTGGCACCTGATCAGATCTTGGCACCTAAGTCTGCTTTTGGATCTGTAACACTCAACACATAAATGGTCTCATTGCTATCTTGATTATAATAAATACACTTTTATTTTCCATTAAAAGTTAGAAAATTTGAGAAATTTGCTCTCATCTGGCATGAAATTGCAACTCATATCCTCCATTGTTTCGTGTTTATTTCCAATAATTAAAATCTATGTCACACCATTTCTAGTTTTCTACATGTCAATCACTTGTCACATGCATACTTCAATCCCATAGTGTATTACATGTATATACTGCATTGTTATTTCAACAATATGGATGTATTATCGTTATATGAGACATACTACAATGGACCGATAGATACATGATAGACTTGCCATTTCCAATTGATCTTATTCCAAATTCTAACTCATCAAGAATCATGATTCATTGATGAAAGGACCAACTGCACAACAATCTATAACAACAATAGCATTTATGATTTGTGCATGAAATTCAAATGAATGAACTCAACATATTTTATTATTTGATAAATATTTAACAAATAGGCTATTAGTCCTACAATGGCCTACATGTACATAAATAACAACATTATGATACCTTTCTGTCGTATTGAACTTTACTGAAGGAGACAGAAACACAAATTAAATGAAGAATCGGAGATTAAAAGCGACTTTTCCAAAATGAAAAATGTGTCAATTTGATGATCTTTTTTTTAAATTCGGTTCCTCATGCCTATTTTAAGATAAGGCATTAGCATGCAAAATGTCATCACCTGCCATTTGTTCCAGATTCAGAACACCAATCGCTGAACACTGTCCACAAAAAAGTTTGGGATCATAACAATATGTTTATAATGTTTTATTAAAGGGATAATAAAGATTTTGCAGTTATGATTTGCAGCTTTTTATTAAGAAGAGTTAACACATCTCATCTCATCTTTTGGACCGTGGACCTTTCATAAGAAACTATAACACATTGGTTGTCCGATTCTTCATTCAAAAGGAAAATAATACAGGCCCTCTCAGGAGATTCATTGGTTATTTTGAATGAGTTCACATTGTACTTAAAATAGTATACATGTACTTTTGCTGATATGCAGAAAATAATGATTTCTTATATCTGTTAGTTTAAACTGAGTTAGTGAAGACATCAAACCGACTATGCCAGAAATTAATTATGCAAGTAAGAATGTGTTTCAAATAAACTTGAAGCTACTATAGCCTAGATGTATATGTACATGCATTATATGCATATATACTGGTTTTGGCAATTTAAACAGTGAAAAACCTGCTGTAGAAATACTTATTTTGACTGCATATGTACAGTTATAAATAGTATGTATATTTATACGGATTTTGGAAATCTAAATGATAAATCTATGACAGAACAAGTTCTTTTTGGCAATGTTTTTGATTTTTGAATTCATTTTGGTTTTAATACTGTTTACAATTGTTCTGCAACTGTGATAAAAACACACATTTTCATAAATACTACATTTCAATTGTAACCAAGATCGTACATCTAAATAAGGATGATAGGGTTTTGACCACAATGCCATCTATTTGAGGTTTAAAATCTATATCTAACATCCATTTTAAGCTTGGCCTTGAAAATGTTTACAACATTTGAAGCTGAAGTTCATCATAGCTTCAAGTTGGAAAATTGTAAACATTTTCAAGAGTTTAATATCCTATTTGGCATACCATATTCTCTCTAATGAGCGCACAGATCCAATAAGCGCACATGTGACTTTTATGTTGAATATGGTCTCAAGTTTCATGCATCAATTTTGATTATGTACACAAGATATCAATTGATGATTATATTTAATAAATACAGGAGCAGTACAGAAAATAAACCTTAGTAATAACAACTAAAAAGATTATTTTTTGCAAGCGTGATCTTTCAATATTTTACCCTTTTAAATTTCAATTTGGAATCTGTGCGCTTATTAGAAAGAATACATTATAATAAATGCATGGTCTGTTATTGTACATTTAATACTTTCTTGACAGTGTTCACTATATTATGGGCCTGTGGTACAGCATTTAATTCAAGAGTCTTAGCATAGGGCATGGGGACATCCGCCCCTGTTACCCTGACAACTGGGGAGTCCAGATAGTTGAATGCTGGACCTGGAAAAAAACAATTTGTGAATTTTATTCATAATAAAGACGACAACACCTATAAATGATTTACATTCGTAAGATACTCTTAAAAGATTCAGATCAGGTCCAATCATAAAATAACTATATTATATAGTACTATAATAAATAAACTTAAATATACATTACAGGTTTGCTTTTAAAATTGTCTTATAGTGGATCAATTTTAGTGAATACCAAAAACCGTGAAATTGTTCTTACTTTCAATAATTCTTGCACAGATCTCTGATCCAATCCCACACTGGGGCCAGCCACCTTCAACTGTGATGAGGTTATTAGTTTTCATGACTGACTTCACAATTGATTCTTCATCCAGAGGACGGACAGTTCGTAGATTAATCACCTAAAAACAAAACAAAATACATAGAGAAATATAAGAACAATTTAAGAAAAATCACAACCGCTTTTAAGATGTATGAAAACAGCAATAATACAAATTGAGTTTGAGTATGAAAACAGCAATAATACATATTGAGTTTGAGTATGAAAACAGCAATAATACAAATTGAGTTTGAGTATGAAAACAGCAATAATACAAATTGAGTTTGAGTATGAAAACAGCAATAATACAAATTGAGTTTGAGTATGAAAACAGCAAAAATACAAATTGAGTTTGAGTAAGAAAACAGCAATAATACAAATTGAGTTTGAGTATGAAAACAGTAATAATACAAATTGAGTTTGAGTATGAAAACAGCAATAATACAAATTGAGTTTGAGTATGAAAACAGCAATAATACAAATTGAGTTTGAGTATGAAAACAGCAATAATACAAATTGAGTTTGAGTATGAAAACAGCAATAATACAAATTGAGTTTGAGTATGAAAACAGCAATAATACAAATTGAGTTTGAGTATGAAAACAGCAACAATACAAATTGAGTTTGAGTATGAAAACAGCAATAATATACAGTCATCAGCAATTGTAAATCAACCTGACTGGCAAATCAGGAATAAATCATTTAACCAGATGCATTATTGCATATAATTAGGCATTTTAATGCATCAAAAAGCTGAACACTGTATTCTTTGTTTAGCTTTAGAAAAAATCAAATTCTAAACAAAGGTGGTTTCCAAAAGGAGTATCCTACCTCAGCATTTATTCCGGCTTGTTCGAGTTCTTTAGCTGCATCTAAACTGATTCCCACGTATCGTGAATGGCTGACTATTGTTATATGATTACCTGCAAGCAAAGTAAACATTCCACTTTTATCTATTTCATAGGGATATACATGTACAACACAAGGATTGTCCAAAAAGCCCAGGGCTTCAATTGCTGCAGGGAATTTGGTTATCTTTTGTTGCTCTCCCCAATTTTCAACTCTACAACTTTACCTGATGTTTCTCCAGACTGTAGTGTCATATTTATATAAAGTTCTTGAAATAAAAAATTAAAAATATCTGCAACCAAATGACCCAAAATGAATAATATCTAATTGAAAGCATATGATAATAACAAACCTGGATTTATATAAATTGCCTTAAGTATATTGGCTTCTTACCTTCTTTTTCTATTTTAGCTTTTCCAATAGGGATGGTAAAATCTTTGGACATGGCTTCATCAGACATGTCAAATGCTGTTCCATACATCAGCTCATTCTCAAGGAATACCACTAAAATAAGATAAAATGGCATTGGAATTTTTATTACTTATATCGTCGATTTAACTTTTTTATTGTAGCATACACAGTTTTTTTTTATTGTGCAACTGTACAACTGTTATTTGAAGGGAGACCTAAGTTGAGGATCAATTTTCAAATTAAGATTTTTCACTTTTAGCTCCCAAATTTTTGTCAAATGTGTCAACTTCTATTGGAAACACTGGTATTTTATTTCTTTGAAATGCAGCAAGCATTCAGTAGAAATGTCATCAACTATATGGTGCTAAATAAAATTGATTAACCTTAGGCTAATTCCCCAATCCCTATGATATAACTTCCAAACTAATCAAAAATTTCATTCATTTAAAAAATTCAATCTCTGATTGAGGCAAATGTTCTACCTGGATTATTGTCACGTATTGCTGACTTCAGCAAACCTTTGCAATCTTCAGAACTGTAGGGAGAAATGACCTTGAGGCCTGGACAATGGCTGTACCATGCTGCAAAACACTGGGAGTGCTGTGCTGCAACACCAGCTGCTGAACCATTGGGACCCCTGAATACTATGGGCACAGGTACCTGGAATAAACCCAAACTGAATAATTACCACTTCATTAGTTTTGTCATACCAGTACACAAGGTGGTTTAGACGAGATTGTAGGATGAAAACTCCAAACTTTAATGGAAAGTATATCAGACAGTTACATAAACATTTATAGTATGATCTGCAAAATGAAGCCCTCTGATTGGTCAGTTCTTGTGCTATACCAATCTGTATTGCTACTGAGGTTGTCCCCGTTGATCAATACAGAAAATATTGGTACGGAGGGGACAATCTCAGTAGCAATACAGAAGATCACACGAAAAAAAAACGTTATTGAATGATTTGAAGTGCAATACAGGATATATTCTGTCTCAATATTCTGTATTGGCACTCGACTTCGTCTCGTTCCAATACAAAATTTCTCGAAAAGAATATATCCTGTATTGCACTTCAAATCATTCAATAACTTATAGTACAAAACTGAAACATACGTAACAATACATATACTAGTACATACAGAAATAAATTTTGTTGAAATTTATATGAGTTAAGCACAATTTAAGTTACCCAGCTAGAAATAAATTGTAACATAATTGATCTTTTACTTATAACGGTGTACATAAAGTATTTCAAGTTCATTTCTCAAAAAATCTATTCAACTGTTACCTCGCCAGCAGACATGTAGTAAGTCTTTGCCGCAGAGTTGATGACATGATCAATGGCTTGCATAGAGAAATTGAACGTCATGAATTCACAAATTGGTCGAAGTCCAGCCTGAAATGAGAAATTAATGCATCAAAGAGCATATAGTCTAAAATAACCTAGAAAGTTAAGTTTAATTCTTGAACATAATTTAAATCTCTTGATGAGACAACAAGAAATAGATGGCGCATTCAGACTTCTCTGAGTATCTTACCCTTTTAAATTCCAATTTGGAAACCGCACAGTGCACTCATTAGAGAGTATATGGTAAATACATTGTACTGCCGAATATGGGCATATAAAAAGTAGTATTTACCATTGCTGCACCAACTGCCAGTCCTGCAAATCCCATCTAGAACATAACATGAATCACCATATAATATCAATAACATAAATACCAAAGTACATAGAATAACTTGAAATATCAAGGGAAAAGTATGCAAATCTGATACAAATAAAAGTAGTTTTCAAATGTATTTGGTTTAAAGGATGAAAAAAGATGAACTATATGTCAAAATATAATACCCAAGCATCAGTTGGAAATTGAAAGCTCCAAATTGGTTTTTGTTTTCTCCAGGAGTCAAAATTACTGTCACAGGTGTGTCAAATTATTAACACTTTATCAAACAAACAATATCAAATGATTGAAATATAATGTATCAATACATTCAAGTCATTTCTAATGAACATTTTCATTTTCAAAAATAGTGCAGTAAACAAGTGCTATAAAATTATTATACAATTTAGAAGAAAAAAATGTATCATCAATATATCTTAAAATCTTATATGAAACCTCATATTTATTAATTTATTTATCTAAATAATTGTAGTAAACAGGCATTTAACTGCATTAACGCCCAGCAGCAGTATAAGTAAAATACAGTATTTAGTTTTGCGAAATCATCAAAAATACTAGTACACATGCAATTTTTAATGTAAAGTACCAATCATTACGCATTAAACATCCCCCTCATTGTGAATTTTAGGAATTCTTACTGTATAACTGTAGAACTGGATAATGAATGGTACGTTAATCAAATTAGTCGTTTACCTCCGTGATTGGTGTGTCAATGACTCTCTTGTCTCCCCATTTCTTCCACAATCCACGACTGACCTAATGGTAGTAAATAACATTAACAGGTTAGCATTAGATGCACTGCAAAGCGTTAGTATTTTCACAGCTTTATTTACTATGGTCTTGCTTATGAGAATGTTGAATACCGATGAGGTGTACCTGAACACAGTCAAGCATGAAGAGCTTTTGTTACAAGTCCCCCACACTCTCTTCATATGACAAATGAAATAGAGTGAGGGACAGACTTGATGCAATAACAAAGCAATGATTACAATTTCCTCTTATTTATTTACCATAGTCTAGAGTCCATTTCACTGTTTTATTGCGTCAGTAGAACCCCGAAAATAAGAAATCAGGAGACCATTGTGCAATAATATATGGAGAAGTATATTCATATTGTACATGAATGGCTTTTGTATATTTCAGATTTTTAGTTTTTTGTGCAATAAGCCTGTGCCCTCTTGTAATTTGAAGAATTTCATCCATGTTATCTTATTGAAAATAAGAAGCATCCAAATATAAGAGGCCACACACTTTATAAACCAAACTAGAAGCAATCCAAGATATACAAATGTCATTCATGTACAATAGGAATATATTTTTCCATACATTATTGCATAATGATATTTTGATTTCTTATTTTTTAGGTTTTACTGACGCAATTAAACAGTGAAATAGACTCTAGCTTATGAGAATGTTGAATACCAATGGGGTGAACCTGAACTATATGAAGCTCGATACACTGTTCCAGTAGTCCAAAGGAACATGTATAAGAAAAGTTGTAAAGTTAACAAGAAGGCCGTATAGCTACTAAAAATGATGAAATGCTTAGACCAGTATTTGATAGAGAGACCTAGTATTGTTATTGCTGAAAGAGTGTTACCAATCTTCAAGCTGCTAAAATAACTAGTAAACCGAACAATGTCAATATAATTTAATTACAGTATAAAGTAAGCTGGTGGTTTTAGTATGTACAGATAAGTTGATACATTGATTCTATGACACATCCTGTCTTCAACAATGCAGCATATAAATTGAAGCATTCTAATTGGAATATTGCTTACTAATTCATCAAAGTTAAATCCTCACACATTCTCTCATAATTGATATCTGAATATTTTACAAAAGTTTGCCATGATTATTTTCACTCCTTAAAATGCTTCAACTTACACAAACAAGCTACATATTATGTTTCAGCAATAGCATTATCAACAACTCTGCTCTTACTTCAGTGATTGGTGTATCAATCACTCTTTTGTCACCATACTTTTTCCAGATACCCCTTGAGATCTATCAGTTATGAGATATTCATAAAGTATACAAAATACATGTACATAATGTTTTAATCTTAAAGGAATATTCCTTGCCAGACCATTTTTCTTCTTATATGGTTGCCATAACCATATAGACACTTTTCATAATAAGAAAAACATGGGAAAATATTTTGATATGATAACTATTGATCTTTTAAGATATCAGACAGGAAGTGATGTCATTGACTCTCTGTTTTGCATATAGCATGAGGCAAGAGATACGATGAAAGACAAAATATTCTTTTTCAATTTTGTCTATGATTTAATCCTTCATATGATATCTTCTTTATTTGTGTCTTGACAAGCCCTGAAAATATTTTTGCATAGAAAGTTAGAACCATGAGAAGTTAAAGTAACTTGTATTTTTATTACTTTCCTATACTGTCATTAGAGGAAATCATATAAAGTTGAGAGTCAAAGACATCACTTGCTATGTGAAGTCTTAAAAGATGGCGGCAGCCTACTGGAAATGAGTGCTACATTTTTGAATTATCAATATTGACAATATCAAAACATTTCCCACATTTTGCATAATATGGAAATTATATACAATATCAGGATAAATGATCTAGCAAGGAATGTTCCTTTAAGGACACGCTGCATATGTAATACAATGTAATATAATAGAGTGCAAGATAAACACTGCATCATGCGAGCATAGAAAGGCATGAGAAAGGCAGGTGAGGTGAAGAAAATTTGCCAACATTTTACAGAAAAACATCAAGTTAAACATTTTTCAATTTAAAATTTGAAAATGTCCAATGATGACATTATATTCAATTCAATATAGTCACCAAGGCATATACATTTAATTACTCTAATGTGGTATATAATGAACTCTTTCCCAAATACCCTATGCTAATAAAACCTTAGTTTCATTAAGAGTTGTGCAAAATGATGGGACATACAAGGTTTGGAGTTCACTTCACATGTCTTGTAATGAAACTAAGATTATATTAACATAATGTATTTATGTTGATATAATCTGAGCACTTTTCAAGTGAATTTGGTCATTTTTAGGCCAAATTTTTGTCAAATGTGAACCCCACTGGAATTTTTAAAAAGTGAACCCCCCTTGGCAAAAGCTGGCTAACAGGCCTGTTATATACAACATTAGAGTAAGAGTAAGCTTAACTACTGTATTTCTCGTACATCAATAATCTGCAAAAGGCTAATGAGCCCATTTAAAAAAGATACACAGTGAAACAGTGGTATAATTTAAACTGTAACATTTAAAAAATAGATCTATGGTTTGGTTTCAACTCATTTTAAAATTGTAAGGAAACTTTCTGGTTGGCTACTGCATTGACATTGCCCCTGTTTAACAGTGGTGAAGGCGTTGACATTGCCCCTGTTTAACAGTGGTGAAGGCGTGTTGCTGTGCAACGGGGACACTCTACATAGTGATAATTTACCATAGACCTATTGCTAAAATACTATACAACTGAGCTTAATTTTAAAAATCAAACAGACTTAAAAATCACTCTGTATAGAGAGTGAACCATTTTACTATTGTCCGTGGAAAGAAGCTGAACCTGTATGTATTATTCTGGCAGTTGGCTGAATGAATTTAGATGGATGAAACTGTCTAGTGTTTGTGTTGGTTTGAGGGCTGATGGGTATGGAGAAGGCAGCTAAGTTCTGAGATCTTTTGTCGAAAAGGACAAGTCTGAAAGCCTCTCTTCGAGATTGTAGCAATTCCCACAGTAGGTGTTGGAAACTGAGTTGGGTCCTCATCAGTGAATACACTATTATATTGTTTATTGAGGATGTTGGCTTTCTGTATAGCATCTGTTATTTCATTGCCATTGCTATCCCGTAGTACACTGATACCCGATGTGTACATGCATTTGGAATCAATATAAGTCCAGAAATGCTTTGTAATGCTCTTGCGTTGTGTCCATTGGGCATCTCCTTTTTGTTGATATCGAGAAGGTCCTTGATGTAGTATTGAAGTTCTTTGCAAATTTCACTATGGATTAATTTCCTAAGAGATTCTAATTTAAATCAGTGGTTTCAGTATGTATGTAGGTAAATTATATGACAACTGTAACATACTCCTTTCCGATTCTACGACACTTCCTGTTTTCAACAATGCAGCATTTTAAATTGAAGCATTACAAAGTATGGAATATTGGTATAAACCAAGTTTTATGTCATTTTATCCAAGCAAAACTATACACCCCTCGTGTTACTGGCAAACAGAAGGTGTATTTCTAATTCGATGATATGTGAGCATTCTACAAAATTTGCCATGGTTATTTTCATTCTTTAAAATACTTCAACAAAAAATATACTAACACAAACAAGCTACATATAATTAGCATTATCAACAACACTCCTCTTACTTCAGTGATTGGTGTCTAAGTTACTCTTTTATCACCAAACTTTTTCCAGGTACCCCTCGAGATACAAAGTACACATAAATAAAATCTAAATCTTAAAGGGACACGCTGCATATACAATTTCATACATAAAATCTTAATCTTAAAGGGACATGCTGCATAATGTAATATAATATATTGAGGAATAAATGCTCCATTATGTGCGCATAGCCAGGCATAAGGCAGGTGAGGGAGGAGAGGTAAATTTGCTAACAGCCTTGTCATAATTTTACAGAAAATATTTAGTTAGACATTTTTCAATTTAAAATGTGAAAATGTCTAATGGTGGTAGTGTATTCAATTCAAATTTGACTCATCTTTTTATATTTGCCATGCCTCTTTTAAGATCCTGGCTACGCTGCTGAAATGTACATAGCATAAACATATTCCACTTGGAGGGTGTTCCACTTACCGAGTTCATTTAACATTAAGTCAGTTGATTTGGGACTCTGAAATATATTCTACTAACAAAGGTGTTCAACATCTAGAGGTGTTCCACTTTATACAGGTTTCACTGTATCAAGTTCAGTAAAAAGAATTTATGTTCTATAATATTGCTCAAAGTGTCAAGATATACTTTTAATTACAATAACTCACCTGTCAAGTCTGAATTTAAATCGAGAGAAATTCTGATTTTTTGAGCTTATCCCGACTTTTTACTCAAAACCCTAATTTTCCCAAACCCTGATTTTTAGGAAAATAATCCCAATTTTTATCAAAACCCCAAATTTGTTAACAAGACACCCCGATTTGTCATGGAAACTCCCAATTATAGCTATCATTCAAATCATCTGCTTCTATATTCATGACACTTTAAAATAGCTATAAGAAAATACATCTAATCAACACTCATAAAAACTAGTTAAAATAACCTGTGCTAAAACTTTTGACCAATGAAATGAGAGCTTATAAAACGTTAAGTTTTGGTGTCAATTGTATTTGAAAAAGTTGCAAAATATATAGGACAAAACCATGAATAACATTGATTGTGGTACATAACACCAAAAGTTCTCCTGATTTCTGAATATAAATCCTGATTTTCCAGAAAAAAGGTTTTTTTCAAAAATCCTGATTTCTCTTGATTTTAGGAAAAGAATATCCTGATATTTATTATTTTGCTTTGACAGGTATGCTACAATGTGGTATATTTTCCCAAATACATTATGTTTAATATAATCTTAGTTTCATCATGAGCTTTCAAGAGAAGGGCATCATACTCTTTTTACAAACATGTTAACTTCGAAATGAGCATTGACTGGAAAATTATAAATAAATAATAGTATTAACTTCAAAAAAAAAAAATTGAATATGATTAAAGCATAAAATGTTTTATCTCATCAACAAAAATGACCAGAAGAGGAGGTCTCAAAAATATTTGTGAGAGAACTCACACTTTCATTGCTTCCATAATTATGGTGAAATCAATTTTGCATTATATAATCAACATGCATGCATATAATCATGTTTTTATTTTGGAGTTATTTCTTTAAATTATACATGAAAAGTCCAAATTATTTTTTTCTCGAAATATGTACAATAAGTATTTTTGAAATCGCAATGCAATGCTCATGTATGAATAATGTGAAGTTGCGTACCCTTCTCTTAAAGCCCATGGTTTCATTAAGACATGTGAGAAGTTACTCCAAACCTTGTATGCCCCATCATATTGAGCGACTTCTTCTCCTAGTAGGAAGACCTTCTCTTCTCTCTCCATCTCCTCATCTATAGCAGCATTCAGGGCATCCCTTACTGTCAGCTGAAAGTAAAAGAAATTTAATTCAACCAATAAGCAAATCAAAACATTAAACAAACAAGGCATTAACATGACAAAATGTCACCACCTAAAACAATTTGGTCAATTTAAAGCAAGTTGGAAAATACCTTGTGACATTAAGAAGGTTTGATTTGAACTTCTTAGAACATGTAGATGATTTTGAAAAAAAAATTCGTCAATTTGAAGCAAGTTGAAAAAATACCTCTTTGACTTTTTTTGACATTGAGAAGGTCATTGAAGGTCAAATGTCAAATGTAAAGTCAGATTTGAACTTCTGAGAACATGTAGATGATTTTGAAAAAAAATTAAGTAAATTTGAAGCAAGTTGAAAAAGACATTTTTGACCTTGAAAAGGTCATTGAAGGTCAAATGTCAAATCTAAAGTCAGATTTGAACTTCTGAGAACATGTAGATGATTTTGAAAAAAAATTAGTCAATTTGAAGCAAGTTGAAAAAAGACCTTTTTGACCTTGAGAAGGTCATTGAAGGTCAAATCTAAAGTCAGATTTGAACTTCTGAGAACTTGTAAAGTCAAATTTGAACTTCTGAAAAGATGTAGATGATTTTGAAAAGCAAGTTGAAAACAGACCTTTTTGACCTTTTTTGACCTTGAGAAGGTCATTAAAGGTCAAATGTTAAATCTAAAGTCAGATTTGAATTTCTGAGAACATGTAGATGATTTTGAAAAAAAAAATTAGTCAATTTGAAGCAAGTTGAAAAAAGACCTTTTTGACCTTTTTTGACCTTGAGAAGGTCATTGAAGGTCAAATTTCAAATCTAAAGTCATATTTGAATTTCTGAGAACATGTAGGTGATTTTGAAAAAAAATTTAGTCAATTTGAAGCAAGATGAAAAAATACCTTTTTGACCTTTTTGACATTGAGAAGGTCATTGAAGGTCAAATGTCAAATCTAAAGTCAGATTTGAATTTCTGAGAACATGTAGATGATTTTGAAAAAAAAAATTTAGTCAATTTGAAGCAAGTTGAAAAAAGACCTTTTTGACCTTTTTCGACTTTGAGAAGGTCATTGAAGGTCAAATGTCAAATCTAAAGTCAGATTTGAATTTCTGAGAACACGTAGATGATTTTGAAAAAAGTTTTTAGTCAATTTGAAGCAAGTTGAAAACAGACCTTTTTGACCTTTTTTGACCTTGAGAAGGTCATTGGAGGTCAAATGTCAAATCTAAAGTCAGATTTGAAGGTCAAATGTCAAATCTAAAGTCAGATTTGAATTTCTGAGAACATGTAGATGATTTTGAAAAAAAATTTAGTCAATGTGAAGCAAGTTGAAAAAAGACCTTTTTGACCTTGAGAAGGTCATTGAAGGTCAAATGTCAAATCTAAAGTCAGATTTGAACTTCTGAGAACATGTAGATGATTTAGAAAAAATTGAAGTCAGTCTAAACAGTATTTGTTAAGTTATAGGAAGTTGTAAGAAATTGTTACAGACGCCGGACGCCAACCTCCAACCACCAACCGCCGTCGCAAAAAAACGGAGACCATAACACTTTTGGTGGTGACATAAAACAATATGTCACCACTTTTGGTGGTGACATAATGAAGTGCATGTATCTAGATTGCTATAAACACAATACAATATTATATAATATAATGTATGATATCGATATGAAATATATGTTTATGTTGCATGTTAGCTAATATTTAAAAGTGGGTTTAATTCTAAAAATTAACTTGTTAAAATCAGTTTCTTTTGTCCACTGCTGTTGTTTTCTGAATGATTAAGACCTACATGTATGCTCAGTTAAACCCGCTAGCAGAAATAGATTGAATACATGTACAACCCATTTCACTGTTTTATTACGTCAGTAGAACCCCAAAAGTAAGAAATCAGGAGGTTTTACTGACGAAAAAAAGTGAAATGGGCTGTACTTCTATATCTTCAAGATTCTTACCAGGCATTCTATATGTATGTTTGTTTATGTCAATTATCTGCAAATGACTATAATATGCCCATTTGAAGCAGATATATAATTAACAGTAAAAGAATTTGAATAGAATACAATTTAAACCTAATATTTAAAAATAGACCTATAGTGCTGATACAAAATAATAAAGGGTGAGTTTTTAAACTAAACAGAACATTCCTACCAAAATGGATTTGGCTATATATACTTGAGACTCTTATCTGATTGATAGATACAGGGCGTCAAATAAGTCTGTTCTCCCCCCTTAACTTTTTTAATTCAGAAATAACCTAGGGTTGGTATTGGTATATATCATCTTAAAGAGACTAATTTTCTGATCACACACCAAATTTCAGAGTGATTGGTTAAATTCCCAATTTTTTAGAGTATTTTTAGTGATGTCCATATTTCACTTTTTAATAGTCTGTATGTCTCCCCAAGCAGCCCGGATTGCCTCAATTCTACTAAGATATGATCCTGTATAAATCATTCAGAACATTTGATTTAGGCTGTTATAAACTATTTTGTGATGAAAGATGCCCCTGCTTCAAAAGCTCCCCTGAATGTAACACATTTTACTCTGTAACGATATTGAGAAACATCGAAATCACCCAATGTTGGCATTGTCACTGCAGTATCAAATTTTCACTTTTCACTATACCTTGTAATTTTCCTTGTTTTGACGTAATCAAAGGACAACTACAACCTTACAAGAAACATTGTAGCAATTTTATTAGGAGGAGTCTATGATCGATTTTTGTTTTGTTATTATAGGTAAAAAGTTCTCTTAATTTTCGAAATGATTTTACCTATTAATTCTGTCATTGGTCCGCCATTTTTGCGGAAGTTACACTAAAACACAAACTCCATGGAATGAAACAAAATCACTAGAAAAAACATGGCACACATTAAAACCAATCAGATTATTTGATTATATTGCGCACATGAATTATTTGCTTCTTAGCACTTACCATTAAAAGCTAACCACAATAAACAAACCTGGCGGAGATTACCCTTACTTCATTATAACGAAATTTCAGCTCAAACTTGTGACAAGTGCATTATGCATACGCTGGTATGAATAGCCTTGGAGACACTCATTTTGGTAAATATGATTTACAGTGTATACTTTTCTGCAATTTGGGGGAGTTTGGTACATTTAATGTTAAAATTCAAGAAAATATGCCAACTATACGACTTATCAATTATTTTGTATAAGCACTGTATTCATTTGTAACTATCATTATATCACGGACATCTAATACGTTCTTCGAACTGCCCTGGAACTATATCAATAACAGGACTGGCATCAGATCCAAGTATTTTTCAAGACCGCCGACTCTCGTTGGGCTATTTATCCCTATTGACTCAGTTGTTTATATAAATTTACGTACCTTAGATGCTTTGTAATCGACGTAGATAGAAAATATTGTTTCCTAAATTGTTCTGAAAAGCGATAATTATTACTAAATGTATTTTGAACAGGTCGACTGACCAAAAAGCCGGGATTCTGGCACAAGTCTCGTTCTCGCTCTCAAACAAAACGTGAAGAATGTGACGTCACTTCCGAATCATAGCATTCAAAATAGTAGCGTTTAATTTCAAGCACCATCTGTAAAATTACGGTGGTCTAGCGGGAGAATCCTGGCTTAGCACGCTGGAGGCCCGGGTTCGAATCCCGTACTCGCTTTTTTATTTTATGCAGCTCGTTGAGAATTTCTTTCGAGAAGTGACGTCATTGCAAAACCCCCCAGCTTTCGTTATCTTCATCGTCTAGTTACGAATACCACATGTCGATGTGATGTTTTAATTGATAAATACGAATTCCTTACACATTTCGTTATCTTATTGTGAAATAGCAAACTAAGAGATATCTTTACTCGCTAGGAATTAACATAATATTATTTGAAGCGATTTTAGAAAATTTTGAAACCGCCATCTTGGTAATATTGATGACGTGATCACCATCGGTCAAGGTCAGGTCAAAAGTCATCCATCTTGCCATTAGCCCTGCGGATTGTTACCAGTCGACAAAAAACGATGAAATCACGTTGAAAATAAAATATACACTTTAAAATTGAGGGTGATCGAATATGACAAGACTCCATTGAATACAGCTGTGCAATTTACAGTCACCAAGATGAGCTAATTTCGGAGAGATTCGGTGAGATTCGGGAATTAAAAAAGGTAAGCCCTTCCGGTTTCCCAACTTAAAAGTATTTGAAATCCCAGAATTTCGCCAGAAACATTCTCTCTGACTGTGCATTATATGAAGAAAACATTGCCATTCAAATCATTGTATTGACTATCAGTATGTAAACTCATCATGAATTCCCTAGTGCATCAGTACTCAAAATAGAATCCAATTTATGCATACGATATGACATCTTTGGCTTACTCGAGTCTCTAGCCAATTCTTGTTCTCCATTTTGAAAGCATGCCTTATTTCCGCTATAGCGAAAAGACAAGATGGCCGGCTTGTTATAAAATATTTCTTTCAGTTTTATTTTAATTTTTGTGAGTAAATATCCTGCGAAGCAGACGAATGTATGAACTAGGACTGCGTGTAAAGATCAATGAAGGCGAGTTTATTATGTTTACATCAATAAAAATAAGACGACTGGGCAATTCGAAGGCAAATTCAAACAACAAAGAGTGTCTTATTTATATTTTATGGCCACACTCTTTGGCATCTAGAGTCCATTTCACTGCTTCATTTCGTCAGTAGAACGGCAAAAATAAGAAATTGGGAGACCATTGTGCAATAATATATGGAAAAGTATATTCATAATGTATATGAATGACATTTGTATATTTCAGATTTTTTAGTTTTTTTTGTGCAATAAGCCTGTGCCGTCTTGTAATTTGAAGAATTTCAGCCATGTTAATCTTATTGAAAATAACATGGCAGAGAAACATCCAAATATAAGAGGCCACACACTTTATAAGCCAAACTAGAAGCAATCAAAGATATACAAATGTCATTCATGTACATTATGAATATACTTTTCCATATATTATTGCACAATGGTCTCCCAATTTCTTATATTTGCCGTTCTACTGACGAAATGAAGCAGTGAAATGGACTCTACAGTTGGGGACATAAATAAATGACAGATGGATTTGCTGAAGTGAGGATTTCCCATGTTAAAAATAAGAGAATTTACAAGAGGCCATAAATCAGTGGATGAGATTATACAAAATGTAAGACATACAAATTTTAAGGGATATGTATCTAGACAATATTTGAAATTATGGGCTTTCAGACCACCATAATTAGGAAATGGTGATCGAAAATCGACCTGTCATTTATTTTTGTCCCCAACTGTATGTCTGATGTCCTTTTATTTTATTGAGAAATAAAGATTGACAACTTGACGAAAGTGATTCTAGATATCAACATTTTCAAATCAAAATATTCCAGAATGTCACACGGTAATTTAAATCGCTGACATCTCAATGACAGTCAATGTCACCATCTGAAAAATCGTTGCTGATGATGATATCAGATATGAAGAAATGGATCTCACCATCGTCCCTGCCACTGGTCGTGTTGAGTGGAAACTACGCTGGATCAAGGCAGGAAAGGATGCCTGAAAATAAATAAAAACACATTTAACATATGCAACGTGTTCTAAAGGAATATTGCACTTGCGAGATAACTCAATTCTATAAAAACGTACCCGACCAAATCGCCGAAAAATTTTGGCTGCCATTTTAAACCGGAAGTTTAAAGTCCGTAACAAATTTTAATTATAAAATAAAATAAGGGAGTTGATTGACTTCAAATTTTATACACAATAATTTAAAATATACTTATTTGCTTCTTAGAATAATAAAATGATTTTTTCTATGTTTTGTAGTCCAGCAAGAAATAATAAATATGACCAATGAAACTTCGTAATTACATTACTAAAAATTTGTGACGTCAGCTATCAGAATTGACCAATCAGAGACATCACTCGTGAGAGCTCCTTCCGTCAGCACGCCATCTTGGTAGGTGAGTGGAAAATTTGTTGCGAAATTACTCCTTGAACTATGGGTACAGTGTAGAAATCTACTTATTCTTATATATTGTAATAAAACATCTATTTGTAATGCAAACGTACGTATATTTTCAGGTGAAATCAATATGTATCGGTCCTTCATCGATTCGTTTAAAAATGGGTCTTTCCAGGCTCAATGTGAGGGCTTGAAAGTCAATGAGAACAGAACCATTGCTGCGGCTTCAGCAGGTATGTTTTACGGTTCAGTTTCCTTTGTATGTTATTTAATTCTTTGTGAAAATACATTCTCTTAACTAGTGTTCATTATTCTAGATTCTCTTTTATTATAGCCCAGTGTTACTATCTTGCAGCTAAGGATTAAATTTCCAAAGACATTGACATTGAAACCGGCATTGAAAACACTCTGATCAAAAGTTTTGACCTGTCGACTATGAATTTCACCCCTGCCAATATTAACTGTGCAAAAAATTAAAAGATAAAGCAAGTACCAAGATTGTATTTGATTGAGTTCCACGCCATCCTGAAGTGTGGTCTCGTTTGCATGTCTGGTTTAAGGTGCTATGGAAGTTAACAGGAAATGACAAAACAGGAAGTGACAATTTTTTTTGCATTTTTGGACATTATTTGAACAAAGATAACAGAGTTCTGGTTTGACCTCCAGTCAATTTAACTAGTTCCAAATACCATTTACAGGACCAGCATCACAATGTTCATGGTCAGAATGACCCTAAACATGATGAAATAACCTTTTTAGCCCTTTGAAAATGTGACTGAAAAATAGCTAAAAGTAGGAGCGTAGGGAAGGTCACTGAACAGAATCTTTTGAATTTTTCAGAAAATGTGCCCAATATATTGCTCTAAATGATACAATCTTTGAAAATTTGATATCATTCATAGAAAAAGAAAAAAAATGAAAAAACTGATTTGAAAAGCGGTCTATTTTCCTTTTTATGACCGCCATTTTTGTTTAAGACAATTTTCTAAAATTTCAAAGATTGTATCAGTTAGAGCATTATATTGGGCACATTTTCTGAAAAATTCAAAAGATTCTGATCAGTGACCTTCCCTACGCTCCTACTTTTAGCTTTTTTTCAGTCACACTTTCAAAGGGCTAAAAAGGTTATTTCATCATGTGTAGGGTCATTCTGACCATGCACATTGTGATCCTGGTCGTGTAAATGATATGTGGAAATAGTTAAATTGACTGGAGGCCAAACCAGAACTCTGTTATCTTTGTTCAAAAAATGTCCAAAAATACAAAAAAAAATTTCACTTCCTGTTTTGTCATTTCCTGTTAACTTCCATGAGACCTTAATCTTACACTGTATATCAGATATACAAAAGTCGATATTTTCAGCACCAGGGTTACACCTACTTTTACCGCAATTGATTCTTGCATTCATTTGCCATGTTTTTTGCATGGTGAAAAAGGTGTCGGCAATCTTAACTTGCAGAGGTGTTCATTTTAATTTAGAGATGATGTACTTTACAATCTCCGCAATACGATTATTATATAAAAGTTTTCACATGTCAGTCAGATTATTGTTGAGTGACTTAAAAAAACATTTGGATATGCCATTTTATGGTGTAGCAATTGCTTTAGTTCTATATCATGATATGACTTGATTCAATAATACCATGATATCATGTCCACATGTGGTCTAATTCTCCCGTAAACTTTGGTTTAATAACTATTCTGGTGATATGTCCTGTTACGGATACTTCATCCATTTTAACAGTTACTGCGGTGGCTACCCTACCCTGCGAACAACCTATGAAATACCAGTTTTACATGTCTCATAACTATTAATACAAAACCTCTAGGTGCTTTCCACATTTTATTTTCTTCATCCTGAGACAACCCAACTATTTTACCACTTTCCTTTTCTCAACGGTGAGTTCTATATCTCTAGGCACTGCATGCTGTGTGCTGTTGGGAGTAAATCTGACTTCATTCATTCAAATGGGTGTACTGTATATTGTGCATACTTAATTTCGCTCTTGTGAACAATAATGTATTGTATATGTTGGCTAACTCAAAACTCAAATGATTAATAATGCTCCATAAATTATAAAGAATTTGCATGCAGTATATCCAAAGCTTTCCAATGTTTATTATTTGCTAAGGTATGGAGAAAAATCTACTAAATGTATTTGTTATGTCATTACTATTTCTTACAAATCTACTAACAGTTAAGTGAAATGTATTTAATTTCATCAATCGAATTTATCTTTGAATTGAATTAATAACTTGACTTATACATGATACTTGAAGTTCTTAATCCTAGTGAATTCCTGTGTTAAATATAGATTGATAAGATATTCTACTTTTAGATATATGAGAGCTTGTAAATGAAAAGTTTCAAAGTACATACTGTATATCATTTTTCAAAGAGATAAATGTATATTATATGATTTTTGCATCCATTCCTACATACAAACAGTAAAAACATATAGAATGAGCTGTATACAATTTTTTGATCTCTTTAAATATCTCAAAAAGGAACTTACATACATGTATTTTTTTATACATTGTTAGATCAATGTTCTGGTGGGAGGGGGGGGGGTATCCTTGTGACTTACAGATCTAAATGTCAGTGCTTTTGCCGAGCCACAACGGCATTCATTTAGAGCCTGGTTTAGTAATTATTCATTTTACTCCCTTATTTAGTTTTAAAGCATGTATATTTGTTACCTTATATAACCCTACCTGTTCCACAGTTGGTTGGTTTTTACATTAATAATGTTATTTATACCAGTTTGAATATTGATGTGCATTAATTCAATAGTAACACTACATATATAAGTTAAAATACTGAATTGTGTAAAATAAAGAACACAAAATTTGATTTGATCTGTTTATGATTCACACCATTATAAATATTCTTATTCCAACTTGCAGGCAGTGATGAAGTAGAGTTTGGATCAACAAAGTACTTTGCCCTTTGTGGATTTGGAGGTATCCTCAGTTGTGGTATCACACATACAGCAATTGTACCACTGGATCTGGTGAAATGCCGCATTCAAGTAGACCCTGACAAGTACAAGGGCATTGTAACTGGCTTCAGAGTTTCTCTATCAGAAGGTGGCGTGAGAGAACTTGGGAGAGGATGGGCTCCCACTCTCGTAGGCTACTCCATGCAGGGACTATGCAAGTTTGGTTTCTATGAAGTATTCAAGAACCTTTATGCCAATATGTTAGGAGAGGTAAGAAATGCTATCTTTGTTATTATTAATCTTGATCATTTGAATGTAATGAGAAAATTTGATTAAAATGGAACAGTTGAGCAAGACACCCACACAGGGCTTGTATTGATGTCATCCTGTTTATGACTTAGACTTCATCCTTGTTTTTCTGTAATTATTGCATGTAGAAAAGGTGTTCATGTAAAAATTGAATTTTATATTTTATATATCTGCAGAGGTGCAAGTACATGTACACATAGTTTTTATCAATCTAGAGCTTTTCATACTGCTTATTATGAAAGGAATTCAAAGGTTTCATGAGCAACTCTATTTGGTTATATAAAATGGGTATCATTATGAATAAGAAATATTTTATGGCTATTTAAGATGAGAATGGCAGCTATTGGGTCTTTAAGGATCAATAATAGGGAGTTTAAGCTTGCAATGTTTTACAATTTCACAACCTAAACATGAATGGAAAATATTTAAGCCATGCATTTGTATGGGCGATTGGTCATACGTGTAGGTTGGCGTTTCGATTTTATATGCAAGCTTAAACTCCCTAATAATCAAACTGACTGCCAGAGAGGCATCCCAAAACTGTTTTATTAGGAGTATATTTATTTGACCAGTAATCTTTGATAAGCAGCTTGAGTTCTGAGAATGTTACATTTCACGATTGTTTTCAGTGTTGATTTTGATTAATATTATTTTGATTATTCTAATCTTTTTTTTTTTGTTTTAGGAGAAAACCTTCCTTTATAGAACAGGTCTTTATTTGGCTGCCAGTGCATCTGCAGAGTTCTTTGCTGATATTGCACTGTGCCCCATGGAGGCAATCAAGGTGCGTGTGCAGACTAACCCATCCTGGGGTAGGACACTTAGAGAGGGATTCCCCAAGCTTATGCAAGAAGAGGGAGTCAATGGGTAAGAAAGACATCTTATGAACACCTACATTTTTTTAATAAATCAAACTTTATGTAGAGTAGAGGGAAACATTCTGTAATCAGATTAGCAGGGGGTTTCATTAGCAGCAGGCAACAGGTGATTTTCACCGGTTGTTTTCACAACATTGTCTGTTTCAGGGACTTTTCAACTTTTTCATGTTAATAAGAAATTCTAGCAAAACCCCTGGATTAGTGTCATTATTTTTCTTTTTAACCTTCAAATTTTCTCATAAGAGGCTTACGTACTGTGTAAATTTTTTTTAAAGGATTTACCTATAACTGGTTTGAAATCTGTAGCTTGTTTGCCTTTCCTTTTGAGTTTCTAGTTTCGTTGTTCACATTCTCAGAATATGTGAAGTTACTTCTCAAATAGATACCCAATGATCTCCCCAGTATTAAAGCAAATGCCACTGGAAATTGAAAATAACATATCAACCTGTTGAAAATCAGATATTTTCTGTCAAAAGGATAACAGTATTGACATTACTGTTACCTTATACAATTGCAGGGTTTTAAAGGAATACATGTTGTATTTAATATGATGTTTCATTTTATTTGATTGCAGTTTCTACAAAGGACTTGTCCCACTCTGGAGCAGACAGATCCCATACACAATGATGAAGTTTGCATGCTTTGAAAGGACAGTAGAAGCACTGTATAGTTATGTAGTACCAAAACCCAGATCAGAATGTAACAAACAAGAACAACTTGTTGTAACATTTGTTGCTGGTTACATTGCTGGTGTATTCTGTGCTGTTGTGTCCCACCCCGCTGACACCATTGTATCAAAACTCAACCAGGAGAAGGGAAGCACATTCATGGAAGTTGGCAAGAAACTTGGCCTCCTCGGTAAGTTTACAATATAGCATTGAAATGTCCTACTTATACATATAGTTGAAAAGCACTTGATAATGAAGTATGCAATACTAAAATGTTGAAATTAATTAAATATGCCGATTTGAATAAAGAATTGAGACTTAAAATATTCAGAATTTATTATAACTTTGATACAGTTGACATGAAACTTTTAAAATTGTCACCAATATACAAAAAGAGCATCACTGTAAGCTGACTTAGTTGGGTGGCAACACTTAGATAGGATTTGATTTGGATCAATTGTCATTTTTGCCTATAACTAAAAATCTAAGGAAAATCATAATTAGTATGAAATGATGAAGATGGCTGTAATGAAATACAGGCTAAAATACATTTATTGTTATATTTGTAGGTATGTGGAAGGGTCTATTCCCTCGTATCATAATGATTGGTACACTGACCGCCCTACAATGGTTCATCTATGATGGTGTGAAGGTCTACTTCAAGCTGCCCCGTCCCCCTCCCCCAAGCATGCCAGAGAGCCTCAAAGCAAAACTTGCTGCAAAGGAGCAATAACTTGTGTGGACTTTAGGAAATTTTAATGTAAATTGTATAATTAGCCAATAGTGAACTTGACACAACCTTTTTATAGTCATGTATGTAATATGAGGTTTATAAGAAGGCTGTGTCGAGTTCTGATACTGTATTCAGGGTATTGAGTAGCAGGATACCTAGTATTCAGTGTCATAGACTGTACAAAGATGGAGCTACTGTCTGTATAATAGGAGTTGAATGAGAATATTTATAGAGTGGAGTGCAGTTACTATGGTTACAGACTTTGTTTATAATAGTGTTTTAACGCACAATATGTCATATTATTGTACTCATCATTGATGACCTTTCACCTTCATAATTTATGAATGAAACATGCTGCATGTGGCTTTTATCCATTTCCTCACACAATTTTAACAGTGAATCCAATGACTTTGTTTTAGACCAACTAAAAATAGAGTTAAATGTATGCAAGAAAGTGTAAATTATTTTGGCAACAATAAAGTAACATGAGAACCAGTATTAAACATATTGAGTTGTTCTTTTATTTATCTGTGTACCTCATTGCACATATCTGAGGCTGTTTTGTGATAATTGTCTGTCAAAAAGCTGCAAACCAGGAAAACATTGCAATTATTATGGCCAATTAAGAAGGCGGATACTTTATAAGGAGACCATGCACAAAGGTATAGCAAAAGTACAATCGGATTCAAAATTCTATTTATTACCTTGAACAATCAAATGACCATATTGCAACAGTATATGAAAAAATAGAAACAAATGTATAAGACCGAACTTTTTTATATCCTATTGTTTTGTAGTTTGGTTATCATACGTGTGGCATCTTATATTTTGATGCTTCTCTGCCATGTTATTTTCAGAAAAATTAACATGGCTGAAACTCCCTAAATTACCAAAGGCCACAGCTTTACTGCACATTATACCTAACTATCTGAAATATACGAAAGTTAGGTCTCGTACATGTTTCTATTTTTTTTAGCTCACATGGTGAGCTATTGCAATCACTCACTTGGCCAGTTTTAAAACCTCTGTCAATAGGATTCCCGTTTCAAGTTAGTTTTGTTCAACATCAATACAGAACACTTCCTTATGACTCCTGGTTCAAAAGCTCGCCTATTTTCAAAATGGTCGTCTCTTTTGTCTCGCGAAATTTATTTTTCGCCAATTTCTTAGCTTTACAAATAATTTCAGGTGTCCTGCATTGTAAAAACCTTGTCACTGTAAAGAGTAGTTGTATGAAATACTTTTGTTACAAAAAATCGGCAAAAATTACATCCATTTTTTTTATTTTATTTTCTGCCATTTTAGCCATCATTCACTTTTGAGCAACACCATGTGAGCCCAGTACCCACGGTACTATTTATTCATAATCTCGAATATGGTCATTTGATTGCTTATTTTTTGAATTCAAAGTACTAGATAGAATTTTGATTCTGACTTATGTTCAATTCTACAAGGGGTGATCCAAAAGTCCTGCGTGCAATACTGGTTTGAGTCCAGGTTTAATGTTGGCCTAACAAAGGGGAGTCCAGATTCAGTAGATACTGGAGCAGTTAATTTTCTCACTGGGACGAAGCATCCTGTTTTGTATTCCCAATACCCAAGAACGGTATTCCAAAGGACTTGACCACTAAACGTTGTAATTCTGTAAAGCTAAGTTCACTTTAAAGCGGCGTGCAAAGCCGAGCGCCATCAATTAAAGCTAAGTTCACACCAACGGCGCTTTAAAGGGTGACGCATATCGTTTAGCAAATCGAACGCTCGTTTCTGGTGTTGCTCACCGTTTAGTATAAAAGGCCCGATCCCGGAATAATACTCAAGGGTTCACAGGTTCGATGTTGTTGTGTCAACACCTCTAACTGTTATATAGCATAAGTATATTATAGATCGTCACACATTTATAAAAGGATGATTTTTATTTTGACAAATCAATTCCACATTTATGGGTGAAGTTTCAGGATCTTTTATTGGCATCTAAATTTCCCCATAACGTAATAGCACACAGCTTGGCATATGAAATATCCTACAAATGAAACAAAGCAAGACAAACCGGTTTCTAATACAAGGATTTATATTATATTGGCTGTTGTATTCTTTGAACGCAATCACTCTTTGGATAACGTTTTCAAAATCATTATAAACGGATTACTTTATCTCAAAGACAATTTCAATAAACTGGATTTTACAGAACTCCCCTTATTTCTTAAAAATGGACTGATCCAGTTGATTCGCCTGGAGCCGCCATATTGTTTTTATACGGGATGCTAACATCCTCCTTGGGATGCTAATCGGAACCCTTTAAAGCACTATCAAAGCGCCGTTGGTGTGACCTTAGATTAAACAAAAATGACGGCGCTTTGCTCGCCGATTTAAAGTGTGCTATTCGCCGTTTGCGTGAACTAGGTTTTACTATAAAAGCTGAAATTTGCACGCCGCTTTAAAGCGCTATCAAAGCGCCGTTAGTGTGGATTTAGCTTTTGCGCCATCAAAGCGCCGTTGGTGTGAACTTAGCTTTAGGGGATTCCCTATGTTGTCTAATTTAACATATCCAATTTAGTCTCCAGTGCTCTTATTGCAGACAACGTCACCATTGATCTTCACTTCGTCTTTGCGATGACTGATTTTTTTTCTTAGATATTTGATTGTACCTCGTGAAACTCCACAGTCCAAATTCGCTTTTCGGTCATTTTTGGTCACTTTTTTTCATGATGAGGTTCATATCTTCATTTTCACTTTGTAAACTCTTCTATCTTATATCCGAGTTTTTCAGTGTTTCAATTAGAATTTCTGTTTGTCCTTGTGAGGGTTTGAAGACGTCGCGAAGAGATTCTTTTGGCAGAACTGTATTGTTTGTGACACTGTCCCAGCTAGGGCAATTCTCTAACCGCCATATTTTCTTCCTAAATATGGAGAGACGTTTTGTGATTTTCGGTGCACCTAGCATATTTCTCGTGAAGGAGAATACAATTTAAAGAACGGATCATCTATTTTTCTTGGGTCTTGAGCCATTCTTGTATATTGCCAATTGATATTTTGCAAAACGTGAAAGGGAAGTGATATCTTTAAATAATCAATTGATGTAAAATACAATTTACTGAAGCAAAGTATTTAGTCTCATTCGAATCCTATCACATCTCTCTTGGTAACGCAATTGTAAATGATTGTGAACGAGATGTTACCGGTGTGTACTATAATGTTGTTTTCCCAGCTAAATCAGTTAACGCAGTTTTCGATTTGAAGGTTACTTCGGCATAATGAGTTGTGAAATGTCAGACACTTGTACGTTTCTCTATATTTCAGGTAGTGATGAGGCTCCTGCAATGGAATTCGGGTCCATGCAATATTTTGCTTACTGCGGGCTAGGGGGCATCATCAGCTGCGGGCTTACACACACGGCTATTGTCCCCCTGGATCTGGTAAAATGTCGCATACAAGTCAACCCAGACAAGTACAAGGGAATCATCACTGGATTCAAAGGTATGCCCCAAACCTGATCGCCTTGAAAAACAAGACCGTCTAAATGTGACAAAAATTTCTGTCATTTTAGGAAACTTACCAACATCCAAAGATAGCAATGTTATTGTACATTTACTAAGGATATGATGAATCTCACTTATCATTATTAAACTATTTGAAAACTGCAGTGTCTCTGGCGGAAGGTGGATCGCGAGAGCTGGTGCGAGGGTGGGCGCCGACAGCAATAGGCTACTCTATGCAAGGACTCTGCAAATTTGGCTTGTATGAAGTGTTCAAGTGCCTCTACTCAGACCTATTAGGAGAGGTGAGCTCAATGAATAAGTTCAAACTGAAAAATAAATTAATCTCAGTGACGTACTTACAAGATGAAGTAGCGATTATGCTCAGATCAGCATTGCGTTGCTGTATCATCAGACATGAACCTTTTCACTGAAATTCTTTCCTTTGCCTTTATCATTCATGTATATTGTGACTGGCAGATTTTTAGAACCTAAGTTCCTAAAATTAACAAGGTAGCGTCCTTACATAAATCTATACGTACATGTTTTTGTTTCAGGAGAAGACGTTCCAATGGAGAACATCCCTTTATTTGGCTGCCAGTGCATCTGCAGAGTTCTTTGCTGATATTGCACTCTGCCCCATGGAGGCAATCAAGGTGCGTGTGCAGACCAACCCATCCTGGGGTAGGACACTTAGGGAGGGATTCCCCAAGCTCTTGAAGGAAGAGGGAGTTAACGGGTAAGTTCACCTAAGATTTCAGTTTGATTGAATGATGAACGGTGTGGGACAGAGTAAGTGCCAAGCCCGGGGTTCCAAGGCAAACATCAGAGACTGGGGTGTATATAGCGAGCCAAGATAGATTTCGTAAACCCAATCCTTACTTCGATCTTTTGTAATGTTATTAGAAATTGGAATGAACCTGTTGATGACGATTCTAAATCTTTAGTGCAATACATTCTAGAACTGAATGTTTTCTAAGCATAATACTTGATAATGTGTATCATTTTACTAATTATATTTAGTCCTATTTTGTATTTATTCTAGTTTCTACAAAGGACTTGTCCCACTTTGGAGCAGACAGATCCCATACACAATGATGAAGTTTGCATGCTTTGAAAGGACAGTAGAAGCACTTTATAGATATGTTGTACCAAAACCAAGGGCCGATTGTAACAAGGCAGAGCAATTGGTGGTGACGTTTATTGCTGGTTACATTGCTGGTGTATTTTGTGCCATAGTTTCGCACCCAGCAGACACAATAGTCTCAAAGCTCAACCAGGAAAAGGGTAGCACATTTGTCGAAGTTGGAAAGAAGCTGGGATTTCTTGGTATGAATTAGATTCATTTTTTTAAATAATCATTTAATGATGTAATGTTTAACTTTTATGTCAAGCTCGGTCAGTCGTAAAACACGAAAATGAGTTCCAATTTGATTTATTTATTTACATATTTTACATATTTACGAAACGAAATTTACATTAATTATATTTAGTATAAACATTTACGCGGACAAAATAATTATATTGTTATTGCACGCAATAATGCATTGGGGGAATACCCAATGTCGTGGACGGAAACATGAATGGATTGTCACTCAACCCCGCTTCGCCTCATAAATCAGTGTCCTCTATGACTCCACGAACAATCTTGTGTATTTCAACAAACGACTCTAGTAAAATTCGCTGGCGTTTATGATACTCGTCGAGGATTTCTTGATCATTTTCATTTAGGTCACTTTGTGCTAACTTGTTGATATGTAGGTTTACATGCGGTTCACGGAGAGCTTGGTGGTAATCACATTCCTCCACAATGTCTTTATATGCACCTTCAAATGCCCCCGTCTTACCTGCATCAGTAATCCCTGGAAATACGGAACATGCATTCATTAGTTATTCTTCATTGGCTGTAAAGTCGTACAAGAAAAATTTAATTTGAACGGAAGTGATCTAATTTGAGAATGGAATAATTTTCATCATTCGGAGTCCTCATTGTACTCTGTGAAGTTTAAAAGACGCGAAATCGAAATCGCCAATGGTTTATTTGGTTAGTTCTATGCTTGAGATATCTATATCTTGAGATATCTGAATTGTGCATATTATATTACCATAAACACTGTCGGTGTTTGATTCAATCTGCTTATATGTCATTGCTTCTGGTACTTTATCTGTGTTATTGTTCGTCTCAAAGGCATCTGATTTCTTTGGCTTTCGCCTGAACGGACCCCTCAATTTTGTCCACTGCTTTTGAAGAAACTTTAAACACATTCTGTACCTAAAAAAACACAGTAATTATAATCCAGACCAACAAAGGCAAATACATTGTTCTAGGATATTTAAAAAACAGAGAAAGATTTTACATATTGGTGACTAACGAATCAACAATAAAACAGTTGTAGATACTTACTTTTAGATTGACTTGTTTCCAATCAGCAGTGAAGAATCTTCAATATATTTAAAAATTACCAGATACTTTTAAAATGTCGAGTCAGATGATTGTAGGAAAATATGATCTCTATAATTTCTATATGCTTTGTCTTGTTGACAATAAGAGTTTCTTAGTAACCAAGAGCAATTGTTAGAAAGACATCTGATTGGTTACAAAGACAATGAAAGTCAATGGAAACACGTGACGTTATGGTTAAATGCATGATTTCATACTGATGACATTGACTTGATATTGTTGCATAATATGACGTCATGCATGAGTTACCATGGAGAAATAATCTTGATTGACAATAAATACGTACACACTCATGTTGGTCGAAGAGGACTCAATCATCGATCTACTGTATACACTGGAAACTGCAGTGTTGTGGATGACGGTGTTAGGCGACTGATCAAATCATTTTAGGTCAATGAGAGGGCAGTCCATTTTGTACTCTTAATTATCGTCCTGCCATTTGATCTTAATTTTGAATTATGTGGATTAAGATCATGACTTTACGAAGACTTAAGGATCAGTCCCCCCAGTGAACCACTTGAAAATACATGTATGAAGCATGAAACCATCTAATTTGGATGGCATCACAAAATTGTTTCACTATGAGGTAGTATTGCTTCAAGACTATTGATCCCCCCCCCCTTATCTACTTCTCCAAACATTACCTGGTGAAAAGAAGATAGGAGGGGGCCCTGGGTCTTAAAGCAAGACTACGCATGAGGTATTATGTTTTGAAATGTTGTCTCATGAACTCAATATCCAATGTAGAAACATTTACATAAAAGGTGCAACAATTAGTGCAGAGAGGCCATTCAACGATCATGGACCAGTGTCAAAATATATTCAAGTTTGGCTATTTCATCAAGACTAACGTATATTTTTATTTTCTCCAAAGAAACCCTCTAGGTGAACATTATTTTTGCTGATATTCCTCTTGAAACTTGATGGATCTTAAAAATCTATAATAGGACTCCCTTTATAGAAGCTTTGAACTGAATTTACACTTCTTAATGCTGAAATTGATAGTTTATCCATACATTTTAAGAAAATAGGTATGTCAAAGATGTTAAGCCAAATGTTGCCCTGATAGCTCAGAAAAAGTAAAACATTTTGAATTTTCTCTCTACAGACCTTGTTGCCCCTTTAACTGCTCAATATCATGTCCGTGTTACTTGCAGGTATGTGGAAGGGTCTTTTCCCTCGTATTATAATGATTGGAACATTGACTGCCCTACAATGGTTCATCTATGACGGGGTCAAGGTATACTTCAGAATGCCCCGCCCACCCCCACCAGCAATGCCCGAGAGTCTCAAGGCTAAATTGGCTGCAAAGGAACAATAACTGTGTGAACATTAGGAAATTTAGAAATAAAAGTAGGTCATAAATAAATGTTGAGATGTTATCTGGAACTGTGTTATGAAGGTTTGCCACGACCAGTCAAGTGATGTTTCAAAAACTAGACTATCGCACACTTGTACAACTTTACGCAATTTCTAATTTTGGAGACAGTGTTGGTGCTTTGGTGGACAGTCGAGGTAGTTAACAAATGTATTTGTACATTAAAAGTTATTTGTGGATTAAATACTCATCCAATATGGATTGTAGCTTTATACAATTTGTTATATTGAAAAAAACATCTACTGTTTTGGTCGAAGATCGAAATATAAATGTCATTGGTATGCCATAAAATGTTAAAACAAAAGGTTTCATTGATCAAGAGTGATCCAAGGATACTTCATTCTAACTAGTAAGTGTGGTCATTGTGCTTAAAGAATTCGTCATCATATCAATACCTCAGAGACGTTTTTAGGAACTGATATACATTTCTATTTACTAGTAACCTCACCACCTTTTGCTATCAAGGATAAATTGGCTATAATTAGGATGTATAAGTTGTAGTTAGTTACGTTACGGTAACGCACAGCTGTAAAACATGTATATCCGAACACCTCTCTGATAAACACCTGCTTATCCGAATACTTTTTTCCGGTCCCATTTTCCTTCCATCGACTTCAAAAAAACTTAAAATGTGAACACCTACATATTAAACATATACACACCGGTGGAATACCCTGACAGCGGTAAAGTCAGTTACCGTTGTCACAAATGGCGGCCATAGGTTTGTATTTGATTCGATTTTCACTAACTGGATGTTTAATAGAGCACCTAGTGGTAGAATTAATCAGAACAATCTCTCTACTCATTGTATAGTTAAATATGTTTTATCATCGAAATAACGCTTTTGATTTTACTGACAGTCAAAATATGACACGGGACAACGGATACTTGATATACCCTTTCTGTTACTTATTTGAAATTCAGATTCCGTTGTCATTGACGATATGGAGAGCGGTATATTGTAGGGATTCACGACCACATTTGATCAAAATTGGGATTTCATATAATATACATCACAAGAGCTTAATACATACACAAAATCAACGAAAAGGTCCAATGAAATGAGAACGAAGTGATTAAAGAGTTGAAGCGACGATTACGTCCGCCGTTTGTGACAACAGTATCTGATTCTGACTTTACCGTTGTCAAGGTGTTCCGGTGTGATATAGAGCTTTTTGAATATATATCTCAATCAAGAACAATATTTTCAACAATAATATCTGAACTTTCTCAAAATTACATGTTTTTCATGACTTTGCTGTTGTATGGCGTCGCTATAACAGATTATATGACAGTGACATTGAAGATTGACCCATTGATCTGATAGCGTATAAATATATTGACCTCTTGATGCGTGAGGAGCATATCGATTTCCATTATCCTTTCGATGTAGTATGCCAACATGAAAAAGTACCTATGATACTGTTGATTTACTTAATACTTTGATATAATGATAATAATATTGTTGACAATGGATTGTGTAAACAAGGAACTATTTAGCTTTAGCATGGTGGTATCACACATCTTTTTTGAAACACATTCAAACGAACATCGGACTAAATATACCTATTCAAAAAGTTCAGAATAAGGATGTATACAAAGTCTACCTTTCCAAACATAGATACACTGCCTCCAGCGGGGACGGTACTAACGCTGTCATTTACAGCAATAATACTGGCTAGTAATATATACAACGTTATTGTGATATCAAAAACAGCAGCATTTCGGTCTCCAACGGGATATATGATGCTTTCACTGTCCTTGGCTGACACCATGGTTGGACTGTCATCAGTGATCGTACCAATAACCATTTACACACTGGACTACCTACCATACAGTCTCTGTCAACTCGCCAGCTTTTTACTAGCTGGGGCGTTTGAGAAGTCAATATATACAATAGCTTTACTTTCACTGGATAAGTACATAACAATCACGCAACCATTGTTCTACCAGCGGAGCGTTACAGTTAGAAAAACTGTCATCTTTCTCTGTATTCTCTGGGTATTTAGCTTTCTATGCTGGCTTCCGGTGTTCACCAACAACATTGCCGACTTCGACACCGCAATAAGTATATGTTTCATTAATCCTTTGGCCGACCCTGTGCAAGTGATCGTCATGGTTTCTATAGTATTTGGAACAAGCTCAATAATAATAGGATTTTGCAACATTGGTATTCTGAGAATAAGTTGGCGCCAGAAGAAGCAAATCCAGAGTCTCACGCTCACTGGCTCAAAACAAGGAAACACGACAAACATGAAAGCATTTAGGACAATACTGTTTCTTGTTCTAGTTTTCTACATATCTTGGACCCCTTTCTGTTTAGAATGGATCATCCGGGCATTTTCAGGATTCACAGGAACCCCCAAGGCTCTGCTTTGTACATTCCTTCTTTTGTCTATGAGTAATTCATTTTGGAACGCTGTTATATACACAGCTACTAATAAACCGTTCAGAGAATCTGCGTTCGCAATATTCTGTAGAAGGCATGGTCAGTTTCAATTTTCATCTGCGGTCAAAACAATCAATTTGAAACAATCTGAGATGTAATGACTGAAACACTAGATATTCTTAAAATCGACAATTATGTTTTAAGACAAAATTAATAAATTCAGCATACGCTTTTGATTGTTTAAGTGTAATTAGGTAAGTTAGTAACCCTGATTCAATGTTATTTTGTGTTTTCTACAGTTGCCCTTTGTGCTATATAGCGGACAGCGGGGCAAGGCGGCCACCTAAGATCAATTGGTTTTGACGCCTTGTGAAAATATTTTGCTGGGGTTCATGTACGCTGAAATACAATAGTATAAACTTTGAAATGAATGTCCGAATCGCAATTGTGCTTCTCTCTTGAAAGAATGGTTTTGTGTTGTCATGGGGAAAGGACCCCCGTGGAGCAAAAAGGACCGTTCTTTCTGATTACTTCTTTGAATCTTCAGTTTTACCACAGACTTACAGAAGTGGGGCACGACGGGCCATTTTTTGGAAAAGCGCCTTTAAAAGGTAAATAATGATCCTCTGTCAGGTGGTTATACAATGACTGGCGAAATATATTTCAAAACTATAAAGTGGCGGTCCTTCTTGTCCCATGGCCCTTCTTACCCCGCTCTCCCCTAAGCAAATCTAAAATTTGATCTCAGATATTCAACTGTGTCTGTAGAGTTTTCTCTCTGATTTCATGTTTAATTTCGTGTGCATTCGTTTAGTAGTCAATCTACCCACGAAAATTGATCGGTCGGAAAATGTTGGGTTTTTCACATTTCCTTTGATCATTTTTCCTCCAGTTGCCTAAGAGTGTCGATTATTTTTCATGAGAATATGTTTCTCTATACTACACAATTTAGGACGGTTGGAGATTAATGAATATTCAAGTATTTATTGTAATTTAAAAAAAATCAGGAATGTGAGTTGTCAACTCGAATGTACGTTGTCCCTGTAATTGAAATTCATGAGATATACATAATATTAAACAATGTAATGATTTCATTTCAAAATTCATTAAGGTTTTAATGAGTAACACGTGATCTTTAACGAACATGTTCAAGTATCCTTTTTACTTTTTCATTTTATGAAAGTATTGTTGTGGTGGTGGCCAGAGTGGTGGTTAATTTGTGCCCATTTGGTGTTAGCTTCCAGCCCAAACTCCCATCCAGTGTCTCGGAATAGAATATGTTGAAGACTAGCACTGCCACGGAGGCTCCTTCCAGCCCGTTTGATTATTTGGCCTCTGTAGCTTACGTTTTGCTAGTTACATTGATAGATAGATCTACTGATCTATACTAGCTTATTGAATATGACTTCTTAAAAGCTCGTTTATGATATATCTGGAAAGTTTCAATAGTTCAATCAAATTGAAGTAATTCTGTAATTGTTCTGTTTAAATTTTAGATGCATCTGATCGGTGTTATTTATATATTTTAGTGTTATGAAAAATAAGTTGTCTGCATTAGGGTTAACTGTGAATTGAGTAAGTTCAATAGACAACGTACATTCGAGTTGACAACATTCACTTATGATTTTTTAAATTATAGCCAAAATGTTAATACTTATTAAATCTTCATCAGACCATTGTGCTGTTTAAAGAAACATATTCTCATGAAAATCGTCGACACTCTTAGACGACAGGGGAGGAAATGATCAAAGGAAATGTGTAAAAACACAACATTTTCCAACCGACCAATTAATTATATGGGTAGATTGACTACGAAAAAATCGAGCACTGTTCGAAAATCTTTTAACGTTAAATGTCTTCCTAAACGAATACACAAAAAATCAAACATGGAATCCTTAATGGATTCCTCAGATTATTTTTTAAAACCTACATAATTGTCTTTGCTTCAAATCGGCTAAATAGTGACATCGCACATTTAAAGTGTACTACGGTATATTTTGTCACTGTACCTTGTCGATGGTTAGGCGTGTAATAGCGCAAATAAATAAATAAGTATAAATAAGAGCACATTAATAGTCGTTGGGGAGGAGCAATAAATAAATTATTGAAGCAGATGTAACGTCGCATAACCCCACCCCTTCCCATATTAGCCTGCCCAAAGGGGTACTTATGTAGTTTTGGTATAAGTTTGGTGACCCTAGTTACAGTTAACTACCTAGAGAGGAATAGTATAAGTTCTCAGAATATAAGTGTATAATATAGATGTCACACGTTAAATACATCCAACAAAATATAAGGAACTAGTTGGTAAAATATTTAAGTTATATATAAGTATTATATATTTACATACAGGTTTACACATTCTACGAAACTCAAGCTATCCTAGTATCTTATTTATCTATAAATCAATCAATCAATAAATTAGATAAATTATTAATAATTGAATAAATGTTAATTACTCAGATGCGAGTAGGTAGTTATCAGTTTCGCCACCAGGTGGCTGATTCGGGGGAATTTACATGGCAGGGTATTACAAAATTCCATTAAACTTGAATATGCATGAGTTTTAATGGTTCACTTTTCATAATTACCTTTATGACTTCATTATTCAAGTATTTATTGTAATTAAAAAAAATCAGAAATGTGAATTGTCAACTCGAATGTACGTTGTCCCTGTAATTGAACTTCATGAGATATACACAATATTAAACAATGTAATGATTTCATTTCAAAATTCATTAAGGTTTTAATGAGTAACAAGTGATCTTTAACGAACATGTTCAAGTATCCTTTTTGCTTTTTCATTTTATGAAAGTATTGTTCTGGTGGTGGCCGGGGTGGTGGTTAATTTGTGCCCATTTGGTGTTAGCTTCCAGCCCAAACTCCCACCCAGTGTCTCGGAATAGAATATGTTGAAGACTAGCACTGCCACGGAGGCTCCTTCCAGCCCGTTTGATTATTTGGCCTCTGTAGCTTACGTTTTGCTAGTTACATTGATAGATAGATCTACTGATCTATACTAGCTTATTGAATATGACTTTTTAAAAGCTCGTTTATGATATATCTGGAAAGTTTCAATAGTTCAATCAAATTGAAGTAATTCTGTAATTGTTCTGTTTAAATTTTAGATGCATCTGATCGGTGTTATTTATATCTCTTAGTGTTATGAAAAATAAGTTGTCTGCATTAGGGTTAACTGTGAATTGAGTAAGTTCAATAGACAACGTACATTGGAGTTGACAACATACACTTATGATTTTCTAAATTATAGCCAAAATGTTAATACTTATTAAATCTTCATCAGACCTTAATTGTGCTGTTTAAAGAAACATATTCTCATGAAAATCGTCGACACTCTTAGACGACAGGGGAGGAAATGATCAAAGGAAATTTTTCCAACCGACCAATTAATTATATGGGTAGATTGACTACGAAAAAATCGAGCACTGTTCGAAAATCTTTTAACGTTAAATGTCTTCCTAAACGAATACACAAAAAATCAAACATGGAATCCTTAATGGATTCCTCAGATTATTTTTAAAACCTACACAATTGTCTTTGCTTCAAATCGGCTAAATAGTGATATCGTACATTTAAAGTGTACTACGGTATATTTTGTCACTGTACCTTGTCGATGGTTAGGCGTGTAATAGCGCAAATAAATAAATAAGTATAAATAAGAGCACATTAATAGTCGTTGGGGAGGAGCAATAAATAAATTATTGAAGCAGATGTAACGTCGCCCAACCCCACTCCTTCCATATTAGCCTGCCCCAAGGGGTACTTCTGTAGTTTTGGTATAAGTTTGGTGACCCTAGTTACAGTTAACTACCTAGAGAGGAATAGTATAAGTTCTCAGAATATAAGTGTATAATATAGATGTCACACGTTAAATACATCCAACAAAATATAAGGAACTACATGTAGTTGGTAAAATATTTAAGTTATATATAAGTATTATAGATTTACATACAGGTTTACACATTCTACGAAACTCAAGCTATCCTAGTATCTTATTTATCTATAAATCAATCAATCAATAAATTAGATAAATTAATAAGTAATAAGGAGTAAAATTAAAAGCCCTTCCAGTTGGATGGTCGTGAATGGCATGGTTTCTATTCACAGATGCGATACATATTTCCTGGGACCAATTCTTTTCGTTCCACTACTGCCCTTGTCGGGGTTCCGCTACCACGCAGATTTGAAATACCATTGTTAACCAAATATTATCATGGTCATTATGGTTTTAGGTAAAAATATAAATATCACAGATCAACCAGTATCACAGTCATAGATCGAACACATGCGTATTTGCATACTTTGTGTAGAGTACAGAGTGGTCCAAAAATGGGACACTGATATTTCAGAAAGAGATTAATTTTATTGATACAAACATGTCATATTATATACCAATGGGAAGGGAATTTAATTATCTTTAATTTAATATATCATAAGTTCAAATTTATTATGATATCTGTCAACCAGCGTCCATAATACAAATGATGTCATTTCCGTTTCAAAACGGTTTTCCAAAACTTGTAAAAAAGAACTTTTTTGTCAAGTTTAACAGTTGTTCAATATGTCTACAATAGTGATCAATTATAGTCCTCAATCTTGGCTTTAACTGGATAATAGCATCATTGATACGCTGTTGAGACAATGATTTCTACTTCAACAAGTCTGTCCTCAAAGAGACTGAAATACATCATGTTCATGGTACACATATTCTGTTGTTTTTTGACCACCCTGATATGAGCTCTGCCTCATTTTCTGCTCATAACATTTTCGAACAAGATGGGACTCCTTAGCAACAGATACCAAAAGACCCAAAATATTTAAAGGGGGATGCCTAGATTCCTCCTCCTAATCACTCTAATCACTGGCCACAGTGATCTCCCAATGCCAACGTCTGCGACCACCATGTACGGGCAGAACGAACAGAATTGTAGTACCATAACCCCTTACATCCATTCAGTCCATTAAGGACAGAATTGGCGAGACATGGAATTCATTGTCTCTACAGCATACCGATGATGCTATGTAAATAAAGTTGAGAAAATACTTTTTTTTTAAAGTTTTGGAAAAACATTTGTATTATGGACGCTGGTTGATATTATCATCAATAATATTTTTGAAATATGAGTGTCCCATTTTTGGACCACCCTGTATGTAACTAGCTGTTTATGACTAATTATATGATCATAGTTTGATGTCGCCTTCTAGCTGGGCTGTTTGTCGACTTTATTCACAGTCATCTTTTTCTTTAGTTTGCGAAGTGCCCATACGCATACATCCATTATGAAGTCTATATATTCACATATCGTAAGTATTGAAGCGCCCAACCACAATCCAAAGGCCCCTCCAAGATCCGAAGCTAAAGCGCCCTCCTGCAATGAAATGTAATTGTATCTCATTTCAATAGGGTTCATGTAACAATGTTCTCATATTTTTAATTTTCTTTCTTTCACTGAATATAGGGAACATGCTTGGGCATATTGAGACACAACAATAATTTTCTGTAGTCTGTTTGGTTGCTCTGGTTAATCTTTTTTTGGTAAAATTTGACTTCATTTTGAAAACAAAGCATTTACATGAAAATATCGGATCACCACCTGCCATTTGTTACAGACGCCGAACAATCCAGTCACAAAAGAGTTAGAGACTATAACGATGATATAAAAACCATAAGTGTTGTGATAAAAAACCACTACTGTTCCTATGGTAGCGTCTTGTACAATATCACTTACAACAAATTCGTTTATTGTATTGAAATATCATTAAAGCTGGTAGCGTGTCACCATCGCACTTGTGACACTTGAGTGAAAATAAAATGGCTGATCATCATGAAAAATGGCCTTGAAGTACAACCTTATCTAACTTGTGATCGAAGACGCCTCATGCAACCGACTTTTATTTGGTTTAGAATACAAATGGAGATGTTGAACCAGGATGCTTTGACCCTATGTCAAGGCTATGCTAGAGAAGAGAAGAGACAAAATATAAGAGAGGCTGATTGCATGTGTCCGAAAATAAGAAGTTGTGAGGATATGGGCTCGGTACAACTTTAATCTTTAACGTTCGTTCTGTTTTTAAGCTGTACATATTTTTCTCATAAGACTAACAAATATATAATACTGCCATATTTACCCCCATATTACCCCATGCAAGATATAGAGGTTCTTATATGAGTACCTGTGCAAGATCGTCCATTCTTGACGAGCTTTTTGATAATTTTTCTATATCGAGTCGGGGTTGGGGTGCCAGAGTGGGAGCAAGTGTTAGTCCCCCGGACACATTGACTATATCGAGGATCGGAGCTATTATTTTGATGATGTCTGGGCATTTTAAAAGTGTTTGAGACAATACATAAAATAAATTCAGAACTTTTCAATTATTTTGTTGGGGGTGTGAGGGGTGGCCCACTTCCCCTAGAAGATTTTACAATTTTAACACGCTATTTGGTGCTTTCTGGGCACTTTCAAAATGTATGAATCAATAAAAAAAATTGAAAACAATCACAATTTTTGAGGGGGGTGGGGTGGGGATGCCAGAGCCAGAGGGTTAGCAAGTGTTAGTCCCTCAGAAACATTGACTATATCAAGGAGCTATTTGATGATGTCTGGGCACTTTAAAAGTGTCTGAGACAATACATAAAATAAATTCAGAACTTTTCAATTGTTTTGTTGGGGGTGTGAGGGGTGGCCCACTCCCCCTAGAGAATTTTACAATTTTAACACGCTATTTGGTGCTTTCTGGGCACTTTCAAAGTGTATGAGTCAATAATGAGATTGAGAAAATCACATGTTTTCAATATTTTTTTTGGAGGGGGGATGTCTAAGGAGGGGGGGATGCCAGATAGACTAAGAGGGGAGGTTGGGTGGGGATGGTAGATGGGGAGCAATTGTAAGTTTGATGTATTTTGAAAGAAAACACAGAGTTGGCTTAACTTTCCGGCTAATAACATAAGCGTAGGCGAAGTCAGCTCTTGCGAACGATAACACCGAACCTTTTTTGATAATTAATGTAAATTATCAATAGTTAACAGGTTATTGGGCCGGTTAGAGGGCAGGAGGCGATTACTGGAATTGGCTGATAACTATTGTAATTAAAGATATTAAACAGCCATACAATTGAGCTAAATATTTTGTTATTCATAGTGATTCATTACTTTTGCCATGAACTGATATTGAGTTCAATAAACCTTTTTTCTGGGGAGTATGGTGCTTGTGGAATCCTGCTCCATTGGAGGTCTTCTGAGGCAGTCTTGGCAACATTACTTGTATAGGGACGAGCATTGTCCATATTCATATATTCAGTCAATATTTGACATGATTTTTTCAAAATCCCTTTTTCACTTTTTCATCCTGAAAATCACCTATGTCAGCTAAAAATTGTCACAATTGAATATTTCCTTGACTGTGATGTCTTCAAGACAAAAGAATTGGCATAAAAACCTGTAAATTTGTACAATCTGATATTTTAAAATGAAAAACTGTTCAATGAATTGATGCCAAATGAAATTAATGTGACATTAAAAATATGACGTTTTTTAGCTGAACCGTGTACCCCACAATTCTGTTACCATAGCAACCATAATTCAATAACCAATCATAGTTGAGATACAATATTTAGCCAATAGTTGCACAAATATATGTTCTATAGATGTACTAAATATCAAGAAATAAATCCTCAAAATGACAAAGTTAGAGATAAATAAACAGAACTTTTTGACTGACCCAAGTAATAACCAAAGTTTTGTAAAATATGCCATCCACGAAGTTCCTTTCAAAATTGTCACACTATCTAGCTCTACTATGTGAGGCTGATATTTTCGAGGACTTTTGATTGTACAAGTTTACATGATGATTTTCTCTTGCCCGGGACTCCCCGCTTAAATACATATTTAGAGGAGGTAGGGTGGGAGAGGTGGGAGGGGGTGCCGGGGTCTTAAAGCAAGACTAATGGTGAACATTACGTGTCGGTGTTATCAGAATTATTCAGAATCAGAATAACATACACTACTAAATCTCCAATAACAAATATACCCACGTCGTAAGCTATATTCTCAACAATAGATTGGAAGTTGAACTCCGAGTAGTATATTTGAAGATGTGCAAAATTACGCTTGTAGGCATCAGTATCGGCATCGCTGACAACGGCGCTGGCACTCGGTGAGCGTAGAGCCAAATTCGCCAAGAGATCATCTTTATAAGCATCGGCTGGCCATAGCACAGATGATACTTCCGTTTTGTACAACGTTTCGCTAAAACACATGTGAGACTTTGGTACAAAACAACATCATTTGGGTTATCATGCATCATGTAAATGCTTCAATGCATTTAGAATGACAAACAATTTAATTGGCAAATTGGATATCATTATCCACTTGTATACAGGGTGTCAAATAAGTCCCGTCCCCCCGCTTCGGCTAAACCTTAATATATGCTACTTAGTGTGATATACCATTGGGAAGATCATCAAAAGTTACGCTCACTCACCAACTCTCAAGCTTTTTAGTTGAAAGAAGTGGTATCGATATGGTGAATTTTTGAACGCGCGTTTCTCTTAAACCAGTCATCAAAACATTCTGAAAATTTTACACATCGTCAATTTAATGATCATCTTTTGTGTGGTAACAGTGTAATTTGAAATATATATATATATACTTTTCTCTATATTGTTTTAGAAAACACACCAGACACTTCTTTTGTTCTTGGTATCATATGTTCGGAATGAAATGAAACATCTATCCGAACCTCATTGGAACAAAACGACATAAACACAAGGTGTTTAGGTCTCTCAATATTGTAATTGTACAAAGGAAAGTTTGGTTGATTTTAAAAAAGTATCTTGTTAATGAAATAAATGGTTTATCTTAATTTTCATCTATTTTTGGGGTTTATTTTAAGTTTTTGCATACAATTTGACAATATTAAATCGACCAAAATTTCCTCTGTATAATATTGAGAGGTCTAAGAAAATGTTGTATATGCTATTTTGTTCCAACAAGGTTCGGACAGACATGTTGTTTCATTCTCAAGAATTGGTAGAAAGGAACAAAAAACAATTGCACTAAAAAACAAAAAATGTTAACAAAACAGTTATATAAAATATGTATTTATAATTTTTGCATTAAATTGTTGCCAATCAGTCAACATTACATAAAGGACCGTGTTTTTTACAGAATGTTTTCAATAATTGGTTTAACAGAAAAACATTGTTGAATTCAGTTCACCATATCGATACCTATCCTTTACCTATTCTCATGATGTCCTTTACAGTTAATATGCTCTCCTCCAACATCTTTTATTGCGTTTTTATTTTTTCAAAATCCTGCCAAATACGCCAAATTGACTTGTTTTTAGGTCTATGGTCACCTAAATTGATCTAATGTATAATATAATTCATTCCTTTGGCTTTGGGTACTGCAGCCATATGTTGGACTTAAAATTCAAATTCGTCAGATGTTCAGTCAAAAAACCCTGAGTTCAAAACTATGGGAATACGAGGCGACAAAATAAATAATAAATGGTACTATTTATGAATTATGATTATGTCGAAAACAATCAAGTGAGTGTACTTACTTGCAGGCAGAATAGCAGGAGCACCTTAATTTCCCCCCTATATACTGGTCAGTTATATTCTGTATGCAGCGTGCTACAAATTCAAACACAAGGCATTAACATGACAAAATGTCACCACCTAGTTGCTCACAATATTATTAGTTCTGAGTTCTGAATTCTGAATTTCTGAGAATTTGTAGATGATTTTGAAAAAATGGTCAATTTGAAGCAAGTTGAAAAGGTCATTAAAGGTGAAATCTAAAATCTAATGACAGATTTATGGTTTATCGGGAGACGATGTTAATGAGGTCCTTTCAAAAATATACTAAACAATACTACAGTTAGACAAACAGAGTATCTTATGCATTTCTAGGTTTAGTAGATGGTACATAGAGGCCTAACAATGTCAGTGTTTTCAATGAAGAGCTTGTATTTCAGAACTTGTTATTCGACCTGGAAGACATCGATCAAAATACGATTCAAATGTCAAACATTTTTCTGTTAAAGTTGTTCTCATTCTCTTATACTGATTCAGGAAATTAAAACACTGACTAATATAGTTTATACTTATTGACTCGTCATGTTCTAGACAGGCGAGCAGTTTTGAACATTTAATCTCACTTGCAAACCCGAATAGCCTGACTACGGTAAGGTCAGATACCGTTGTCACAAATGGCGGACATAACCGTCGCTTCAACTGTTTAATAACTTGGTCCTCATTTCAAGGGACTTTATCGTCGCTAGTTCTGTGTTCTGAATTTGAGTAATTTAGAAAGACAATGGCATATGGTAATTACAGTGTCCGTAGTCCCGTATCTTATTTTGATCGGTTAGATTAGACTTTATTTCGATGGTAGAACATTATTAACTGAACAATGAGTATTAAGACACTTTGATTGATTGCTGTTCAAAAGAAATTTAGTCTAGGTGCTCTATTAAACATACAGTTCATGAACATCTAATTGAAGCGACGGTTATGTCCGCCATTTGTGACAACGGTACCTGACTTTACCGTTGTCAGGCTATTCTGGGGTGACTCGAGCATATCATTTAGGGGTGACTCAAGTAATTACTGTTTAGTAACAATCCGACTAACACATAGATAGCATGAACAGTGTATTAATTACCGAATTAAAAAATACCCCGATTATCCGAAACACGGGAATCATATTATTCAGAGAACTCATCATACCGTTTGTCATTCAAATACGTGCCATTATTTGACAGCTCATGGTGTACTTACACTGACTGATGTCGTTCGAATTACACGTTTCGACCGTTGCGTTGGCGTTATTAAATGCAACACCTGTCATTGGATACTGTTTGTCGGCGCAGCCACAACTTTCCAATAGATGTCGTTGAAAACAGGTTTTCATACATGCCTGGCAAAGAAATCATTTAACATTTACAAATAAAATCTAAACAAATATTTTAACTTTGGCACATCACTCAACATTACAAGAAAATCGCTATCGCTTATGTTGCAAAGGTGCTGAAAGAAGACCTGATCTCTCATGAAGGGGAAAATCCAATTCAATTCAGTAAAGAAATATTATAAGTTATTGAATGATTTGAAGTGCAATACAGAATATATTCTGCTCGAGAAATTCCATATTTGAACGAGACGAAGTCGAGTGCCAATACAGAATATCGAGACCAGAATATATCCTATATTGCACTTCAAATCATTCTATAATGTTTTTATCGTGTGATCCTCTGTATTGCTACTGAGAATGTCCCCTCCGTACCAATATTTTCTGTCTTGCGACGGAGATGATCAATGGGGACGATCTCAATAGCAATACAGATTGGTACAGCACAAGAACTGACCAATCAGAAGGCTTCATTTTACAGATCATACGGTAAAATATTTTGTGACGTCCGCTTGCCCACCCACCCAGGCAGACGCACGGACACCCATCAGCACAAGACACGAAAATTATCAGCAAATCGAAAAAGTGCGATAAAATATGAACTATTATTTGTCACCTACAGGGTTACTGTATTTTACATTGTAATACTCCTCATAGACGTTCATCCGTTCATTCCGCACGTCATCATCAAAGCAATCACTGTATCTACCCCCTTGTTTTTGTAAGTTCAGCTGAAAAGACACTTAGAAAATAACCTGGTTTCTGTTCTCCAGTTTGTAGATTAATATTGCAAATTATGTTCACCAAAATAGATAATTGGATGAAAAAAACAGAACTACATGAATAAGATCTCGTTACACTCATTACTAGACATCTAATTAAAAACAACATCAAAGATAATGTAAAGCATATCTGAGATAATCATTTAACTGCATAATGAAAACGATGATCGAAATAAAAAATTTCAATTTACTAAAACGCTCCAGAAGTGTATACCCATGTTTATGTTATAAGATGACGTTTTAAACCATGTTGTTTATATTTGACATTTTCATTAGTCAATATCACCATAGTAATCGTATTGTATTGTATTGTATAACTTTTATTCCTTCATGCATTGAAGAGTACAATCAATATTATTCTATTTAGTTAAAAACTTTGGCTAAATAAACGTACAACTTTTGAATGTAAGTTTACATGTCTATGGATATCTTTGATGTTTTACTCACCATTTGTATTCCTACAGACGTCGACTGTCCTGGGACGATATTGATTCCTTCGTCCTCTGGGAACGGCATGACATTTTGATGATGTACTTGGACTCTTACACCCGCCGTAGAAGTCAGTTTTCCTATATACTCACTCTGTTCAATGTTGAATGTCAATTGTAGACCTAAGACGAAACAAAACCATGTAAACCACGTATGCAACCGCCTAGCTAAAAGTTCCCTTTTTGAAGTACGTAACGTAACACGTGTTAAATTGGTTTTTATGGTTCGAACGATTTTTGTCACCGTTTGTGTTGTCTTATTAATAAAACAACTCATTTGTGATTTCTGCTGTTAAATACATAGACGTACCATAAAAAGGGCCAGGTCTTGAGGAAGTAAACCTTGATTGGGAATTGTTCCAACCAGCGTTAAATATGTAGCAGTTGCCATGTTTTGGGTTGTAAAATGTTGCAAACTGATCTATGAAGCATTCGTAGCCATTGTATTTGCAGTCGATTATAAAATCCTCACGTTGGTGACCCATAGGGACCTAAATAAATACATATGGTTAGCAATGATGGATGAAAATTATCGACCTCTCACATAAGATGGACAGTTAAAATCATATCTCGACAATGTGAATCTCATGCTGTTAAATCAGTGTATTCAATGCATACTGTTAAACCATGGACTTTCAACTAGAATCTAATTGAAAGCCCATGGTTAAACCAGTGCATTCCTCAGTCATCAAGATACGTAATACCTTGATGGATCAAAGATGGAGAATCCTGACCGCATGTAAACAACCGTCACAATTAACTAAATTGGTATTAAACATACCTTTTCCGATTCACCCATATTGGCAAGCATCTCAGAAACTCTTTCTTGGAATGCAAACATTGGATCAACTTCCCCTAGATTGTCATTTGTTTGCTTGTTTCCGTTACCATTAATGGGTTTTTTATCTGTTTTGCCGTTACCCTTGGACGTATCAGTGTTGGTCCCTCCTTTCGTTTTGGAATCTGTAAATTAAATACAGCAGAATGCTAGGTAAATCTGGACATATCAATGTAACCAAAAATCGCCTATTAAACTGCTATAATCAATACGTTTGGTTAAATATCATGACTGAATACTCTGAACCAATAAGATCGCTTATTTACTGGTCATTATTAAACGGAGAACAAGAAGTTACACTTGTGATCCACTCGATTACGCTGGTTTGGTAACAAAATGTCGGAACATCGAAGGTACGATTTTTCTCTTTTCCTCATTTCACACGTTGTAGGCAAAATTCCCAAGACATTTTTTAAAACAAACGTGTTTCAGTATCATATGTTTAAGAAAATGTACATATTTGCGAACAAATAGTTCAGAAGACAACAGAATCGTCGATTTAATTCCTCACTTAAGATTTTTCTTTTTTCCTCATTTCACACGTTGTAGGCAAAATTCCCAAGACATTTTTTAAAACAAACGTGTATCAGTATCATATGTTTAAGAAAATGTACATATTTGCGAACAAATAGTTCAGAAGACAACAGAATCGTAACTTAAGTGAGGAATTAAATCGACGATTCTGTTGGCTTTTGAGCTATTTTTTCGCAAACATGTACATTTTCTAAAACATGTGATACTGATATACACGTTTGTGTGAAAAAACGTCGTTGGGATTCTGCCTACAACGCGTGAAATAAGGAAAAAAGAAAAATCGTACCTTCGACGTTCCGACATTTTGTTACCAAAACGAACCGTTTTGGTAACAAGCGTAATCGAGTGGATCACCAGTGAAGTTAAGAACTTACAGTATATATCTATTACACACTGTGGCTAGTCGATCTATGTGGATGCAGTCAGGCACATGTAATGTTTCGTGAGTACCCGCCTCTGTACTTTTCAATGGAAGAATTTTGCACTTCTGTTTAAATAATCTATATTTACTCATCCGTGTATATCATACTTCATTGATTTACAAAACCAAAGCTACGCTATAAACACACATTCTCTGATATTTTTTACGGAGAATAGATAACTCAAACGAGTTCACTCGACCAGTTTTATCATCTCGCTCATAGCTGTGAGAAGGTACACAAATATGTCTGTGTGAAGTAAAATACAAATACAATGCGTTCTATAATATTTTTGGAGTTATGGTATGAAATATCAGCTTTAAAAAAGCAATTTAATTATGATGTATCATGTGGATTAGTAGACGTTCTGATTGGATTCATTGAACAGACTGGCTAGGTTTCAATTGAATCATTTTGAATGTGTGTATTTTTAATATTTTAATCCACAGTGTCCGAAAACAATAATAATGCTGTATTGGTAATTGGAAAAATTCCACATACCACGATTTATAAAAATTGTAAATAGATAATACTATTCTTGAATGATGGTCATTTGTTTCAAGGAATCTGGAGGCTCGTTCAGCTGAGCTGACAAAATCATCAAGATTTACGGATGGTCCATCTGTTGGCTGCTCATTGTCACCTTCGAGGAATGTTAATGGCTCTGAAACTGGTAGCCTTGCCCAAGTCGGTATTTATTTACTTATCTGATCTTGAATTATTACCACCTTGTACAATCCAATGTATCATCGCTGATATTATGCTAAGTTATTCAGCGGTTCCGAGATTCCCATAATACCTAGGCTACCTAAGGGTATCGCAAAACCATATTGATTGACAATATGGACATGGACACAACGTGTGACTTCAGGCTGATTGACCAATCAAAACGTTATCAGGCTGACCTGCATAAAAAAAAGCAAACTACCCGTCTAGGACTTGAAATTCAATGATCTGATCGAGTGTTTCTTGAGAGTTACAATATATTATGTTATTAAATGTACATTGGAATGTAAGCAGTCGTTAATACTCGTCTAAATGAAATCATGCAATTCAATGTTGATTCAAAATCAAAACTGAATTTGCGATGGAAATGCACGAAGACCTAGTCCGGCAATGTAGGGCCGTCGTTGATTTGTCAAATTTTACTGACAAAACCATTGGGTCGGTAAAGCACATGGCTTTCTCTTGGGTACAAGGCGGTCATAATAAAAATCAAGATAAGTAAAATAGACCGAATTGGCAAGGCTATGAAACTTGATTTGTGGGTATTCCAGTGGGTCGATGGGTCTTTTGCTCTGAATTCACTTCATTAGCGTACCTAATTCAACATTTTCATTGTCATCATTACATGTTATGGACCCGTTTTTCAAATTAACAGTATCAGCGATAAAACCATAGTTTTTGGCTCACACAGTGAGACTATGGGATCGACCAGGCGTCCGTCCGTTGGTCCGTCCGTCTGTCAACATTGGCTGCACAAATTAAAACTGCTATTCGGATTGAGTCATTTCCACATTCATTTTATGCATATCCATAATGTCTATTTGACCTATCATCGCCATTTCCCAAGTTCGCCCAGTTTCCGAGAAATTGCTGATTTTTAAATTTCGAGAAAAATCGATCTGATGATAGCCTTATAGAAAGTCAAGAGAAGTGAAGAAAAGATTGAAAAAATACCAGTCCAGTCCATTTCCAGGTCCAAGTCCAGGTCCAGGTCCAAGTCAAGGTCCAGTTCAGGTCCAAGTCCAGATCTGGGTGTAATCCGGTTTAAACCAGGTCAAAGGTCAAGAACTAGGTCAAATCCAGTACTTTGTCATTTTTTTCAATTTTTTCAGTCGTCCTTGAATATTTTTGCTCCGTTTTTTTAATCATATTCCTTGGAAAAAAGCCAATCCCTACAGGCAAGTTGTTTTTGATCACTCTTACCGTTTTTGAGATATGGCATCCGAAAAGTAGGTCACAATAAAAAGTTCTTGGAATTCAATGTATAAGTTATGAAATATGTGTAAAATTGTCCAAGGAATCCGAATCTGCAAACCAGATTTTGATCCGACTTCCGGTTCGGAAGTTATGGCATTTTGAAATCTCAAAAATCGCTATTTTGGTATCCCATGTTAAGTCAATGGGGCTTGAGAAAATTATCAATTGTAACAACACAACACTAGATACATCTTGGATGCAGCCAACTTAATAAGAATCTACAATAGAAGCCGTCCCTCAAAATCTACTTTCCTTCAAAATTTGAACACTAAAAGGCCTAGGTCAAAATCTAGGTCAAATTCATAGTTTTTCTTTTGACTACAACAAATCATCTTTAATTGATCTCATATTTACCAATACTTTTGTTTGTAAATCAGGATATACATTCCTCTGTAGGTTCTACACTGTGTGAGCACAGGACCGTGGGTCCTTTATTTCATCGGTAATGGCATTTTCCAGTTGATGGGTTTATATATTGTATTTTCTATTTTTCATGAGGGTGCCCTTAGACTACTTGTAATGGGGTGGCTAATTACTTTACTGAATGAGGAATGTTTATCCAAACAATGGATACAAAGAAAATTTGGCAAGTTGTCCATCAGTAAATAAATCATCATGATAAAAGTATAATTTATTAATGCATCCATTTTTTACCGTTCTTAATCCAAATGATACATAGGTGCATCCATTTTATACATATATGTTGACGTTTACGAAATGTTTTTCAAATATCTTCCCTATAACAGGAATATTGTAGCTGAAACTTTCACACATTGTCATACTATGTATATTGAATATGTGTGCAAGATTTCAAGTCACAATGTTATGTAGAAACTCTGAGATCACTTACCTCGATTTGCTGTCATTTTTTTGCAATGATCCCATTCCCTATAATGTACGCGAGTACCCACGATACATTACATATAAATGACTGCATCCACATAGATCGACTAGCCACAGTGTTACATGTGAAATAATGCATCGAGTTAATTGTATGCGCAGTATATACAAGTGCGTGAAGCGAGGGTTTCATACACTACTGACAGGCAGTCATGTCTAAAGAATGTAGTTGGAGCTCTCTTTAAAATATTGCAAGGGTTAGATCATATTGAATAAATATTGAGCGTCAACTCGGTTAATTACTTCTAGTGCTTAACTTCTAGTGGTTAACTGACACTGATGAATCCAAAATTGTACTCGTATATTTAACCCAGAGAATCTCAATTTTCAATATTTTAAGAAATTGACACGTACTTTTCCCATTCCCTTTGGATACAGCAGTTGTAATAGCAGGGGCAACCGTTGTTGTGGTAGTGGTGGTAGTCGTAGTGGTAGAGGTAGCAGTTGCATTAGCCCCATCACTACCAGGGTCTCCATTCAATGTCGCATTCAACATAGGGTCGCTCAGATATTTTGAAAGTCTTATCGAGTTCATGTTGCAAACTGTAATCGCCGGGAAATCTAGTGTAGCACGTTGCTCAACCACAATTGTCATATCGACGTCAAACTTTAGATATTCCATAAATACGGTTGAGACATTCCAAATTGTAAGAACTGACATTGCGAGCGTGAGTGCCACCCAAAACCCTATTTTTACGGGACCTGTAAATGTGATAACGTTCATTGCGATTTAAATGGCCAGACCGGTGAGAGGTTGTTAATAGTGTAGATGTTATGATAAAAACAAAGCATTAAGATACAAAAAATCACCACCTGCCATTTGTTACAGACGCCAAACGCCGACCACAGACACAAACCGCTGAACACCCATCGCAAAACTCCGTCCACAAAAAAGTTGGGATCTTAGAAATTATAACAATATGTCACCACTTCTGTTGGTGACATAAGAACAGACATTATTATATCATTGCTAGAAATTACGTCATTTGATTGGCTAATTAAGTACCATGTGATCAAAAATACCATAGCGTATTTCACAGCTCCCTCAATTTTAGGATAATAAAAGACGTATTGCCCGACGTATTGCCCGCCCGGGAATTCTGACAACTACACTGGACGAAAATAAAGTATACGATACAATATATAGAGATTATCCTATATGAGGTTCAGGATATTGGGATTATCCCGAGGCCAATATAATATATTTGCCCGAGGGCCGCAGGTCCCGAGGGAAAATATATTATATTGGCCAAGGGATAATCCCAATATCCTGAACCGACTATAGGATAATATGTTTATCCCATACCAATCTTGGTCATCTGGTTCACATTGTTCAATCGTGGAAATATTTTAGAATATTCATGTCCAGTTTTGTTTTCTTGGCCGTGGGCGGATTTTCCTGTTCTCTCAAATATTCCCACATTTATTTTCTCGAATTTTTTGATTGATTAAGTGGATGCTCCTTCCCTTTTTTAAACCATCAAACAGATCCCGATAGTCTGTGTTTTCTCCATTGTCGTTTACAGTCATTACGCGAACGTTATAAATTATGAACAAATATGCGAGCGGCGATTATGACGTAGCGGGCAGATATACTATCTGCCCGCTCGGAGCGGGACGTAAAGCTATATCTGCCCGCTGATGAAAATATAAGATTTTACAAACCGGCTTTATGAACCTGTAACACGTCCAAGTATGGGATAAATACTTGTACGTAATTATGTTAACTTATGGGGTTATGATATATTTATTGATTAAAATAACGATAACAGAGAATGTCTAGCAATGATATAATAAAACAAATATTTCATTCTATGTTCGGGCAATACCTGTTGCACTTTCAATGATTTTTGCAGCATGTATTTCACTCGCCCTACGGGCTGCGGGCAATACATATTGCAAAAATCATTGAAAGATGAACAGGTATTGCCCTTCATAGAATGAAATATTTGCTTAATATCACAATCCTGGTACAAGATATTATAATATGTATATTTTTAGATTTTAAGGGACATGAATTTTATCCAATATCCACCGGTGGATTGGTAAGTACAGGAGAATAAAAATCTATATTTCTAATCATAATTCGACATCAATTATTATTCAGAGATAGACGTCCTTGATGTTACGAACCCTTCGAGTATGATATCTGGGTAATTCCTAACGAGGATGTATGCTCCACCAGACCACGATAAAGATGTGTCAACTTGACCTCATCGTTCGGAAGATTTTTGTCTTTTTCTTGAAGGAGATAGTTGTAATAATTTTGTGGAGTCTTATCTTTGGTATTATCTTTGCCTACATCGCGGTATTCCTCATACCCTTCTGTAGTAGGCTCGACTTGCAGAACTCTAAAATATTAAAATAATGATTACCTAAGTAGGTGCATTTCTGTGTAAAGAATTGTAGATTTCAGGCTTTAAATTATAATATTTTAAAATTTCCAATTGTGTAAAAATATTTTAAGCACATATGTATTAAAGCACACGGTTAACTGCTAAAGCATATTGCTTTTTTAACTAGGATTGCATCGATTGAGTTCGTTTGTTTTATTTAGAGACAAGCTTTAACCTTTGAAGTATCACCGTTTCCTGTGATTAATGGTAATATAAAAGGAAATAATAGAAAAAACAAGTCTGATTACAAGCTCGGGTCAGAAAACATCATGTTGTTGCATATAAATTATGGATAAGTGTAAATAAAACTTACTTTGTAAAAAAAACAATAATCGAATGATTAGCACTTGTCTCAAGTTAAGCTTCATATGCGTATTCGAGATCTATAGCCTGATCATGAACAACACCAGACATTTGGCACATGTGCCAAATTTCCATCCCATGCACATGGTGAATAAAATACAACGCAATGCATGGTAATCGAAAGATCGTTAAACTCAATGTTACAAGCAGGGTGCATCAAGAATCAATTGTCAATAGATACCAAAAAATCGTTTACCATCTTCTACTAGTTCTCAGGTCGAGGACCGACTAATGTCAAGGTATGAACAATCTATATATCTGATAGCATCAAGTTATAAGCAGAAAATAATTCTGACAAAATATTGGCCCAGCCTATAATGCGCCGAAACATTTGGCTAAAAAGATAGTTAGGAAGGTACTTTATACTAATGCCGTAAATGTTATGACAGAAGTTAACATAAAAGACGAAAATGATAACCACCATACCTTTACACCACTCATTCGTCTAGGCCATTGTATTTATCATAGTTGTCCTAATGGATGAAGGCAAGCATAGCCGTGACAGTGTAAGCAACAATACTCGATCCATGATCATATAATCATATACTCGTGCCAAGTGTAAACAACAATACTCAATCCAAATGCAAGCCATTATATACTCGTGCCAAGTGTAAGCAACAATACTCAATCCAAATGCAAGCAATCGTATACTCTTGCCAAGTGTAAGCATCAATACTCGATCCAAATTGCAATCACATACTCGTGCCAAGTGTAAGCAACAATACTCGATCCAAATGTAGGCAATCATGTACTCGTACTCGTGCAAACTGTAAGCAACAATACTCAATCCAAATGCAGGCAATCATATACTAGTGCCAAGTGTAAGCAACAATACTCGATCAAAACGCAGGTAAACATCGTCTTCGCACGCACGATCAACCGACGGTAGGCGAGTGGACGAAGATGAGCAATCTTATAGTCGTGCAGACGAAGAACAGACAACAAAGTCTTGAGAAGTGCAGACAAAATAGTAGTGCCTTGCAAAGGAAGGAAAGTCTTGACAACAATATGACATGGCTGTAGTTTTATCTACAACACGCAATCGAAAGTGTGCAAAGTGCATGGAAACCTCGTGACAACTGCACTATAAAGTGAACATGAACACAAAGTGCAAAGTGCATTCTTTCCTTGTGCGCATATACAATAATTAACTCGTCTAGATAATAAACGATGTATTACCCATTTTGTATGGACAGACCGGTATTGTACTTGACTTGTGGAAGCTCCATCACAAAAGAAACCAGACGCAGAAGACTTAACGTTCTATTACGCTCCTAATACAAATTCAAATTCAAAGACAATTACATGAACACACTTTATACACTGTATACCTTTATTATATGGATCATGAAAAATGTACATCCAAAGTGCAGAGCAATAATTCATTTTTCATTCTACAATCAATGGTTGAGGTGATGTGATTCAAATACAACATAAATGACGAAGGATTGAAATATACTGGCTAATTGATGAAGTGATATAAACAAATAAAATAAATGGATAAAAATGGTTCAGAGAGATGCAATTATATATTTCTATTCTCGCATGTTACAGATATACAGTGATTGGGTATTTCAGATGTTGGCTGTTGTGAATTACTGTGAAACAAGACAAAGATCGAGGTTTACAATGGATGAATATAATTTTTAACAGTAAAGTGAATGTACAAGCATAGTAGTCTTCTAAATTCGTCTAATGAAAATTGGAGTTGCCTAATCCAAGGGTTTGCAAAGTCCATATCTGAATTCTTAAAAAAGAATTTTATACTTCAGTGCATTGCCATTGGAGTTGTTCGTTTTACTCACCCTGGTAATTTCATGTTTTTGTCATAATATTTTTGTGGCATCTTGAGTCATAAGTCCTTGCAAAGTATTTTATCCAGGAGATTTATCTACATACGTTTTCTTACATCTAAAGATGTTAAAAACATAATTGAAAGATATTTGTATTCGATATATAGTCCACGACCACTGAGCAGATTTTGAAAGAAATCCTTTGTACGCATCGACGGCTTCCCAGCAGTCTACATCCTCCGTCTAGAATACTAGCTAGTAGTCAGACAATTATTTAACGAAGCAATGGTGTGGCAAACAACTCTTTAAAATTCTTACTTCCCATTAAAACGACCTGATACTAATCCCTTCTCAATTCATGTCTAAGTCGCCATCCGTTAATTGCGTCATTTCCTTTATTTCGATCTGTGCAAGATCCATATCGCGATTCAATAGCCATCTAACCATAAATGTATTTTCGCTGGAATGATTCGTTTACTTTTCGTAATTACTCCCTTTGTGATGCTTATTAAGAATTTTCAATTGATTTTTTCGTCGAAGAAAAGTAAAGTTAGTGATATTTTTCTTAGACTCACTGAAATCTGTCCACTTGTATTGACGAAGAGCCACTCAACAAATCGTGTATTGCGATCAGATTGATACATTTTCAAACCATGACCAAATGGCTGAATATGCTAAAGACTGAATTTGATATCAAGAATATCAATTTCTCTGTGGTATTCAAATGTGATTTCTCACTAACAGGTACCAGGGGACTCCAAACGATTGACGCCAATGTCGGTGTGACAAAATCACCAAAAACCAATCGTAATTGGAAACTGTTTAATTAAGGCGACTGAAGGACAAATTGCAGATCGTTAAGTTCAACGACTTTTACAATCTGAAGCCGAACATAAACCCCTGTCTTTCAAGGTATACGCTATTAATACAAACAATTAATGTAGATCAAGATATGACAAATCTAGATGTGAAGACAACAAGACAAAATCAATTAATGTTTTTTTAACTTCTATTTTCAAAACTATAAAGAAAGACATGAGAATCCTATGAAAGTGGTTAAATACTTAAGTGAATGTCCAATCAGCAAAGTGTCCAATAACAGTATCCAATCCCAGTATCGATCCTTGATTACAACTTTAATATCCAAATGTGAGGTTATCCAATAAAGTTCTGATACGAAACCGTTCCAATAATCATACAATAATCAATCCACTGATACGAGATTTGGACTGCGTTTTTGAATGTCCACGGCGCAAGTCAATTGCGTAATACTTATATGAGTTATCTCCCTGGTATAACGAAAAACATGGTCACACGCTTTTTACAAAAAAGCTCATCCACGCCCCCCCCCCTCCTATCACACAATACGTCCATCTCGTTCGCAGTTCGTTCAGGTCGCACCACGTTGGTGTGCAAACGTACTGCAATTCAGATATCATGCACAAAGTCATGCAAAAAAATACATCACCAAATTCCATCCAAATTAAGAAAATTGGTGGCAACCAGTATAAAACACGAATCACTCAAATATTCTATTTTTGAAAAGGAAATCGCAGTGATTATCAATGGACATATATCTACTGATAATCACTGCGATTTCCAAGTATAATCGTATTTTTCGACATTTTACTTGATTTCTAGTAGGGAAACATTTTTTACAGAGAATGTACAGATATAGTAATGATCTTACAACTCAAATGGATACTGGCTATTGGTTAATGGATTGTGCAGTTGTATGCGTTTCTAGTGATGATTCTCATCACTATTACATCCTTCTCTAAAAAATTGCAACTCAAATATTGGATAATGTGTTAAAATTCGTAGACATTACGTTCGGTGATTTTATTTGAATCTATTTTTAATAAAACAGTCTTTGGCACTCTATCCAATCACACCGGAAAAGCCTGACAACGGTAAAGTCAGATACCGTTGTCACAAATGGCGGACATAACCGTCGCATCAATTAGATTTTCATGAACTGTATGTTTAATAGAGCACCTAGACTAAATTCCTTTGGAACAGCAATCAATCAGTGTCTTTATACTCATTGTACAGTTAATAATGTTCTACCATCGAAACAAAGTCTTTAATTTAACCGATCAAAGTGAGATACGGGACAAAGGACACTGTATTACCATATCACTGGTGATCCACTCGATTACGCTGGTTACCAAAACGAACCGTTTTGGTAACAAAATGTCGGAACGTCGAAGGCACGATTTTTCTTTTTTCCTTATTTCACGCGTTGCAGGCAGAATCCCCACGGCGTTTTTTCTCACAACGTGCATCAGTATCATATGTTTTAGAAAATGTACACGTTTGCGAAAAAATAGCTCAGAGGACAACAGAATCGTCGATTTACTTCCTCACTTAAGTTACATAAACGGTTTTTCGAAAAACAGTTAAGATCTGCACTTTTAACCCAAACCGTTTATGTAACTTAAGTGAGGAAGTAAATCGACGATTCTGTTGTCTTCTGAACTATTTGTTCGCAAATATGTACACTTTCTTAAACATATGATACTGATACACGTTTGTGTTAAAAAATGTCGTGGGAATTCTGCCTACAAAGTGTAAAATAAGGAAACGAGAAAAATCGTACCTTCCGGATGTTCCGACATTTTGTTACCAAAACGGTTCGTTTTGGTAACCAGCGTAATCGAGTGGATCACCAGTGCATATGCCGTTGTCTTTGTAAATTATTTCAAATTCAGATTCCGTTGTCATTGATCGACGATATCGAAGACGCTATATTATAGCGATTCTGACTTTGCCGTTGTCAGGCCATTCCGATGTGCAATGAGAATTTGGATTGGTCAAATTTTTGCAAGAAGTGAACCATTATCTTCCAACGTCTCAACATCCGTTCACGAACTTCTCCGGACTTCAAGGGTTTATTGACCGCTTTTGAAATGCCCATGTGGGTTGTTGACTTTGCAGATTACAATTGTGTCATCTGTCATGGACTGGGAGTCAATGATCATGATAAATCGATATCTTCGAGTTCCTAAAGTGGCCATATGTATTAGAGACGATAGGCTACTCATTTTTACGAATTACTCCGCATAGATTTATAATAGTACAGATTTTTACTTTTTCTCATTCCCGTTTTCAAACTAAACATGTTAGAATTTCAAAATGGGGAAACTTGCTATTTTACCACACTCTACTTGTATATAGTTTGGTACAAAGTGTGTTCACATTTTCAAACTTTTTGTGGGTTCAAAGTGAACTATTGGTGGTACAAAGTGTGTTCACTTTTTTACATTTTTTGTGGATTCAAAGTTAACTATTGGTGGTACAAAGTGCGTTCACATTTTTACATTTTTTTGTGGATTCAAAGTTAACTAGTTCACATTTTCACATTTTTTGTGTATTCAAAGAAGACTATTTGAGCAAACATGGCAATCATATTAAATAGTCATTGTGGAGGGTTGTATAGGAATAGTTATTAACCACTTGAAGAGCAACAAGAAAACCAGTCGCAGATTTTTTACCAAAATACAACGTTGTCAATAGCCCCCATGTATCCAATTTGCAAAAAATAGCTTTCAAAATATAACAGATCTAGTTTTACTGAAATAAGTAAATTGAATCTCACATAATGTATGTTAGTGTAGTAAAATAGGAAAAATGGCAAAAATAGAAAATGCCCCAGTATCTAATAAAAAAGCCAATATGGCAACTTACATAATTTTGAGTCAGAGTAGAGGTTTCGAAATTGAGTTGAATACTAGTATGTTTGGTTGTTTAACCCAGACAATCTTTTTAATAACAGACTTAAAATTATACATCATTATAATATCACGTAAGCTATTTCCGTACCATTAGAATAGTACGGGAATTTATCGATAATGTTTCTAATTGTTTAAAAACATCAATAGGAATTTACCAGCTTTTTATTCCATAGAAACTAAGAACAGGAGATGCAAAATCACATTTACAAAATACAAGATTAATTTATTCATAAAATATAACCATTGATACATTGGAATCTTTAAAGATATACATTACACAGCACATTTCAAACAAACAAAACATTTTGTAATTTGTCAATTTTGATCATAACCTACAGGCTCAGTATTTCACGACTCTTGGAGTAGTCCAGAAAGGGATTTTAAGCATGTAGCACCAAAGCACTGAAGTATAACACAACATGTGCTATATCAGTGTGTTACTGGTGCTACAATTACCGACGGTAAATAATCGGTTTTATTTTTCGCTGATAATTAATATTAATGACCGCTATTATGCTTGACTCAGCGATCCAAAACTGGTAATTAATACCATAAAAGAGTCCTGGATTTTTTTAGATAACTTTTAGACATCTAATTTACAAATATGTACAGATATATATATTTATCTCGATGGAGATGCAGAAATCCCTTTTAAAAACGTTCCTTAAATGGGATAGGTAAATCTTCGGGAATATCTGAAACCACCATTAACATGCATTAGGTATCTAATGAAATAAGTAAAACAAAATAAATGAAAACTAACAATTTGACACTGATAATAGCCATGCATCAAGTACTAGTGCCACATTGACGCATTATGCAATCACATGTGGTGGGTTGTTCCGTATATTCTGAATTTCTATCAAAATGGAATATTAGAAAAAAAACTAAAACTTCCTGGACAAAAAAAGAAAATTAGGCCCATTCGTTTAAAATTAACATGACAAAATGTCACCACCGAGTTGCTCACAATATTATTAGTTCAATCTTAAGTCAGATTTGAATTTCTGAGAACTTATAGATGATTTTGAAATATTTGGTCAATTTGAAGCAAGTTGAAAAAATACCTTTTGACCTTGAAGGTCAAATCTACAGTCAGATTTGAACTTTTGAGAACTTGTAGATGATTTGAAAAAATAAATTTAAAGCAAGTTGAAAAAATACCTTCTTGACCTTTTTTTTACCTTGAGAAGGTCATTGAATGTCAAGTCTTAAATCTAATGTCAGATTTGAACTTCTGATTAACTTGTAGATGATTTTGAAAAAATGGTCAATTTGAAGCAATTTGAAAAAATACTTTTTGAACCCTTTTTCAAGGTCAAATCTTAAATGTTAAGTCAGATTTGAACTTCTGAAAACTTGTAAATGATTTTGAAAAAATTGAAGTCAGTCTAAACAATATTTGTTAAGTTAGTGGAACCGATCGCCAACCCCCGCCATTAGAAGCGGAGACCATAACAATATGTATACTGTGCATTTACATCTCGGCCCCTATTGATTGTTCATTTTATTCAATCAAATACCGCTATAGACATAATTCTGTCATTTCAATAGCGTTTGTACAAATGATTGTTGCATCACCTGGATAATATTATGAAAACCAATGCATTATAAAAATATGTTATTGCAAAATAAACCATAATATCCTTGAAAATTTTGAATAAAGAAACTTGTTGGAATAAATTTTCTAGTTTTATTTCGGATTATTTTATGGTAGTTGATAGAAAACGACTATTTAATTTTGCAACAAGTTTCTTTAAAAATCTTCAGGCAACTGACAAAAAATATGAAAAATATATCGCAATTTATAACTGAAGATATATATTATATATATAAGATATATTAGAAATATATTATAACGATATATTATATAAGTTATTTTTTCTCTTCTAAAATTCCCAGAATGTTCCACGATCTTTGACTAATCACTATGTAAAAAGAGCTGAATGAATATTCAAGGGCCGATCCAGAATGAAGTCCTAATAAAAATGCCCTAACTTAAAAGTTTATCATTCATTTTGCACGATATTTTCAGAGGAACTGGATCATTCATTTCCTCATAAGTTATAAAAAATAAATATGGAAATATTAGGACAGAAGGTATTAGGGCGTTCTCCATATTCCCCAGATAATGCTCCCCTTTGTTGTGTTTGGACTTTGGACCAGCCCTAGAGATCCGAGTGTCTCATATTTTAGAAAAATTGTTGAAATCAAGAATGCTGTCGACACCTGAGTAGGACTGGAAAATGTGTATAAATAATGGGTGGATATATACCACAATGTATTAGTGCAGTGTTTTAATGCAGGAGCACATTATTTTGAGTGTTTTCATTGAACTTTATCTCAAATAGAATTTCACAGTTGGATTTAGTTTTTCATTTTCAATATAAGTTATGACGTCAATATGAGCTCAAGTTCTGGACCAAATGCCTCTACCATGGGGTAGTGTGATTATAGAATTTTCTGTTGATCAATCTTTCTGAAAAGTCCCTCTTGTGTAGGCATATAAATTTGTATTCATATTTGTATATTAATTTATTTGTTAATTTTCTCTTCCAAAATGTCCATAATTTTTGACCAATCATACATGGTGGATGAATTTGTCTTTCGATGAGGAGGACAAATGCATTGAACTGGGTACCGATAGAACACTAACATTAGGAGTTGACCCTTCATCATGTTCGTCAAATCCAATGTTTAAATATTCACTTCCAAATTCATATTCAGTGTTCAAAGAAACGTCGTAAGTTGGCGAGCCACCTCTAGGATAAGGAGCACGCTGGTAGGTATGCTTTAGGTGATGGTCATGTGGCTCAAGACCATTCATTTCTTTGGGAACATCATTGAATTCGTCGTGTTGATTCTTACGTTGCCTTCTTTTGTGGATTACGACTACAATCACCACCACCACGATGATCAAAATAACTCCTAATGCTCCGAATCCACCAGCGTACGCTGCAGTATCAATGACTTCACTGGGTGAACCGACCATTTCACAAACATCACTGTTACCATCAATTGAACACTTTGAATAGACACAACGCCCCTTTGAATCATCTCCGTAGTCTGATCTGTTTGACCTGCACCATGTACAGAACCCAGAATCAAGGCAGTCACTAAAACGATATGCAATTTAACATAATGCAGTGTGTGCAATGATATGCATTTTATCATACTAGGTAATTATAGCATCTTTTTGAGTTTACTAGTTTATTAATCTATTATAGTATTTGATTTTATACTTCGGATTTAGGCGCATAAGTCAAATTAAATTCTCATTAAAGTATCATCAAAGTCTAAGCAAATTGTATGAGAGTTTAGTGTGAATGCAGGTAGAGCATTCGTAGATGTTTTGTTACAAATTGATTTGGAATGTAATAACGACTTCTTGATTATGACAAACGACGAGTAAGTTGTCTAATCCTATACAGTTTAGGATTCAAAATTCATTCACTGACTTACAAAAATGTTTTCTTTTGAGGACATTCGACATCGAAACATGGTTCATATGATGCCACTGCTTCTTCATCAAGGTGAGCTTTACTCTCATATTTAGGGGGATCTGGGGAGCAGGTCTGATAGGTATCACTATAATTAATAAGATGAAATTAACACATTAACACCCTGGTGTTCTTTTAACTTCCTTGTCTTCTTTTAACGCTGCTTGTAAATGACTGGTAGCACCATCAGTTTCAAAAATCAGTTTCATGGTAATTTATTATTCAGTAAGCTGTTCCGCTGCCAAAGTTTAGCAGTTTCTTAAATGAATTAAAAGGGATGGATTGCATGAGAGTATGCTTCGAAAGAAATCACAAATTGTTCCAATTTATACAACATCTTTATTCTCTTCAATCCATGTCATGCCTATTTTCAAAAAGTCCTACGAGAACCCTGAATTTATGTCAGGATTTCTGGCAAAATATTGAAATGACTCTTTTAATGTTCATCAGTGAGTATAAACAAACCTTTCTTTTGGGAATTTGTTGTTGCAGAAGTCAAAAGCTGCCTTGGAGAAACAAGGGCATTCACATTTATCAGCAGTTTCATCCTCATGTTGGCACTCATAATTGGTGCTGGTATAGATGTTTCCCTATAACCCACATTGATTTAAACATAATTTTGAATAAATATATTATATAATACTTGTATACTCGTACATAATCAATATCTGACTGTCATCATGAAAAAATCAATATATTTTATGAGATACCAAGTTGTTTCCCAATATAAATTGTGAGAGAATGACGTCAGTTTGACAGACTTATTCTATGGTTTTGTCGTATGATTATTTTAATGTTGTGTCTGACGGTAGTGGGAATGGGAGCCGTTTGCAGCCATTTTTCTGTAGTTCATTCACAGAATGTGAAATTAAAATTTCTTGTCTTATACCCCATATATACTTTCTAATGTTTCATTTCCTTCATCACCTTAAAATGATAGTAGGGATTTGGCCATATACGGAGGGTTGTCCAAAAAGTCTTGACATTTTTGCTCTCATATCATTAATTTTTATTCTTTTGGGATCATATTTATCATTAATGATCTTCTGATCTTTGAACATTTGTTGTTCACTTTGTAAGGTTTGAAGGAATTAGACTGCATGGCTTATTTTTATGAACCTTGCACTTTTAAGGAGGCTAAAATCAAGACAAAATCATACAAAATTTTGAATTTAGAATCACATCCTATGCAGCCATGCAATACTTATATACTTATATATTTATAGTTACTATAACTAGAAGCACATTTAAGATTTAATCGATGTATACTGCAAAGTGTCCCATTTCACAATTTGGGGTTTGCAAATAATGCACTTTTGTTGCAACCCTGACTGGTGGAGTTTTTAGCCTCCGAGGTTTGGAGTTGTTGGGGGGGGGGGGGGGGAGAATTTGAAGAATCACCTTGGAATAAAATGTAAATAAAGAACACAGCCTAAATTGAAATAAATATTCATTAATAAACTCTTCTGAGGCCAAAACACATTTATATTACCTTGGAACAAGCGCAGCTTGATTGAGCATCTTCAGTATCATCCGATCCAGTTGTTTCATCCGTCGATAATTTAACGCCAAGGAATGCATTTGTGTCTTTTAGTTTATACAGTTCAAATGATTTTGATTTTGAGCGAATCATCTGCAACGAATCGAAATAATGAAAGCTAAATGATAATAATGATGATGTACATATGAAACAACGAAAAAAAAAATACGGAATATGATATTTCAATATGAAAATATGACACATGATCAGCCACGGCAATCTCAATTGTAAACCAATGGCACGGCGCGGTATCCGAACTGCGTGCAAACTATGTACGCAGTGTGAAACACTGACAAACTGCGCGCATATCTAAAAATGGCAGACAGGTAGGACACGACTCCCATAAGTTTAATGTTTAACCCTTCATCAGTTTGATTAAGAAATTTGCATGAGTGCACATAGTTCATAAAATGTTAGAAATAAAACATTGCAATCGACTCAATATATATATGTATAGAAGAAATGGATGTACCTCAGCGGAAATAAAATCAACAACCCATGTACGGTAGTCTTTCAACTTTTCAAAGTTTATGCACGCACGCCTCGACATGTAGTCTTTTTCTATTAAGTAATTAGCGATTTCAGGTTCCTACAAAATAAATAAAATTATATACTCTTTTAGAATTAACTCTTATGGTGAAAGAAAGATTTCTTGGTTTCTAAATTTTCATTGTAGAGGTGACCAGTAGGTGCCGGGCAGTAGGTTCCGCATAACATGATTTAATCGACATTGGTTGTTCACTTAATCAGGTAATCCATCAGCAATAAATTGCTCTTTTGTGTATAAAGAATTCTTGTTGCAACTTCTCGAAAAAATGCTCGTTTCTAATTCATTGGGATAAACCTGAGTATCATACCTTAACCGTTACATGGAGTCCCTCTATCTGTTGATCTTTATTAGAACAGTTGACGAAATCCTTGTGCATGGCGATAAACCCACTGTTATCCATTATGAAGCAGCTGGAATAAATATGATATATAGACAATAAGATTCTTTAAACTATATCACGAGTATGACAACGTGTATTTGCAAGTTGACTCCAAAAATAATTAACAATTGCTATATTCCGCTTTACCGAACTGTGAACCGTCTATCAACCTCTTTCCCATACCATGTATTATGCAACATTTCCACAAACTGTTATCTGAAAACTACATATTGATGTAATCTTTCTTTATCCTGATGACAGTAGAATAACAAATTGAAGCATTGCTCAGTTGCGCCAGAAGCTAACATTAAATATTGAGACTGTTTTCAACAGACTGATGTTAAAATATAAAGATTCTAAGTAACTGTTTACCTTTGCTATGTTTGGTAAGGTTTCACCCTTGACTGTCATTTAAAGCGCTCATTCCAGTTCTTTTGTTTGTATAAGTTTCAAACTTCCCTACGCTTCAGCTACCTATTACAACAATATAATCTCACCTGTAACGCTGCTCATCACACTTGGGGTATCTTTTTATGATTAAGTTGTAGAATTGTCTGATGCTGAAATCAATTCCCGCAACACCAAACACTGGATCATTGATCAGTCTAGTGAATAAAAAAACGAAAGACTATAATAATATATTTGCATAATGCTAATTGCAAGTACAGTAATCAATGGATGCCATTGGTCATCAAAATTCTACAGTGCAAATACAGATTGGTTTGCACTCACTATTATGACTGGGACATCATTTTCTATATGTTAAATGCTTCATACCATTGTAAAACCTGTCTTAAACTCTTTTTAACTGAAAGGTTTGAAAGAAACATTGACTAACACACTGACAAAGAAATATGGTAATGTCGAAAGCCGTGCAAAATATGATTTTCAGACGATTTTTACCCCTTAAATAATAGTTAAACTAGATAATGGCAACTCCGCGAGGTAGCAAATCCCAACGAACAAAATATCAATTACCAAATTCAAATCAATTATACTCATTACTTTCGTTAAAATTGAAAAAATTAGATTTTAGAATTGCGAATTCCTGCAAAGCAGCCATTTTGAATTTTCTGAGGTACAAATCTGAAAAATAATACCATAATTGTGACCTCCTCCAAAATTCCTTCAATTTGAGTATAATATAGGCATACTTTGAAGGGATCGAAAAATTATTGCGAAATCGTACATCACGCCCGCTGATCGTAAATATGGGACGGAGGGGGGGAGCAGGCAATTTCTGCTAGGAAATTCAACATATCTGGAAGATTTATTTTTTCAAGAAAAAGTTTACTATTGAATTGCTAAATGGATAGGCGCACGGTATGGTAGAATATGTTAGGTTTTCTGGGATTTTTTCTGAAACGATACGCATCTAAGGTATGAGATCTATTAAAAAAGGCGCAAGGCCATTAACAGGCACAAATTAACGTTTTTGCTATAAATCAAGCAACAATGGTCTGGACGACCTGTAATAAATACTTGTAAGTGATGTTATCATAACTAAATTAATGTCATTGCTGAATTTATAAAATAAGTTTCCATATGTGAAATAAAAAATAATCGAAAATAATGAATTTGGGACGGAGGGGGAGGGGACGGAGGGGGGGGGGAGCAATATGTATATAAGACATGATTAGAGATGTTTCGCGACTTAAAGTCCTTTTACTCCAAATGTCCCCATTTTTCAGTCTCCAGGGGTATATCATCCAGTTTCTTACTAAGTTAATGAGTTCATTTTTCAAATACAAGAATTCGTGTGAAGTTGTTTCACTTTATAGAATTATTACTCCCCCCCTCCGTCCCCTCCCCCCCTCCGTCCCATTTTAATTATTTTCGATTATTTTTTATTTTACGTATGGATACTTATTTTATAAATTCAGCAATGACATTAATTTAGTTATGATAACATCACTTACAAGTATTTATTACAGGTCGTGTAGTCCATTGTTGCTTGATTTATAGCAAAAACTTTTACTTTTGCACGTTGGTTGCGTTGCGCCTTTTTTAATAGATCTTATATCTTATTTAATTTGCAATTCAATCGTAAACTCTGTCTTGAAAAAATAATTTTACCAGATTTGTTGAATTTTCTAGCGGAAATTGCCTGCTCCCCCCTCCGTCCCATTTTCACGATCACCAGGCGTGAATACAGAAAAATAAAGAAAATATGATTGATAAAGGACCATGCACCCATTTTTTACAGAAGGTACATACTTGCCAACAGATAAAGACTTGCTCAATGTTATTTCGTATCCTTTGCTGTGCTTGTCTTTGTGGGGGAACGAAATTGTCAACTGTCTTCTGTTGGCCAATGCTCGAAGATACCTACATGTAGGCAATATAAGATACCACTTTACAGATTCTAATGTAGAAAAATATGTTTTAAAATCATTTTGACCTGGTAAATTAAGTCTTCAAGTCCTGGTAAATTAAGTCTTCAAAATATAACATTATTAGCCTTTGAGCTTTGTAATGTTGCTTAATTGACCAGTTCTTCATTGCATAGGGCTCAAAGGATTCCATTTTTCGTACATAACAGTAAATATTATTTATAATCTATTCATTATAATTATAAACTAAAAGCTGTACATGTTATGAAGTTGTAAGAGCATACAAAATATACTAGGTAACAGCATTTTCACTTTCAAATACGGTGCTGAGAAAGGGGTTCAAGTATTTTTTCAGGAAAGCTTCCGGATGGCACATTATTCCTTGATGCATAGAGATTTAGGTACGGTATACATCAGTAAAACCGTAGAAAAAATGACAAATGAGAGAAAGAATTAATAGAAGGCTTCTATTTACCAATGCTTACCATGGTTGTTCCGTAGGATCGTATGATTGTTCCCTACCGACGCCAGGTTTAGTCATTATAATACCATGTGTAGTTGCAATATATCGTCTTATTATAGATTCGTCATCTTGGGATATCCAAAATGAGTCTATGTCATCGAGAACCGTTACTATACTCCGGATATTTTCCTACAGTTATCGGATAATATTTTGTAAAGTTCTTTATTCTTCAACGTGTATTAATTCTAATGACTTATGTTATGGACTCAAATTGCAACGTTGCTACTTGATTCTTTTCCCGTTAGCTTATGGTTTGGAATAATCAGGCCTTGTTTTTCTTATGAGTGGTGTACTCTGTACTCTTTCGTTATTTTCTAAGAGTACACCAGTCAATAATCTCAATTTCAATTATCTTGAGGATAGGATGGGAATGAAAATGCATTTTAAACTAATTGCAACACAGTCTAAACCATACATTTATAACACTTTCAGATAAGCTTTTTTAGTTTGGGTCTAAATAAGGACGATTGTTTGAACAAAGACGATTTGTTCTCATACTATTTTACCTATTTTGACAATTTTCTAAAAATACCAACCTTTAAAGTATCGAATGACTCTTCATTTTTTCCTTCCATATATTCAATGATTTTGTCAACTGTTGATTTTGTCTCTGGGAATGTTACGAATCTTATCGGATTTGTGAACGCCTTTGCAGCAAGGAAAGTTGATGGCATATCTATAACAGTTGATGGCACAGTAAAGCCATATAGTTCTCGTAGTGGTTGAGCGGAATACTACTGGTCACCACAAAATCACACCCCATTCTCTTATACGTGGTAGCACCGGAAGTTTACGACGTTATACAAGTATTTTCGGCGGGAGATTTGTAAGTACTCATTTGTTTCACCGTATTGACAGAAAATGTTTCTTTCCTTTTCGTAGAAATATTGACCATACCATTCAGATAGACCTCCAGTATCACAACGTCTCAACATTTCCTCTGAACAAGGTATAAAACCTCTCAAACCTTCTAGAAAACACGACAATGTTTTTGAAAAAAATTATCATAGATCACAAAAATTATCATAGTTTCTATAATTCTAACTCTATTATCTTGAAATATTGATTATATTAACAATACATTTTTATACATCATCCAGGCACTTCAGTTTTCCAAATATCAATGAAAGAATTCGGGGGATATTAATTTTTCTTTGAAAGTATACGACGTAAAAGAGTTACGACATTTCATTGTAGATTTTTATTCCCTGGACGCCGTACTCCTTTTACACTTTCGTACACTTCGTACACGTCGTACACTTTCAAAGAAAAATTAATTTCCCCGGAATTATTTCATTGATTTGGGAAACTGAAGTGTCTGGATGATATGTCGAAATTGTACTGTAAATCTTATCAATTTTTCAAGATGATAGGGCTAAACATTTGAAAACTATAATGATTTTCGTGAAAAATTATCATTGTTTTTCAAGAAATTGTCGTGCTTTCTAGAAGGTTTCAGAAAATTTAGACCGTGTTCAGACAAAATGTCGAGACGTAGTGATACTAGAGGTATATCTGCATATGGTCAATGTTTCTGTCAAATCGTCAAAAATAAATGAGTACTTATACATCTCCCGTAGAAAATACTGGGTATAACGTCGTAAAGTTCTGGTGCTACGACGTATAACAAGTGTGAAAATAAATCATAATGCAAAAGCATTGGCTGCACACATGACTGGGGTAAAGGTGGCCAACCCGTTCGCCAATCTCCGAGCCTTCGTTCAGTGCAATCCGTGCCTCCTCTACCTTATTTCATGCAGATCTTTAAATTCCCCTTCTTAAAATATTGACTTACTTCAAAAAAGTAGATTTCTTCGTATTTACTCCTGATTTAAATCAGTGTATTTTATAAATTGTTTATTTCTAATGCAAGAATTCATTAGTAAGAAAAATACTTGTAATTCGTAGAAAACTGTTAAAAATAAGTGAGGCTAAAGGATTTTGCAAGAAAAGAAAGATAAGAAAGTGTTTATTAACACCATTGCTATGTAGTTCATTTAGACTTCCTTTTGGAAGTGACGTCATTTCAAACCCCCCCCCGCTTTCGTAATTTTCACCGTCTAGTTTACGAATACCACATGGTAAAATGATTTGTGAACGTTATCATTTATGTTGTATCAAAGATTTGGCGTTGTTGATGCAATAGTACAGACCGGACTTATTTCTCCACGTTTTGGAGATCGTGTCCCGGGAATAGTAGAATTGATTTAACATCGTCAGAGAGGTAGTGAAGGTACGCAACGAACGGAATGAAATCTGAGAATGCCCGTTCGGATTCACATGACTTTTTGATATAGATAATGAATGCAAAAGTTCATTAAAACTTTTGAATTGAATGAAGCTAGGAAGACCTAGGGCATATAAATTTTGGGTATTTTCAATTTACCTTTGGTTACTATAGAGTCATACTGTCTGCACATTTGGAGGTCTTGAATAAGATCAGTCCTATGGTATACAAATCTGGAGACCACATCATTGTTTGCAATTGAAAAGACTGTTCCATTCACAGGTATTACCACACAGATGGTAAAATTTGTTCTTTCGATCTGAAAGATAAATTCTATTTTTTCCTTGTATGTAACAAATTATGTTAATATATATTTTTGCCCCAAGGAGTAAGGCATGTTGACATAACCTTATGCGTATTAATCATAGGCTCTGAGATGAAACTGATGCTACATAATGATAAATAAATAAATATATTAGAGTTCATAATTGCTTTGAATCCGAGAGGCTTTTTTGTTTTTTATAAAGTGTAAAGAATTTTCTTTTTACCCTTTCCCATGAATATTCGGCCTTCTCCATTGTTACTTCGTAGACTCCTTCCATTGAACTTGCTCCTCGAGGAAACACACGACCAGATTCTATAATCCTTTTCCCAGAGGTGCCGCGTTTCATTTCCTCAATGATTCCTTCTTTGGCAGCTGTCCTTTCCAAATTACTAATAGGGACGAACAATATATCGTTTTTCATTACGAATGGTCTGGGTAATGATGGGTGCACAATTGTTCGACCTTTATTGTCTATCATAAATGCATATGCTTGATCACCATCATTGAAATACGTGATGTCTGTTAACAGGTCCGTCATTGTCATATCAACACATGCTACGCCTTTGATAGTACCTTTGTGATGTACCGGTAAACATATCGACGTCACAAGACCTAAAACAGCATACTGGCTAAATAGTGCTGGAGCCAATACATGTGACAACTTTAGTTGCTTCAACTTATCTAAGTGCATCCATTCATCTTCATTGTGTGAGAGACAAAACTATTGCAAAGTACAGGGTGGGCCAAAAAACGCCACTTTTTTTCAAAATGCTAACTTTTTTATTTTTGATACAAAATCATAATTTGCATACCAAATGAAACTTGAGGTTGTTATCTAGCCATGAATCATGAATTATACACTTTTACTTGAATAAAATATGTCACCAGAGTGTCACTTAAACATGTGGTGTGCCATGAGAAATAAGCATAATTTGCAAAATGTTCCTGAACTGATACGGCCTGATGACCACCAAGCTAACAGCCCTGATGCAAACCCCAGTGAGTATAGGGTATGGGGAGGTATCCAGGAGATGGTAAGAAGGCACCCAATCTAAAAAATTGCTCAACTAAAGCTGGCAATTAAGACATGTTGAAAAAAACTTAGCTAACATTTCATTGATACTGCTATATCAGCAAGGCGACTGAAACTAAAATCTATCATCAAATAGGATGGCGGACCAATTGAACTCCTCTTTTAGATCAAATATAATCCAAGTTGAAGGACTTGTTACATTATATTATTACTAAGAACCCTTGGCACTATATAACTGCAAAATTTGGGGTATATATGTAGGTTGAAAAATAAAAAAGTTATAGCGTCTTGAAAAAAAGTGGCGTTTCTTTGGACCACCCTGTATATATTTACCCAAGCCTAATGCATCTATGTATGGTGTTGCAATTATTGGTGAATCATACGTAGACCTGCTGAAATACTGGTAATAGGAGGACATCGTCTGTCGAAGATTTAAAGCGTCTTCAACAACAGTAAAAGTGCCTTCCTAAAATAAAAAATAATAAACCACCTGTAAATGCTTTGTTGTTTCTCTTTTGATAAATCATTTATGTTGACGTATCTACAAGTGGTGAATAAATATATAAGATAACATATCGAGTACATGGGATAAATTATAAATATTTCTCATGGATAAAATTACTCAGCCGTATCGTTTTTCTAGTCTAGCAATAAAATTCTCACCCTAACTTTTCCATTTGTTTCATCTCTTATTGTTTGATTGGCCATTTTTGTCAGAATTTGTTGTGTGCTTTCATCCGTAGCAACTGTAATACATGTAAATGTATATGGCTCTAATTGTCACTGCAGTGTATGTCGTTGTTCTCAATATGCATTGAATATTAGGTAACACTTACCGGAACCAATACCATAAGTAAGTATCACAACTTTGTTTTTCAGCTTAGTGTTTCCATTCATAATTGCTTCAAAGATTGTTGAAGTGTTAGCATCTGTTGGTGTACCGTCCGTGAGGAAAAGAATCACTTTATCTAAGAAAAAATAATTTTGGAACATGTCAAAACACGTGTGCTTCATGTACTCAACTGGAAGATTCTTCCACTACAATATTTCTCACTTTTTGTATTCGAATTTAAAATGAATTAGGTCAAACCAAGGATCATATAGACTTATTGGTGAGTAAGCCTGGCAAAATCATAAACATAAAATTCATTGAATATAAATAAAACCTTTATATCAAAAGAACGATAGGACATTAACACAAATTTTAACCTTATTGTAAGTATAACTTAACATAATTTATCAATACAACATTAGGCCAACACTCGTTATTTTATTTGATTCATTTTGAAATCTTCACGCAAATGAACAAACCTCTCGCTTCATTTCCGTCCAAATCAACTGAATCGAGAAGAAGATTAAAGACAGTCTCAATTGCAGCTGTGTAATTGGTGTTCTCATCCACAGTTATTTTATCAACATTGCGTTTAAGAATTTCTATGTTTTGCGGTATTGCGAAAGCAAGTTGATTCTTAAAGCAGGTCGGTGTAAGTTCTGGATCACCCATCGCTACAGATGCTGTTGTTGAGAACTCAACTATTCCTATCTTAATATGAATATACAACAGTATAAATGTGAATTTGTATGAGAGTAAAGTAAGTTAGGTAGCCATAATTATTGAACCTTAAAATTGTACTAGAGGGAATCCGCGGAGATTCCATTTTTGTTTACTTTTTTTGCGCATGGGCAATATGTCCAATTTTAGCTAGTTTAATGTAAAAACAAATAACTGTCAACTCCAATATATGTTCTCTATTCATTGGCAGTAAACTTTCGTTTGGTATATAAACTAAAACCGAATGAATTACAGAAAATCATTTTGAATCATGGGAAAGGAGTAGATTCAATTTTGCACATGCGCAAAAACCGAACCAATTAAAACCTGACCCTCGAGCAGATTGCCTCGACTCTAAAACTGGTATGACATTACCAAAATGAATAATCTTCAAAAAAGGAAAACTTACTCGATCTGAAGGGTTCAATGTTTCTAAGATAGTCATTGAGGCTTCTTTGGCTACACGAATTAGTAACCTCGTGCTAAAAGCTGAAATCGGATTACTCATCGACTTTGATTTGTCCAGCACTATTACAACATCTTTTGGTTCAGGTGTAGCTGTTTCAACATACCAAGGTCTGAAAAACATATTGTGGGAAAATTTCATTTTATGTGTTTATCCTTTTAATTTTCTCACTTGTGCAGTTTCATGTTTAATTAAAAAATCTACTTTGATTGTTCCATTATGCAAGGGATAGGGGGACCCCTGTTTGTTAGTGGAAATTCCGTTGGTTTTTCAGACAGGACGGGGAATCCATTCATTTACTGCAAGGCAGTGCCCTTGATTTAGAAATGCAAAACTCTTAGCAGTCATGTGACCAGTAGCATGAGTCAGAATGAAGGTCGCCATCTTGAAAGTAGGAGATGAGGTCTAATGGGGGAGAGAAACCCACGTACACGTTATGTACACGATATGTACACGTTTGAGTATCCATTGGCCATCAGGAGGGAAATATTTAGAAGGAACATAACGTGAGGATATACCAGAAAGGATTAGGGAGGAAAATCAAATAGATATCAAAGATTTCTGGACCTTAGAGAAGACAGCATTAATTCGAGTATTTTTTCTAATTTGTTCAGGATTTGATTTTAAAGCACCAGACGGTAAGGAGCTGTACAGAAACAGAAAAATCTCCGAGGCAAGAGAAGCCTAAAATGGCTACAAGGAACGTCCAACAGACTCAGAAGAGCTTCCCCATACGGCAAAGAGACATACGGAGCCAGGTGAAACCTCCAACAGCAGCAAAGAGCTTCAGATTGCTGTACGGACAGTTCATTTTCACCACTGATTCTAGTTAGCTACTATAAGGTCTCAGAAGTCTCCAAAGGACTCATCTAGCAGTGAGGACCTTCCCCTAGACGGCGAGGAGCCGAACAGACAAGGGGCGTTCCAGGTGGAACTTCAAACGGCAGCAAAGAGCTTCAGCTTCGGTTTCAGCAGTGACTGTAGTTAGCTACTATAAGCTCTCGGAAACCACTAAAAGACTCATCACGTAGTGAGGAGCTTCCCCCAGACGGTCGTACAGACCAATGGAGAGCATTAAAGAGCCATCGGGAGCCGAGAGCGCCAAAGAGCCAATAGGATCCAGACAGAGCGCACAAGAGCCATGTAAAGCACTCAAGAGCAATTGGGAGCCAAGAGCGCAAAAGAGCCACCAGGAGCCAAGCAGAGTGCTAATGAGCCAATAGGACACATACAGAGCACTCAAGAGCCATACGAGCCAATCAGAGAGCTAGAGAACCATTGGGAGCCAAGAGCGCAAAATATCTATTTTCGTGAGTGGAGAAATATGTTCGGGAAAGAGGAAATGGTGGTGCGCGACATAAGATTTCACGTTTGCGACGTGAGAATCGTGGTTCGAGCACAAGGAACGTAGTTCGCGAGGTCAGAACTGATGTTCGCGTTGGCTCCCAGGATCGATATTTTCCAACAATGAAAACCAATATCTCGATCATTTCTTGTGATATTTTTAAAGTAGGTCCAAATTTTTAGAAGGGTAAAGTTCGCGGGAATTTTGCATTAGGTAAGGTAGTGGATGCACGGATTGCACTCACGAAGGCTAGGAGTTTGTTTAATTTGTATACCTGAATCTGTTGTCATAGCCCTTGCAGCCGGCGCTTTCCCCGCTGTGTGCGGCGGGATACTGTGTAAATATACCTTGTTCTGTTCCAAAGTACTGCCATCTGAGATCGCGAAGATTTCTGAAATGGCAATGAGTTTTTTGGAGGCCATTTATTGTTCCCAGTCTCTCACTGAAGAAGAGTCCTCTTTGCATAGTTAACGAGGGACTGATGGAACAGGTCATGACACTTTCATGAAAAAAGAAAATGAATCAAAGTAATTATGCCAGCTTGACCTCGTTTTGGTGTTTCTGCAAAAATGTTCTTAAGAAATCAGAATATTAGTAATCAGATATTAATCCACATTTCATCGTCAGAAATTGATAATTCCACAGGCCCGTTGCCAGGGGGGTTCGCAGGGTTCGGGCGAACCCCCCCCTGGCCAAAAATTCTTTCAATATCATGGAGTTTTTCACCATTTTGAGCACTTCTCAAGTGATTTTAGCAATATTTGGGCCAAAATTGTCAAATGTGAACCCCCCTGGAAATTTTTGAAAAATGAACCCCCCTTGGCAAATCCTGGCTACGGGCCTGTTCCATTTCATTTAAATTAATTACTCAAGATACATGAATATGGAACACATGCTGAGTTTCATAAATTTTGTAAAAATAAAAAAATTAGAGCAAAAAGAAACGAACTTTTCAGATGCCCCACATATATTATACCTGCTGTTTTCCCGCATGACTTCAACAACTTTCGAAGTAATATATTCCCGTGTATGATTCTCTGGGGCAAAATCTGATACTTTTACACACACATTGGATAGGTCCACCTAAATATGAAAAATAGTTTCACAAATTAACAAATGAAATCTCTCCAAATCTTCCAAAGTGTTACTACAGCAATATGGAGTTTTCTATGAAAAAGGCAAGTCAAGGGACCATTTGCTATATCTATTAAAAGCTAAATGGCAGCACGTGTGTGTGACAGTAATGTCTTGATGTACTAATTTTTCCTTTTGGGTTAATTAATTTAAAACTCCTTTGGTATGTAACTAGCTATGCGATTCTAGTAACTAGCTATGTCGTAATAAAAAAACACACAAAGAAAATGCTATCAAATAGAAGAAACTGCTCGTCTTTAATGGTTGAAAATGCAGATCTCCTAAACTCTCATTATAAACGAGACTTCAATGAGACTCCAACGGGATTTAGAAAACCGTCTATCCATTATGATTGAAAATGTTACTTCATGCAAGAAAAGTAACAAACATGACATGTCATGATCATCAATGATTTAAAGTATTCATGAAAGGAAATGACTCAAATAACGGATGACGAAATTTCCAATTTCAGAATTTGAACGTTATTGGACGATCTATCAGCATATCTGTACGCAAAAATACATATACATATATTGTATCTTTGAGTATTAAACTCAGCAACTTGTTGTTCTGGATCATGGGTAACAGTTTAGGCAGTCTTACTTCTGTGGTCTAAGATGCAGCTAACATACCTCCGTTTTGAATCTGTAATCCCGAGCAGCTGATTTGAAATCACAACATTGTTCATGGCCAATCCCTTTATTCGAACCGAAATTTTCATAATCATCCTCAATTGCCTTCTCAAGTTGACGGGCTGCGCCTATGAACTGCTCGAACTTTTTTCCTAGTGAACCTGTCAGCTATCCAGAGAAAATAAAACGTACAAACCATTTTACAATTTTAAAATATTGTTACTTAGGGCGGGGGTTAAGATGGCGCGTTCTTTGACACCTTAATCTGCTGATTAGTTACATCTGAACATATACCTGCATGTAATTAAGTTAATTACATGCAGGTATATGTTCAGATATAACTAATTAACCAATACAATCCACTAATCTAATAGTAGATTTGTAGAATAACAAATGCGTACCTCGGGAAGGTTTCTGGTGCTCACTGTCTTTTGTTGAAAAGTAACATCTTCGTCTAAATATTTCTAAATTAGAGAAATAACAATTTGCAAAGATACATTCGGTACCGATGGACATTATAAACTCAGACAAGGATTCAGAACATAATTCTTACTCAAAAAATATATTTTGGTTGTCTTGTCTTGTGAATTGAACCATATCAAAACCTTGTTTTGACATTTAGAATTTATGTCACATTGATCCCCATGTTAACAACCAGTTTTGACAAATGAACGCTGCTTAAAATGTAATTAACAGTTATCCTTTTGGCATAAAATGAAACTTTAGAATAAGTTAGACTTTTAGGTATTTTTATTCTATTTCTAGAACTTTCGAAATAGCATGCATAACTAGCTCCAATATTAATGATCATACCTGGATGGAGTCAAATTCTGAGGTTACTTTCTCCAGATCTGACGTAAATTCTTTTGCATTTAATATTGCAGAATTTACACATGTGTTCCTTTCACATAGTAGTGTACCAGTGAGAATCAATACGATAGCGAAATTGACACCACCGTCCATTGTATCCTAAAATATAAAGACCAATTACATTTAATAAATTGTTAAACCTCAGACGAAAAAGGTTCTCAGGTAGAAAGAAAAAAGTCCACGCAGATATAGCATGCATGACGACATGCTCACACACTCATTTTGAGTACGTAAATGTGTTATTTAAAGTGTCTCACATATTCGATCAAAATTTGCCATGCAAACATGTTAGTCTACTTTACTGCCCCCCCTTGCTGTAACAAGGAACCCAAAACACATTAAAACGTAAACATAAACCAATTCGTCACTTCACTATGCAAGTGAGGGGTGTACGCTGTGTGCATGGACTGACACAATATCAGTGGTCATTTACTATGTCAACTTAGTAACCCTTGCATATCGTGCTCACTCAAGTATTGAATAATTTTTTTATGATCTAAATGTTTGTGGTTTATAAAAAAATGTGATATGTTTTAGTTAGAAATACATTAATTAATATATTCATTCAAACAGCACTAGAATGCGGGAAGAAAGAGCAATGGTGACAAAATGCAGACAGAATTTTCCGTAAGGGTTTCAAACATTTCTGAACACAATCATACATGTACTTCATGTGTACTGTTATTTTTAGTGCTATATTTATAGATATAATTTCACGTATTAAAATCATATTTTCCAGCAATGACTTCAAATTCGGAACCACACCCATATCACATTTTCTTCAATAACTCCAAACATGTGTAAACATTGACCATGTGCATATAAATTCAGATTTCACGAGCTCTTTCCTATTCGAGTACCTCATACACCCCTGCATGGATTTGAGTTGGATTCGCCTTTTATACGTGAGCCGACACACTCGCAAACGCTGATTGGATAAAGATTGCGAGAATCTTTAAGTCATATAATATAATGTCCTGATTTCTAGATGAAATCTGGCATCAAGTATTTCAAGAATATATTCGAAACTGAGCTACGAGTCACCATTCTTAAATGCATAAAAAGCAATGATAAAGATGCAAAGTCTAAAAACTTACGATGTTCAATAAACAATAAACATACTACTATATATTACTAGATTATGTAATTCATTGCGATTGGTGCACGCACCCTGATGAGATAAACCAAGACCTGGCAAGCAATTGAATACTGCTTAGCATTCAGGCCTGTAGCCAGGGGGGGGGGGGGGTTCGATGGGTTCGAGCGACCCCCCCCTGACAAAAGATTCTTTCAAAATCATGCAGTTTTCATCGTTCTGAGCACTTTTTAAGTGATTTTGGCCATTTTTGGACCAAAATTGTCAAAAGTGAACCCCCCCTAGAATTGTTCAAAAAGTGAACCCCCCTTGGCAAATCCTGGCTACGGGCCTGCATTACATTGTCAATTACAGAACTGTAACTGTTCGAAGGTCCGGCCATACTATTTGTCGTATTGTCTATGTATGAATTAATGAAAAACGTTTATAGTTTCATGCATTTAATTCAAATATACCATACAGAGTTCATATTCAGAAGTTTAAATGGTACTGTAAACTGTAAAATAAATATACAAATTCAGCTTACCTTTTTGTTGTATTAGTGTGATGTCATCTGATCTATTCGTGTTGAATATTTCGATAAACTTCACTACTAACAAGGTCATCTAATTTTATGGGGCTTTGGAAATGCCAAATGAAATTTAAAAACATCCGTGTTAAGTTTCATAATATTTCACTCCAAGATTATATTTTTTCGCACTAACCTTTTTGAAATAAATAATTTCAATAATATTAACTTATATTTATGACCTTGCAAAAAGCACTTTGCCAAAAACGTATTTAATGGTATATATCTGCATTCCAACATTGGCTACGTGATCTGACGTTAAATGAAGTTAACCACATTAAGTTGACTCTTAGCTTGGTTCATTTTATTTAATAGTATGATACAAAATATATAAATCAAAATAAATGTCTTCAAAATGATATTAAAGCTATATTTTTAACCAGGAAGTAAATAACACAGGCATATCATACGTCGAAATGATGTTTCTTTACCTTGGAATTATTGGGCTGTGAATAATAGGAGACAAGGTTACCTTGCTTGTGTTCTGTTATCTTCCAGATAAATAGGCGTACATTGGATACTTTCATGATACAAAAACTAAGAAATATACATCACGTATCGAATTTTCCAAAACAGAAAAACATGTATAAATAGTAATAGTGGGCTGTATAACAAGGTTGGTCGGGGTCGGGAGCTTGGGATAATTTTATTGCTTAAATATAACCATATCATCATCCTACATTAGAATCCACTCAGTCTAACATCAATATCTGGTGAGAAACTTGTCATTTTTGAGTTTTACCCCCCTTGACGACAAATTCTTTGGGATACTATGACAAATGCTTACAACTAAAGAGGTATTTATTTGATCATCTTCATTTTTTACATGGGTAATTAACAGGTATGTAAAAGTAAGATTTGAAAAATTCATACAAATCGGGTGATTAATCCATTCTAAAGATAATAATTCAGGTATTTTCAAGGGTCAATTTCAACATTTTCTGAATGTCGACATGAAGTAAAAATAACATTATGACCCAATGACATATTTATTGAATGTTTTTAGGCTTTAGAAAATAATTTGAGTATATAAGCTAAAATAACAACATAAGAATTGTACCATATCAATAATTCTTCATCGCCATCCAGGCACAAATAACCCCCCTTCCATTTTCGAATATAAAGGTCTATGCCTGAAACTTTCTCAAATAGCTATATTTCAGAAACTATTACAGCCTACATTCCAAAATTTCTCATGTTGATTATACACATCATACTCCGCATATTATACATATAATTGAAGTCTTAACACTTTTTTGAGGGTGTAGCTAATAATAATAGTATATTTATTAGACATCTTAGAAATCAAAATATATGTCATAGAAGGTTGTCACAACACTACAAGAGCGATGTTTTGGATTGTCATCATTTTTGAGAATATTCCAAAAACATATTTATATTATGCAATAATCACCTATTTTCATTTTACATAATAAAAATATATTATCCAGCTAGTTTTAATGATTTCAGTATATGCATTTAATTCTGAGATGCATTTAGGTTTGATATCCATGAAGTAATCGTTTCTTTTTTGTTTGTAATTAAGTTCACAAGCATAAAACTATAAGCATTAAATCTGTATGCTTTAGGATATACATAATCAATACCGATGACTAAACATTCAATTGACAACATTCAGTCAATATGCTTGACAACATTCAATAATGATTAATTTGTTCGACCAATATGTTTTCGATTTAACTTCACCAATACACGTTGCTTGAGTATTCACTTCAACATTCGCTTCAAGCAGTTGATCATTGTTAGTTCTCAACATCACCTGAAAAAGTTTCATCTATGAAATTGTTGACTTCATTATTTGTCATATCATCAATTTCGTCATCTGATTCTTCGTTATAAATGTCTACCAACTCTACTCTAGAAAAATGGCATTTGGATTTTCAGCCCATTGTATATCAAGTTCGCCATTTTCTAGGATCCATCCATTTTCTGCTGGAGAAAGTATATCCATTTGGGGTTTGTGAAACTGCTTCCATATGTAAGCTTGGTAGTTACATCTTTTACAATGTTGAACAAGGGATGACCTGCATGGAGGAAAGAGACTGATGTCTGTCCCATCATAGTTGTTGATAAAGGCCTACAGGTCCGATTCCCCCTGGTAGCATTAACATTGGTCTCGTGTATGTCATACAATTAATATTTGAAACACAATTTATAACTTAATTTAGCTGTCATTCACCATTTGATAAGCAGTAAAAAATTAATTTGCTCCATGGGTGACAAATTATTTCAAGTGTCCTGGTGAATGTCGAGTCTCACATCATACGAATGTAAAAAAAAGAAAAGAATCCAAACTTCCTTTACAAAAGGCTCATTCATTTTCACTCATACAGTTCCGTTTTCACCCATAGTTCCGTTGAACCTGTTCGTCTAATATTCCTTATACTGTACAAATAAAATCACTGTAAAATTATGACACTAAATATTACCTTGAACAGGTAATTTGCAGTCGCATCCCGGTCCCTATTGGCGCTAATTTTTTTAGTTTATGTTTTATTTATTTCATAATAATAATCAAAAAATAAATACGGGGCCTGCGCCGAAGCATTATTGGCCTTGTTGGTTACAATGGTAAAAATACAATGCTAAAATGTTACAATACAAATATGATAGATATAAAAAATAGATATAATATATTCTGATAAGAAATAATCACGAAAATTCGAAGACAGGGCAGAGATAAATGTGGACTATGTCTTGACTTCCTTGACAATAGAGTATAAAAAATCCGCAGTAAGTTCAATAGCCTTCTTGTTTGTAATGGAGTCAAGAGAGGAATCAACAAAAAAGTAAAAAGCTAAGGCTACCATGTCTTCCTGTTTTCTATGATTAAATGAGTTTAAATTAAACTCACCCTATATCACCCCATGCAGACATATCGACTAAAATTACATTCGGATGATGTGAGACTCGACATTCACCAGGAAACTTGAAATAATTTGTCACCCATGGCCATGGAGCCATGTACCTAAAGAACTCGATGTGACTGTCATTCACCATTTATAAAGCAGTAAAAAAGTAATTTGCATCGTGGGTGGCAAATCTTTTCTAACTTCCTGGTGAATGTCGAGTCTCGCATCATACGGATGTAATTTTAGATCTGTCTGCATGGGGTGTATATAAAGAGTTGAATACATATCTATATTAGATATTTTTCTCTTCCAAATGTTTCATGGTTTTGACCAACTATACACGATGGAGTATTTTGTCTCTCGATGGGTAGAACATGTGCACTGAACTGGGTACCGATAGAACACTGACATTAGGAGTGGACCCCTCATCATGTTCGTCAAATCCAATGTTTAGATATTCACTCCCCATTTCATATTCAGTGTTCAAAGAAACGTCGTAAGTTGGCGAGGCCCTTCGTGGATAAGGATCACGCTGGTAAGTGTGCTGTGGGTGATTATGTGGCGGAAGACTTGAACCAGCATTCGGTTGGTTTGGAAGATTGGTTGTCTGTAAGCCGTTGGGAACATTATGGTCGTGTTGATTCTTACGTTGCCTTCTTTTGTGGATTACGACTACAATCACCACCACCACGATGATCAAAATAACTCCTAATGCTCCGAATCCACCAGCGTACGCTGCAGTATCAATGACTTCACTTGGTGAACCAACCATTTCACAAACATCACTGTTACCATCAATTGAACACTTTGAATAGACACAACGCCCCTTTGAATCATCTCCGTAGTCTGATCTGTTTGACCTGCACCATGTACAGAACCCAGAATCGAGGCAATCACTAAAACGAAAGTTTTCTTTACAATTTTATGATTGGAGTGTGTGTCACGATATGTATTCTATTATATTAGGCTTTATAGCATCTACCTTTTACTTATTACTTTATTGGGTATTTTACATTATACTGAGAATATAGGCTGCACTTTTGAACTACCCGTGGCGCAATACATCCAAACGCAAAAATAAATAATTAGGGTTAATTAGCAAAGTAAAATGTAGAGAAAATGATGGTCTCAGCTAAAAGTACTCGTTATCATGTAATGTCTAAAGAGTGTAAGAAAAAATCATTCATTGACTTACAAAAATGTTTTCTTTTGAGGACATTCGACATCGAAACATGGTTCATATGATGCCACTGCTTCTTCATCAAGGTGAGCTTTACTCTCATATTTAGGGGGATCTGGGGAGCAGGTCTGATATGTGTCACTACAATAAATAAGATGAAATTAACACATTTAACTCCCTGGTCTACTATTAACGTTGCTTGAAGTTTCTTTGTTGTTTGGATTTGTTTGATGAAATATTTCACACACTAATCTTTGAAATAACAAAAAACAGTTTCTCAAATGAGAAACTGTTACAATTGTTACAATTGATACAACATTTTTTATCTAGTAATTCCATGTTATGCCTTTTTCAAAGAGTCTTACTAGAACCCAGGTTTTATTTCAGGCTTTCTCGAAAATAAATGAAAATGAGTTTTTCAAAATGCATATTCAGTGCGTAACAAACCTTTCTTTTGGGAATTTGTTGTTGCAGAAGTCAAACGCTGCCTTGGAGAAACAAGGGCATTCACATTTATCAGCAGTTTCGTCCTCATGTTGGCACTCATAATTAGTGCTGGTATAGATGTTTCCCTATAATCCACATTTTAAACAACTTATTTTGAAAAAATTATATTATACTGGTAATCATCTGACTGTCATCATAAAAAGTTCAATATTTTCTAAACTAGAAACTAGATGACTTCAAAACCTACTGATGTTTCATTTTCTTTTGGTCATGTATCCTTAACGTGGTAGAGATTTGGCCATTATGCCTGCATTCAATTTTAAAACATGAATTTATGTAGATTATGGGCCTTTGCGGCCTTTAATGGATGCAGACATGGAGCAATCGCTTTTGAATCAAAACATATAAAAATGAACACATAGACTAAATTGAAATGAATATTCCTTAACATAAACAAACTCTTCTGAGGCCAAAACACATTTGTATTACCTTGGAACAAGCGCAGCTTGATTGAGTATCTTCCGTTTCATCCGATCCAGTTGTTTCATCCGTCGATAATTTAACGCCAAGGAATGCATTTGTGCCTCTTAGTTTATACAGTTCAAATGATTTTGAGCGAATCATCTGCAACAGTGATAATGATGATGCATAAGATAACATAATGGAATAACAGGGGTGACAATAGTACAATAACATCATTTCGAAGGGCAATATAGTGAAATATTGGACCGAGGGCCGAAGGCCCAAGTTCCAATATTTCACTATATTGCTCACTAATAAATGACGTTATTAGTAGTTAATGACCAGGACTGAAACAACAAGAAAATCTTACGCACTGAGCGATATCTAATTTCCAGGGGAAAATTGCCGGTCATTAATTGCATTCTTGACCGGCAATATGGACCACCACTATGACGTCACATATTGCTCAGGTCGATATAGTAAAATGAATGCCTTCTAAAGTAGCACTGAAACCCCTAGAACTGGTCCGGCAAGGTGGTAATAATACGGAATAATGAAAAAAAAGAAATATGGACTAGGAGATTCCGATATTAAATATGGAATATGATCACGATGGTCTAAAAATATAAATATAACGATCAACAGTTCGGCTAAGCTTTAGCATGAGTACACGTAATTGTGAAATCTCAAAAATAGAATATCACCACAAACTCAAAATATTTATGAACAGAGAAAATGGATGTACCTCAGCTGAAATAAAATCAACAATCCATGTTCTGTAGTCTTTCAACTTTTCAAAGTTTATGCACGCCCGTCTCGACATATGGTAGTTTTTAATCAAGTGTTTAGCGATTTCAGGTTCCTACAAAAAATTCAAGTACATACTCATACTCATTTAAAATTAGACTAATGATGAAAGAAGTATTATAAATGTATTTCATACGGTTCCTGAATTTATTATATGAGGATGACCAGCATAACATCTTTTAGATTCACGTATACGTGCAAATAACGCTCATTTTCAATTTCAATTCTTCATTACAAGTTATTAAAACTTTAAAAAACAAGTTATTAAAACTTTAACAATTTTTATTGAAAGGTGTGCAAGTGTAGGTTTTCAACCATCTTATCCATTATCTTGTATCATTATTTAATTTATTTTTTCTATTTATTTCTGACCAACTTGTTTACTCGTGGCTTATAATGCAGTTCTGCAAAGCCGTAGACATGTGTATGTTATATGTTAGTTCGATATGGAAATAAATGATCAATAAAAAAATTACACGTTATTAAGTTGTATTAGTAACACACCTTAATCGTTACATGGAGTCCCTCTATCTGTTGATCTTTATTAGAACAGTTGACGAAATCCCTGTGCATGACAATAAACCCACTGTTATCCATTATAAAGCAGCTGGAATAAATATGCGATTGACAATTAGAAAAAAACACCAATTTCCATTCTGATACTCATGGCATCTTTCTATTTCACCTGAAACATGCTCTAATATTATGAGGCATATTCTGTGATCTCAGGGCTGTGAAGAAATGAGATGCCATTGTTTATCATGATGACTAGTTACCCATTTTTATGACTTTGTCACAACGAATATGACAGCGAATAGGTGCAAGTTCTCTCCAAAAATAATAAACCATTTCAAAATTATATGCACACCCGATGGCCATCTTTAGAGTATGTGTACATCATTAAATATTGAGGCTGATTTTCAATAAACCGATGATGAAAATTTCCAGGTAAACAGCTTTCAATGCTTCTATAGGTGGTCCTATCAAAGTTTGGTCCTACTCTCTATTGATTTATATGGTGACCTAATTACAATTATTTTCCTTAGTATTTATACACAATCAGGGCCAGTAAGGGCCGTAAGGAAAGGGGACCATATTCCAAAGGGGACCATAATTTCTTTTACACCGGTGCTTTGTTTGTAAGCTTCAAACTCCCCTACGCTTCAGCTACCTATTACAACAATATAATCTCACCTGTAACGCTCCTCATCACACTTCGGGTATCTTTTTATGATAAAGTTGTAGAATTGTCTGATGCTGAAATCAATTCCCGCAACACCAAACACTGGATCACTGATCAGATGTTGTCTAGTGAATAAAAACCATTTATTAGTGGAATACTATGATATGGAATTAAATATAATGTAAATGGAATGGATAAGCACAATGCTATTGCAAACTAATGTACCGTATTTGTTGGATGCCTTTATTTTTTAAAAACCTATAGCGGAAATATTTCAAGGCTTTAAGTAAAAATACCTACCTGCCAACAGATAAAGACTTGCTCAATGTTATTTCGTATCCTTTGTTGTGCTTGTCTTTGTGGGGGAACGAAATTGTTAACTGTTTTCTGTTGGCCAATGCTCGAAGATACCTAGGCAATATCATACCAATTCTAATATAAATATAAATTCTTATGTATCGACTTAAAAACAATTTATAATTTCAAAATTAATTGGACGTGATGAATAACGATTTTAAAAGAAGTCAGATTGTATTATTCCCATTTGAACTGTATGATCGATTGGCCTCTTCTTAAGTGAATGCGACTCAACGGATTCCATTTTTGTTTTTAATATCCTATATGATATTATAAATATTTTGTATAATCTATACTTAATAAAATAAAAGATGTATGAAGTTGTAAGAGTATTAACGTACGCAATAGCATTTTCAGGTTCATATTTAAGGTAATGAGAAAGGGGTTCTTTACTAGGGCTTTATTTAATCATAGCATCTACTAAAGTGCATTTGAAGTAAAGAATCACCAAATTGAATGCTTACCACGGTTGTTCCGTAGGATCGTATGTTTGTTCCCTAGTGACGCCAGGTTTAGTTATTATTATGCCATGCGAAGTCGCAATATAACGTCTGATTGTAGATTCGTCATCTTGGGATATCCAAAATGAGTCTATGCCATCGAGAACCGATACTATACTGCGGATATTTTCCTACAGTATAATATTTTTTGAAAATCTTTGAATAAATATTAAACTTCAACTTAATCATGGGCTTTCAACTAGAAACACTTTCGTAAATCAAAATCAATTTTCGGTAAGGTAAATATTAAATGAGCCCGATGAATTATGTCTATATAGAAATATTGTAACTAGAACAATTTTATTTGTACTTTTGAAAATTCCAAGCAACCAACAGTCACACTCTTAATATCCCATTCATATTCCTAATTTTACAAACCTTTGACTCTATAATTTTATTGAGTTTAGTGAGAATTCGAGCCAGTGCTAAAGTGCTCGAAATTTTAGATTTTTTTAAATACAAGGTACACGAGGGTTGTAAATCACACATGATATTACAACTTGCACCATATACTAACTGGAAAATGCAGACAGATATGAGAGGATACCATTTCCGTAATAGTCCTGATTGCATAAAAGTGTAAAATTGTAAAACAAATTACAAATGTCAAGCAATTAATTCAGAACTTGATTTGGCAATGCAAGTGTTTTTCAGTATATATGTATATGTATGTATATATGTACATGTATATAGTAGTACTTATTCAACACGGGCGATTGAAATATATATATCGCCCGTGTTGAATAAGTCCTACAATAATCTCAGCAATGTGCAAAGTAACAAGTAAAATGGTATGAAGGTATTTAATATGTCAGCGCAAGTGCAAATGATAAATATCAGAAATGCTTACAGAATCCGGCAAGAAAAAGAAAACACCAGTATTAAGGAAAATATAAACCCCAGCCATCCCGAAACATAATCCAACATGGAAAGAATCAGTGTGTAATACCTCCTCCCCCATTCAAGTATCAATATCAAAACCCGAGACCATAACACCAAGGGACATTTTATAAATACCGAAATCATTAAAACACATGAAGAATAAATTCAAATTTTATAGCCAATACTAAAAATATCAAAAATAGTTGTAATTGATATTCTAGTATTCATACAAGATAGAGCATCCAGTCTCAAAAGATGCAAGGCAGACCTGGGAACAGACATATCACAGGATCGACATCAATGAAATGCACAAAGAAATGATTAGAAAGTCCCTCTTAATCTGCTTTGTAAATTCATTATGTATTTCTGGAGTTGTATAATCTAATAACATTTTCAAATAAACTTCTTTTTAGTTTGGCTTTTAATAGGTGAACAGTTTGATCGAATACTAGTTATTCTCATGTTATTTCACCTATTGGACAAATTTCTAAAAATACCAACCTTTAAAGTATCGAATGGCTCTTCATTTTTCCCTTCCATATACTCGATGATTTTGTCAACTGTTGATTTTGTCTCTGGGAATGTTACGAATCTTATCGGATTTGTGAACGCCTTTGCAGCAAGGAAAGTTGATGGCATATCTATAATAGTGGATGGCGAAATTGTAACTCACATCAACAAGAGCAAAAAAGCAATAAAAATGTGATAAACTTTTCAAAATGCTCCTCTTTTATGACTATATGGGGGAAATATCCATATAGGATGGATATCAGACAATTGTTTTTGGTTTTCTAAATCACTTTCAAAACAAGGCATAGTTATAGTATAGCCACTGATATAACATAATTCTCGTAGAGACCGAGAGGCTAGTTCTAAACTTTTAATTATAACTTAAGACAATTTAGTTACTCAATTTTGATTGAAGGAAGACCAAGGTCATTGAAATGTTTAGTATTGTCAAGTTACCTTTGGTTACTATAGAGTCATATTGCCTGCACATCTTGGGATCTTGGATGAGGTCAGTTCTATGGTATACAAATCCGGAGACCACATCGTTGTTTGCAATTGAAAATACTGTGCCATTCACAGGTATTACAACACAAATGGTAAAATTTGTTCTTTCGATCTAAAACAAAAATTCAATTTTTTGGGGTTTGTTACAAATTATATTAATGTGTATGTTTACTTCAATGAGTTTGGCAGGGGACATAATCGTATGCTTATTTAATCTTTTTGCTGCGAATAGTCTTCTGAGAGGAAGTTGATGTTTTATATGAATTGATATAGTTAATATTAGTTTTTAGATATTGATTAATATAATTTATGTTAGAGTTGATGGTTAATTTGATTCCTGCGGGCTTCTTTATTGTCAATATTTTGTATTACATTTTCTCATTACCCTTTCCCATGAATATTCGGCCTTCTCCATTTTTACTTCGTAGACTCCTTCCATTGAACTTGCTCCTCGAGGAAACACACGGCCAGATTCTATAATCCTTTTCCCAGAGGTGCCACGTTTCATTTCCTCAATGATTCCTTCTTTGGCAGCTGTCCTCTCCAAATTACTAATAGGGACGAACAATATATCGTTTTTCACTACGGATGGTCTTGGTAATGATGGATGCACAATTGTTCGACCTTTATTGTCTATCATAAATGCATATGCTTGATCACCATCACTGAAATACGTGATGTCTGTTAACAGATCCGACATTGTCATATCAACACAAGCCACGCCTTTGATAATACCTTTGTGATGTACCGGTAAACATATCGATGTTACAAGACCTAAAAATGCATACTGTTTAAAAATACAACTTTGTTAGTGCAATGGTCAAATAGAATGAACAAAAAGAATGACATGGATTCAACTAATTACAATGTCAAAGAACAGAGTCAAGAGGCCCTCTTCTGAAAGACACCTCTCTGCTGGAGCCAATGTAATACATGTCACAACTTTAGTTGCTTCAACGTTATCTAAGTGCACCCATTCGTTTTCTTTATGTGAGAGACAACACTTATTGCATCATTTGTAAATGGAAAAATATAATTACCTAAGCCTAATGCATCTACGTATGGTGTTGCAATTATTGGTGAATCATACGTAGACCTGCTGAAATACTGGTAATATGAGGACATCGTCTGTCGAAGATTTGAAGCGTCTTCCACAACAGTAAAAGTGCCTTCCTTAAAATGAAATGATATGGTAATCAACCACATGTTTTAATATACTGTAAAAACTTTTTTGTTTCTCCTTCATGCTTACATAAAATAAGGTGTTGGGAATAAATATGAGAAGATAACGTATCGAGTACATGGAATAAATGATAAATATTTATCATGGATGAAACCACTCAGCTGTTTGTATAAATCAACAATAAAATACTCACTCTAACTTTTCCATGTGTTTCATCTCTCATTGTTTGATTGGCCATTGCTGTCAAAATTTGTTGTGTGCTTTCATCCTTGGCAATTACTGAAATATATGGCTCGAAATGAACTAGCACTGGGGGGTATCGTGATGCAACAACACCGTGTTGTTGCATCAAGATGGCCAGACTTCCGGTGATAGATTTTCGTACGATATTTTGTTTTCCCAATTTAAACCCATTTCTAGGACGGGTTGCTCAATAATCATACACGTGCAGTTAGCCCATGATCTATATTTAAAAAAACTCTCATTAGTATGCATGTAGCATCATCAAGAAGCGAGAAATTCGCCGTTTTAATTCCTCACTATTGATGCAACAACACCACTCTGTCTATCATCGATGATGCAACAACACCAATGTGCTGATGCAAAAACGCCAATATAATGTATCATTGAATATCAAGCGAAACTGTTTCACGTTCTGTTTATCTCGTAGGTGTTGGTCGGGACATGAATAAAACGCGTGAGTGCGTGGTTCATGAATGAAACGTATTTTGTTTGGTTCCTTAATGTATTTGTCTTTATGTTATCAAAGTTAAAAGGATATACAAGGTAAACTAAATACATAGGCTAAGTATTGAATCCCCGGGAGCCAACCTCATTGATATTGTATCTGAAAAATAAAGATTATTCATTTTCTAAATTAAATCCCCTTGATTTACCGTATCGTATGGAAATTGTTTACAAAGAACTAATATAACTAGACTTTGGAAATTGAACAAGTTCAATTTCAGACTCCAGATTTGGACTTTTTTAAGCCGAGTCATCCAGAAAAAGATGGATGGATGGATGAAATAGGAAGGAGGGATAGGACAGAATAGGATGGAACGATAGGAGAGAATAGAGAAGAAAGATAGGATAGAATAGCAAGGAAGGATAAGATAGGAAGGATAGGAAGGAAAGGATATGAAGGAATGGAAGGAAAGGATAGGAAGGATAGATAGATAGGAAGGAAAGGATATGAAGGATAGATAGGAAGGAACGGATAGGGATAAAAGGGATAGGATAGGAAGGATAGGATAGAATAAGAAGGAACGATAGGATAGAATAGTAGGATAGGATAGGATAGGATAGGAAGGATGGATGGAAGGATGGATGGATTTTTCGACATTTTCTTGGCTACCCTTGACTTTCTATCAGGATACCATCAGATCGATTTTTCTCGAAATTTCAAAACGCCATAATTTTCGAACCGGAAGTCGGATCGTAATTTGGTTTGCAGATTCTGATTCCTGAGAAAATTCTATTCTTCATTCATAACTCAAACGTTAAATTTGGTGAATTTTTTATTTTGACCTACTTTTTGGACACCATATCTCAAAAGTGGGTTAAAATACTTTCTGACGGCAAAGGGCTAACACTATTAGTACACTCTTGGCTACATGTATACACAATTTCGAAGAATATAATTGAAGTGTAGTGTCAGAATCACAAAAATAAGGAAAACTTTTGAATTTGACCTAGATTTTGACCTAGACATTTTTGTTTCTAAATTTTGAAGCTAGATTGCTTTTGAGGTACCCTTCATTTAAAGGCTTTCATTAAATTAAGCTGTACTCGGTCGTATAATAGTATATATGTCGTATTTTACACTTCAAAAAAATATTTTTTCCCTTTGACTTAACATGGGGCACCAAATTTAGCGATTTTGAGTTTTCAAAACGCCATAACTTCCGATGAGTGTAGGTTTAATGATATTGCAGTTATATAATGCTATTATATAGAGGTTATTTACTGAGAGGGATTCAATATTGGTTTTATTCCGGGACACATTATGATATTTCCCGAGGGCCCAGGGGGAATCTGGGATTACTGTACCCCTATTAATTTACCTTTTCGGGACCTAAATCCTATTACCTACCTTTTTACTCAATCGGGGAGAACGAATCCAAAGAGAACAATACTTCTACATGTGCGCCGTGCAAGATTTCCAATAGCTCGTCGTGTTTACCGATCGAGAACGAAAGATGTTTGCCCACCATTTTGAATGATACTAACTGGTATCAGGGTCATCAAACTATGGAACAGGGGTTTATGATAATAGATTGGGTTACTATAGCTTGCAATGTTAAAGGCGATTGAACTATGTTATAAAACAACTTCCAGTACATTATGATATTTAAAAGTATACATTTTTGAAAATACATATAAAGAATCTTCGCCTGCAGGACGTGTATATTGAATGCCTGAGAAGAACGCAAATGGGTACTGGCCCGGTGTTGCAATAGTAGCATTTAAAAATCTGTTCCTCTCGAGATTTATGGTCTTCTGAAATTATACTATTAATTGGTGTTGTTGCATCATTGCTCAAATCTAGAGGAGTGTTGTTGCATCTTCGGTTTGGTGTTGTTGCATCAATAGTGAGGAACTAAAACCGTGAACTTCTTGCTTCTTGATGATGCTACATGTATACTAATGACAGTTTCTTTAAATATAGATCGTGCGCTAACTTCACGTGTATGGTTATTGAGAAACTCGTCCTAGAAATGGGTTTAAATTGGGGAAACAACATATCGTACGAAAATCTATCACCGGAAGTCTGGCCATCTTGATGCAACAACACGGTGTTGTTGCATCACGATACCCCCCAGTGAACTAGGGCTAAGTCTATGTGTTTGTTCTATACTTATTTATTGAATTGTTGTTATTATTCACCCTGGATATCAGAAAACACTTACCTGAACCAATGCCATATGTAAGTATCACAACTTTGTTTTTCAGCTTAGTGTTTCCATTCATAATTGCTTCAAAAATCGTTGTAGTGTTAGGATCTGTTGGTGTACCGTCAGTGAGGAACAGAATAACTTTATCTTAAACAAATTAAAACACGTCAGACAAGACACGTGTGCTGTTTGTGCTCCATGTATTCAATAAAAGGAACAAGCTGAATTTGTGACATAGACTTAACTAAAGGTGGGTAAACCTGGCGAAATCACAAACATGAAAATTAAAAATAAATAAAATCGTTAAATGAAAAGCGATTCGACACCAGATATAACGTGTACAACTTAACATTATCTAATTAGACAACATAAGGCCAATAGTTATTTTATTCAAATGATTTAAAATTTTCAAGTAAATAAACAAACCTCTTGCTTCATTCCCATCCAGATCAATGGAATCGAGAAGAAGATTAAAGGCAGTCTCAATTGCAGCTGTGTAATTGGTGTTTTCATCCACAGTTATTTTATCAACATTGCGTTTAAGAATTTCTTTGTTTTGTGGTATTGCGTAAGCAAGTTGTTCTTTAAAGCACGTCGGTGTACGTTCTATATCACCCATCGCTACAGATGCCTTTGTTGAGAACTCAACTATTCCTATCTTTTGAAAACAATGTTTGATATAAAACTGTATGAATATAAATATGTACAAGTGTAAGGATGATAAGTAGCCATCACTATCAACGTTAAAACTGGTATGACATTTCCAAAAGGAAAATAAATACTCACTCGATCTGAAGGGTTCAATGTGTCTAATATAGTTTTTGCGGCCTTTTTGGCCACACGAATTAAATTTGTATTTGCTAAAAGTTGAAATCGGATCATTCATTGACTTTGATTTGTCCAGCACTATCACGACATCTTTAGGTTCTGGCGTAGCTGCTTCCACATACCAAGGTCTGAAAGGCAACAATTAACAGTTTTTACAAAAACATAAACAATGTCTTAATACAAACACATAATGCAATTTTTATTTTTATTAATCAGAAAGTGTAGATCAACTTCTAAAATTTGCCATATTCCAATGATGAAAACTTTAATCTTCTAGTGATGAAGAATGAACCTTGGGCGGTTGTATACCTGAACCTGTTGTCAAAGCCATTGCAGCTTTCCCCGCTGTGTGAGGCGGGATACTGAGTAAATATACCTTGTTCTGTACCAAAGTACTGCCATCTGAGATCGCGAAGATTTCTGAAATGGCAATGAGTATTACAATTTGGAGGCTATCTATTATAGTCTATACATTACAGCCACAACAGCATAGTCCTCTCTGTATAGTTAACGAGTGACTTGTGAATCAGAATAGAGGTAATGACATTTTCATGAAGAATATCCGAAGATCCGAATTTTTTATGTGAGATTGACATTCGTTCTGGTGTTTCTGCAAAATCCACTTTCATTGTCAAAAACTTTTATCGTAATAAATAATTCAATTTCATAAAAATGAAGTATGAGTGTAGTTGTATACCTGCTGTTTTCCCGCATGACTTCAACAACTTTCGAAGTGATATGTTCCCGTGCATGATTCTCTGGGGAAAGATCTGATACTTTTACGCACACATTGGTGAGGTCCACCTTAATATAAAACAACGTTTCACAAATGAACTGTTGGATGATGGGTGTCCTATCAGAGAGGAAAACACTCACCTCGATTCACACACAATTTCAGACGAAATCTCCAATTCTTTAAAAGTTTAATTTCAGAAATATGCATTTCCTGTGAAAAGGTAATGGACCATTTGCTATACATATGGATAACTAGATCGCACCACGTGTATTGGTACGGCCAGAATACATGGAAACACATGGAAGTAACTTAATTTCTTGATTTATCAAGTATTTCCATTTGGATTAATGTAAAACTTCATTGCCATTTATCTCTTTGATCTTGTTGACATGCACATTGTGATTCAATATTAAAATTGTAATCCTTAAAAGAGTAAATGGGCTTTTAGTAAATTATGATTCTTTAACATTGTGGTACTTAAATTTTAGCCCGAGCTTTTTTAGAAAATTTGAAAATCCCTGGGAATTTGAAAAATGTTAATAATTATGAAAATCAAAGCATATTGTCGAAATAGAAAATTTACACAGAATTCAAAAATGCTATTAAAAGAAATTAATGTTTGGCTTAAATCTCCTGAAATCTCATGAAAAACGAGACTTCATTGAGATTTCGAGTGCATTGAGCAAACCTTCTACTCATCATTGACACGGAGTTTCTCCATGTAATGAATTAACAAATGGGACGTAAAAGATTCCATATACAGAAAGGATTGGTATCGGTATGGTGAACTGAATTCAACATTGTTTTTCTCTTAAATCAATTGTTGAAAACATTCTGTAAAAGACACGGTCCTCTATGAAATGGTCACTGATTGACAACAATTTAATGCGAATATAATTTACATATATTTTATTTAACTGTTTTTGTTAAAACCTCTCAATATTATAATTATTCAAAGGAAAGTTTGGTTCATTTAACAAAAAGTTGTGTATACATTTGTATTTCATTTCGTTCCAATGAGTCTCGAATAGATGTTTCATTTTATTCCGAGCATATGATACCAAGAACAAAAGAAGTGTCTGATGTGTTTTCTAAAACAATATAGAGAAAAGTATATTATATTTTTTCAAATAAATTTGTTACCATTCAAAAGAATAGCCTTGCACAAGTCGGTATTTATTTACTTATCCTGATCTTGAATTAAATAGAAATCAAGATAAGTAAAATATACCGACTTGGGCAAGGCTATCAAAATATGTCGATGTGTAGAATTTGCAGAATTCTTTTATGACTGGTTTAAGAGAAACATGTGTTCAATTCAGTTCACCATATCGATACTAACCCTTTGAATTTTATTGGACGATCTATGAGCATACCTTTAAGGAAAAATACATTGTATCTATGAGTATTGAATTTATCAGTTGTGTGTGAATCGTAGATAACGTTTTAGTCCATCTTAATTCTATTGTCTGCGATGCCGCTTACATACATGTACTTACCTCAGTTTTAAATCTGTAATCTCGAACATCTGATTTAAAGTCACAGCATTGTTCGATCCATTTATTCGACCCGAAATTTTCATAATCATCCTCGATTGCCTTCCCGAGTTGACGCACTGCGCCTATGAACTGTTCGAATTTCTTTTTCAGTGACCCTACAAGCTATTCAGAGAAAATAAAACTTACAAACCCTAAAATATTGTTAGGGGTAGAGGTCCATCGTTACTTCTCAAACACCTTAATTACATACAGGCAGATATACAGATAGCTAATCAACAAATTTAATCCACTAACCAAATAGCTACAAATATAGACATTATGAGGGAAAATCTCCGAAAACATTCCTTCTTGTGGGTTTGAAAAATAAAGATTTCGAAATTTGGCCTTGTAGAATCACAAATGCGTACCTCGGGAAGGTTTCTGGTGCTCACTGTCTTTTCAAGAAAGGTAACATCTTCGTCTAAGTATTTCTAAAATAGAGGGAAATACAATTTGCAAAATAAATGTGGTATTATATTATAAAATGTCATGTTTCATTCTAACTTTATCTAAAGTGATATTTCAAAACAAGAAGTATTATAGAATTTTGAAAGTGCCTCGAGCCTTTATGCAGACACGATGAGTTTTAGCTAAAACAATTGTCCTTAGTGCAGGGTGACAAAAAACTGGAACCCACTTAAGTCTTAATAACTTCGTCAATTATGAATGTATGTTATGTATGTATGTATATTATGTATATTGAACCTAGTTAATTGGCACATGTCGTCGCATGAGAATAACTTTGTACTATCTCACATTTCTACGGAACTGAGAAATCAAGGTTTGAAAGTTTAGAGGTCTGTATCTTACTTAGTATTGCTATGTGAAACTTGATTTTTTGTATGTCACCTGGACTCACCCTAGAGATATCTTATATGAAATATCATACCTTGAAACAATTTACAAGATCCTTTTTTAAAACTATGGAAATGGAGTTGATACAATTTCCCACCGGAATAACAGCTTATTTTTAATTTCAAATTGTCATATCTGATATCAACTGTTTCAACCAATCAACTCTCTAAGGATTGGTCATGTGACTTGCAAAACTTGGAGTTATAACAATCTTATATTAAGACAAAGTATGCCAATATGCACGTTATTGTATCTAGAATGAAAAATAATGTTTTGCTTTGTAAAAAATCTTCAAAAACCAAAGAATATTATTTAATAAAATAAAGAAAATTCAATTTATAAAACTTTAAAATCAATTTCTCAAATAAGTACATTGTACAATTATTTCTTAATTTTGGAATCTCAGGACACCCTTCAAAAAGAATTTATTGCCTTTGAAACTAAGGCAGAAGTACAATGCATTGAAACCAATGATGCCAATACGGTCCCCCACATATTTCCCTCGGTATAAACCCTGTAGCCTAAACCTCCCAGCACATTACAATGTAGCCCCTAAGGGCCGGTCCGCTGGTCATTATCAGGTTATTTTTGATACAGACCAGTTGATTTTTTCACTGGGTATAGGATTGCAACTGGTCCGTAATTCCATTTTGACCAGCAGGTTTCAGATCCTTAGGGCCTAAGACATAACCAATTTTTATTACATGCACATGGAAGAAATTTGAAAATAGAAAAATAATCTCTAATTCATTTTAGATTAATGAAAGTGATGAAACCTCGATTTAGGTAATCACATTTTGTTCATTGGGATGCAGCTATCATTATCCATTCATTTTCTGTTGTTTGCTAGTCTGTGGAGTACAATTGGGAATTGAAGCAATTGTAGAAGTGGAGACTAAGAGTGGCTCTTTGTAAAGAAATTGAACCAACTTGTTACTTTTCCAAAATAAAATGTAGATGATCTAAAAACAATGATCCCAAAAATGCAAAAGAAAGGACAAATCTGAAAAACATACTAGTAATAAAATAACTAAAAAGATCCCAGATGTTCAGTGAAAAGCGCAAAGTAAATCATAGATGAAGAGAAAATAAAATAAGTATTTTAAGGGACTATACTAACATAAAGATAACTCCTTATTGATAAAGTGTATGGTCAGTAAAAGTTAAAGCTAGTTTAAATAGATTTAGCTTTTTTTCCACAAACTATAAAACATCATTTTGAAAGAGATTTCAATAGTATACAGACAGTGATTGCCTTTGAGCAATGTAGTGCAAAATATGACAGTTACTATTTGTTTTGATTACTATATCTAGTATATAACCTATTATTATGTACTCTATTTGAAGAAACAAATATAGCGAGATCAATAGTGCAAATAAACAGGGAAATAGTTCATTCATGGAACGAAGCGTGAAACTTTCCATATATCTTCCATATACATTCATCTTTGATTTAAGAGCATGAGACATTTTTTTGGTCCACTAGAATGACCAAAATTATTACAAATGCCCCCTCCCACCAAATCCTGGGGGGTGGGGGAGAGAGAATTTATTTTTTATTTTTAAAAATGTGTTTAAATATGCTCATATTGCAGATTTAGCATGCTTCTTTCATAGTTAAGACAGATTGGCATTATAATAATATGATTTCTCATGAATTTTAACATTCTTAAAGCCTGACCGAGGTTGACACCCACTTTTCTTAAATTGAATATATTCATTTAATCAGATCTCCATTTTGGTCTAAGAAATAATTGCTATTCACCTGTCAGCTAGATAACATCAGATTCCTTTCTTAATTATGATCTTAGGTGTTGCAATTAATCTAAGAGTTATATTGCTTAAGGTTTCGGGGTAGTTATCAGAAATTTACACCAAACAGGAAATGAAAAAACCATGTGGATTTTAGAATTGTGTGAACTAAGATAACAGAGTTCTGCTTTAACCTTCTATCAGTTTTACTACTCCCATATATTATTTACATGACCAGGATCATAATGGTCATTGTCAAAATGACCCTTACCATGCTGAAATAGCTTTTTCAGCCCTCTGAATTTGTGACTGAAAAAAGCTTAAAGTTAGCACTTACGAAAGGTCACTGAACAGAATATATTGAATTTTTCAGAAAATGTCATTTTGACTATGACCATTGTGATCCTGGCAATGTAAACGATATATGGGAGTAGTACAACTGACTGAAGATCAAAGCAGAACTCCGTTATCTTCAAAAAATTCTAAAATCCACATAATTTTTTCATTTTCTGTTTGGTTAAAGCCTTATGTCATATTTTTTTTATTATTAGAAGGAATGGATGAGAACAAGATGCAAGCTTTTAAATATCCTTTAAGTCTTATAAGCAGATTCCTTCCTGAAAGTGACACACTTTAACCAGAACCAGAAGGGCCACAGAGTGACAACTTCAGTACATTCTTCTGAAGAAAGCCTATGCTACATATACATCTGTTGAGAATCTTGAGAATGGAATACCTATAGTTATAGAGTTTGATGATTGGTGTAATGCCCAACAGCATGTACCAGTTTTCAAGTTTTGGTTTCTAGTTATTGAAATTGAACTCCTCTGCCTTAACTATGTGAGGGCTATCGGAAAACTTCCCCTTTACCTCCAATTAAGCTGTAAATAGGACTGATTGAGAAAAGATTTATGACCACATGGGTTGTTTAACTGACAAATATTTAACATCAACGAGTTTGAGAATAATATATTTGATGATCGAGATGAGGACCTATGTAATCATGGACAAAGCAAAAGTATTCAACAAAAGTCCATCGAAAGAGACATCAACAGACTAGTAGACAACAAAGAAGTTGTATCATCAACTCCGATATATGAAATGGAGCAAGCTGGCCAGGATTAGTACACATTGTACATTAAAGAAAGACTGGTTGACAGAACAAACCCTTTAGCAGACACTATAAAGAGAAAAAACAACTATAAAATATTTAAAGAACAGAAAACAAAGATGAATGTAAACAAGGAAACATTAAAAAATGACTGTGCCCTTTTCTCAAAATGACAAATAAGTCTGACATTCTCAGACCATTAGAGCAGCTACCTACTGGAAATCAACAAGTTGAGTGCCCACAGGTAGAAGCATTGCTCCTTGATGGTGCAGCCATTGTGCACCTTTTGAAACTCCAACAGGCCAAACTATTCCAACAGTACTCAGATCATGTGTTCAATGAATAGAAAACTATGTTTCTTCCCAGCTAGCAAAAGTGGAACGACTAGACATTGTGTGGGATCAGTACCTGGAAAACAGTTTAAAACTATCAACCAGACAGAAAGGAGGAACAGGCAAACAACGCCTAGTGGAACCAAATTCACAATCTCAAAATATGGATAGCTTTTGGAAATGGGAAAAATTATCCAACCCACGAAATGACCCTTGGACTTAACAAGGCCACTTGTCTCCCCTTATTTCATGCCCTCACTGGTTAAGACACCACATCTGGATTCCATGGTAAATCCAAAACAACAGCATGGAAACAATGGAATGCTTATCCCGAATTTATAAACGCCCAATTTTGGCTGAAGATCCAAATAAGTTTGCCATAGTTATGTCAATCATTGAACCTTTCATTGTTATTTTATACAATACAGAAAGCAACAAAACAACTATAAATGCTGCAAGACAAGAAATGTTCATGAAGAAAACCACACAAATTGAAAACATTCCCCCAACATTAGACGCTTTAGAGCAGCATATTAAGTGTGTCATTTACCAGGCAGTATATGTATGGGGGAATGGGAATGTATGGGAATCAATCAACACCAAGACTGGAAAAATGATTTGGGTTCCAATGTTGAAGACACTACCCCAAGCCTCAGATGCTTTTAAAAATGCATTTTGAAGCAACATTGTTCAAGTAAACGCTGCAAGTGCTTTAAAGCCCATCTTCAATGTACCACCCTGCGTTTGTGTAATGGGGAATGTGAACATTAATTGATAATGGCATATATAATACTTGAGTGCATACAGGTACTTAATAAGGTAACTGATCAACTAGTCAGAGAATGCTTTCATTAAAACCTAACAGAATCAATTTATATTTGTGATTAACACATATTATATCTTAATCACTAAAACTGGGCGTGGCCAATAATAAGCCTTTAACAATAGAATTGTCTTTCTTATAGCATATATTATATAAATATCATTAACTGATTTATCCTTATCCATTTTGTTCAGCTAGACTAGGTTACTTTCTTATTCAAAATCAGAAGATTCACTAACTCGCATACTTAACTTGTTGATAATATGGGCGTCGCCCCCAGTCAGACTTTAACAATGGATATACATGAGAAATGCTTATGTAATCTTAGTTATTATTTTGAGCATACTAAAAGCATACTAAAACTGCAATATGAGTATATTCAAACATATTTTTAAAAAGAAAAAAAAATCGCTCACCCCCACCCCCAGGATTTGGTGGGGGGAGGGGATAACTGTAATTTTTTATCGTTCTAGTGGACCAAAAAATGTCTCATGCTCTTAAATCAAAGATACATGTATACTGATCATATGTGGAAAGTTTCAAGCTTCGTTCCAAGAATGAACTATTTTGACACTATTTATCTCGCTAATAAGCAGTCTTTCATTTTCAACATTTAATGATGACAGCTTCGTATATGCATTTCTATTGCATTTGGCCATTCAAACCCCTATAAGACCTGGTAGCAGGGAAGATAAAGGGTACTTTTGACTGCTCACATGATCTAATTAACTGGTCATTTGTACTTTTCATCTTCCCTGGTAGCAAGGATTTAGGTTTTCGAGGAAATTAGTAATTCTATTTCATATCATGTGGCCATGAATAATCCAATGAGCATCCATAATACAAAGAGTAATTGAGGGCATATAATTTGAATATGCATGGGATTACACATACTGTATCATTTTATTTTTTTGATCTACTTGTAATAGTTCTAAAACTAAAACATGAAAGGCCAGGCATGCAAACTGGCATGGTATTGTGTTACAAAACATTATTTCATTCTAGATACAATAACATGCATATTGGCATACTTCGTTTTGATATAAGATTGTTATAACTCCAAGTTTTGCAAGTCACATGACCAATTCTTAGAGAGTTGATTGGTTTAAACAGTTGATATCAGATATGACAATTTGAAATTAGAAATAAGCTGTTTGTCTGGAGATGGTACAATTTCACACTGAATTATAGCTTAATGAGATGGGGCATGTATCTGAGATGAAAGCCTGTGTTTCAAATAGTAAAATTCCATGTCTATCTCAATTTTTTTGAAAATGGCAGTTAGTACAAAGTTATTCTCACGTGACGATGTATAGTCAACTGAATGTATGACAAGATGTCAAAGTTTGAGCATTCTAGCTAAATTAGTCTCCAAATGAGGCACGTTTAGTTATTGTGCTCCAAATGTGCACCATGACGTTGGGTGCAGAGCTGTATTCTTCTTGCAAAATTGTCAATGACCCGACTGCATTCATCTCTGTCTATCTCTCTAATTAGTCTTCCAATGTTGAGTTTGAGGTCATCAATGGTCAGTGATCTATCTGTATACACATTATCCTTGAGACACCCCCACGGATAAAAATCTGGGGGGTTCAAATCAGGGGTGTGGGGGGGCTACAAGTTTTGTTCTCTTGCTTTTTTTCTTAATGAAACTTTCACACAATAAGGAACATAAAACATATGTCATTTAGATTATACCGATATATGTAGATAATGAATTAGTAGCCCATATACACTACTCGGTCCTTTAAAATTTATAAGTTATCATAACCTTATACCTGCATAAAGTCAAATTCTGAGGTTACTTTCTCCAGATCTGATGTAAATTCTTTTGCATTTAATATTGCAGAATTTACACCTGTGTTCCTTTCACGTAGTAGGCTCGTGAGAATCAAAACGATAGCGAAACTAAAAACGCTATCCATTGTATCCTAAAATATAAAGACTAATTGTTATAAACATATTATGAATTGTTAAACCTGGGACTAACAAACATCCTGGTAGAAAGAAAATGTCTCAGCGAATATATGTCAAAAGGAAGCAAAGTTGAAATGCGATAATTTTTCAGTCTAAAATAAATTTACTTTTTCTTTTTAGAGGCAGATATTGCGCCTTTTCACCCTAACTACATCGTCTATCCATACTATCATTTTGAGTGCGTTAATAAGTTATTTATTATGACCTGATTTTTTGAATGAAAGATGGATAAAGTATTTCAAGAATGTAGACTACATTGGGCTCTTAAAAGGGGGGTTATCATTGCTTCCAAAGTCTGTGAATTTTGATCCATAAACATGCATTTAAATATATGCCATATCCAAATGAATATTTTTTGTTAGAAGCATGAATCTATCAAATCAATGAAAAACATCCAAGGTCAAAACACGTTTTACAAATGTCACAATGTTCAATATACTGACCATCAATATGCTGTATTTTATATATTTATAAATTACTATAATATGTATTTCATTGGGATCGGCGACCGGGGCCAGCTATACTGCTTAGCATTGTGTATCGCATAACTGTAATATTTAGACGGTCCGACTCCGGTCGTCTGTTTGAAGTATGATTCAATAAAATACATTGGTGGCTTGGTAATCCGATAATTTTACATAAACTTTATAGATAGTTTCATGCATTTAATTCAATTATACCGTTCATAGTCACTCTACTATACCCAACGCTTAGAAATGCATAAGATATTCTGTTTGTCTAATTGTACCTTATTAACCTTATTAACATCTAACAGTCCTCCGATAAACCATTCATAAGGAACATACACATAAAAAACAAATTACATAATCATTACATAAGCCAAATGGGTTGCTCATGAACACCAAATGCAAGGTATAGTAGAATGATAGTTCATATTCAGAACGGTAGTGTAAAATAACATTTATATTTGTAATAAATACTTTAGCTTACCTTTTAATTGTATTACTGTGATTTCTGATCTAGTCGTGTTTAATACTTAGATAAACTCCGCTACGTCTACGTATCCAGGTCATCTAGCTTTTAGGCGGTTTTGGGAATACCTAATGAAATTTAAAAGGCCCCGTGTAAAGTTAAAAAATATCTTTTATCACTCAAATATTTCAACACTCTTTTAGAATATCTAGCGTTTCGATACTTTTAAACTATATTTATAACCTTGTAAATAGTACTTGGCTCAGTTTTTTTAAAACTACTAAACATAGATATTAAATTTTAATATCGGCTACACATCCCCTGACGTCAAATGAACTTAATTTCATTGAGTTGACATTTTGCTTAGCTCATTTTATTGAATAGTATGAATAGAAAAAATGCAAATCAAATGGCTTTGCAGTTACATTATATTAAGCCTATATATAACCAGGAAGTAAATAACTTAGTTGGCTCCCGGATTTGGCTATGAATGGGAGAAAATGCTACCTTTGAAAAGTAAGTCGTAAGTGTGTTTCGTATTTTGGTAACAATTAATCACATTCTATATACGTTTCACGATACATTTATATAACTTGTTTTGCATGGATTGCAAGTTCCCGTTTAGGTTAAAAACATACATGCATCTCGATTAAAGGTTTGTTTGTAGAGCCGGGTAACACCATGCGCGCCTACGGACAATTAAATATTGGATGTTCCTAGGTTAAAGGAGAAAAATGAATAAATTCTCACTTTTTACTTTTTTATCATTATTCCATTTCGTGCCTCTTTTTATATGTAACAGCAGTCTAACAGCTTTGAGGGGCATGGGGTTTAGGATGAATATCAATGGAACAGCAAAAGTAATAGAATTGTTATTTTCACAAAGCGGGTCAATGTAGAAAAAGGAAATATCTAACAGTACACCGGCCATAAGGAAAAAACCAAACTATATCTTAAATCATAATCAAAACGTGGATAGAAACAGTGTCTTATACCCATACCCCACCATTCAAGCCCACCCAAGTACAAATATCACACTCTGACACCATAACACCGAGGAACATTTCACTCATACTGAAGTCATCACAATTCATGTTGAAGAATAGAAGAATCGATAACCAAAACTCATAACATCAAAAAAAGTTAAAGATATTTTGAAGTCTTTCGGCCATTTTCGGAAAATTTGGTTTCCAGTGCATTTTGTCTTTTGCACTGTGTAACAAGAAATTTAAGACTGTCATATTTAAAACTCTGAAATTTCTTATGTTGCAAAGGTTCAAACAAATAAAACTGCCCTTCATTTTTGGATTGTTCAACTTGTAATGCTGAGATTTGTATGAATCAGAGCAATCCCCGGGATTACTGTCTGATATGTTACGTTTCGCCCAGGACATACATCCTGGTACCTACAGTAAGTTGGAATAAACGCCATTATTAATTGAACTCAAAGTTATGTTCTGATGTCAATTTGACTAAAGAAGAACAGTTAACACAACTGCTCCGTGGGATTTGGATCTTTTCACAAATGATAGGTAAAGTATGGACTCTCTGACATGCTAGCTATAACCATTTGCGAGATATGTGTGATTCCAATCCAATTACATTTTAATCGAAACATAACTTAATACCTCTTTGGACAGTAAAAATCATTTTTACTAAAAGATATATTAATAAAGGTATTTTTGATCGACCTTTTGAATATTGCCACATTTAACCACAATTATAGTGTCTACTCGATTACAACTCAGCATGTTGATTAGTGTCATTATTATACTCAACCTACGAAAACTTTAAATAGAGATACTTAAAACTCTTAATTCATCTAGGCTATCTAAGAACGTTTTGATTGACAATGTGTCATCCTTTCCAACCTATCATAATTGAGAAAAAACTCGGGATGACGAAATGAAGTCAATTTCAGCCTTGAAGTTTACAATTTTTCATTACAGCTAAACAAATTCTGGCAATCTCAACCCTCCTCTCCACATTGGACTACGTGGCTTCAACACGTAGTCCATGTGAAGAGGACGATTGGAATTGCCAGAATTTCGAAGGAGAGTGTACAAGTCATTTAAAGTCCAAGGAGGTCTCAAAGTAATCTATTTTGTTGATTCATAGGTTAATGAGGTGTATAAATATGTGATAATAAGGATTGTATAAGAATAATAGTAAGATAACAGGAACTCGCTGTTTAAACATGAAGAATTATTTTATTATTGTTGTAGACTATTTTATAAGCATTTTGATACAACCATAAAATGTATATTTTTGTATTTGTATTGCATTGCATATTTGTTTATCTCTAATCAATAGAGCTACAATAATAAACTTACATACGTCAATAGTATATTACTCTACATATAAAGAACCGTTGTTAATTGCATTTGTTCATTAATTAAGTATGTTTGTATATACACATTTATATATTAAGAAAATACAATAAAGCTTTGATACCTGAAATAGAATGTAATTGGTGTGCTATAACAATGTGTAGTGTTTGAAACACAAACAGAGAGAAGATTCCAAACCCCCAAATTGTTGATCGAAGAATGTTATTATAATGTTCACTTTTCATCTTCAACAAATGGTTTTTGGAATCAATACCTGAGTTTCATGAGGCTTAAAGCATTGTGAATGTTTATCAAACTGATCTTACATTAATATATTACTACAATGGTACATATATCAGCTGCCATTCATGTATACATATATAATATTTATAGGATATCCTATGATTTTGAGGAATATCATTTTTATCTACGAGGTGATATTGATATCTGCACGAGAGAGCGAAGCGAACGAGTGCATATATCAATATCACCGAGTAGATTAAAATGATATTCTGAAAAAAATCATAGGATGTTCTTATTATCCTACACTTACAAGGAGTGTACTGAATGTATAATATCAATGTAAAATGAATTTCATGCCAAATAGAGTCAATTTGGCGGGAAATCAACAAGCGGAGTATATCGTCACAATATCCTTCGCATATTGGGTTTTCCGGAGTATATCGTCACGATATCCTCCGCCCGGAGTATATCGTTACGATATCCTCCGGATATTCATTTTGCCAATAAATATCAAATTTATTTTTTCATGTTATTATACATTTAGTACACTAAGTGTAGGATAATATATAATAATTGTAAATGATTATATCAGCAAATAATGTGCAATATCATCAATGAACATCCGTACAATAAACAATGATTGTACAATAAGCAATGATTGTACACTTTAAGTAATGAATATGCAATATCGGAAAATAATGGAGAATATAAGCAATTAACGTATGTACAATATTTGCAATGAATGCGCAATATGATCAACGAATATACAATATCACCAAGGCAATATGAGTGTCGAATGCGAGAGAACTGAATCAAAATCATATTTGTTATTTCAATAGGAGAGATGGTAAATTGACTAAAATTTTTTGCTTCCCAATGATTATAATTGGAAATAAATAAATTTTTATTTTTCATAAGAAACTAGAATAAGCCCACGATGGTAAAATATGGTAGGCCATTGAATCTTTTGACAAATACATATTAGATTTTATTTAGCCCATTGCTAAAAACCGAAATCGCGCTGAAATATAAAGGACGATTCTCGGTTTGGAGAACGAAGTTCATCAATCTAAATGAGCATTATCCCTGCTTCGGGATTTCATTTTTTTACATAATATAGATTTGAATGTCTTCTTTTGAATAGTCATAATTTAATTTGGGTAATATTTCGCAAAAAAATATAAGCGCAGTACACTTCTTTCCCCAAATCGAGACTTGTATTTTATTGAATTGGTCTAATTGAGCGTTACCCCTGCTTCAGACCAATTTGTTATTTTTACATCTTGTAGATTTAAATGTCCTCTTTTGAATATTCATAGTTTAATTTGGGTAATATTTCTATATTTTTCATGAAAAAAATTATTAGCCCAGGAGACTGTTCTCCAAACCGAGAATCGTCCTTTACAAATATATTTTGTTATATATTTGTAAAGTTTATTCATCAGAATGAAAGTATTTTACATTTTCATTTCTATCCAAACATGTCCATTACAAGTTTTATGAACAATTGGCTGAAAGTAAATAAAAGTATTGGACGGTACAACCTTCTCCTACACTTTATATCTTGTTTTTTTTTAATTTTTATAGTATTTTTCGATTTTTTTCAACGTTACATTAACCCTATTTACACTATAGCCTACAAAGTATTTCAAGACGTTTTCGCTAAGAGCTCTTCTAAAATCAGGCGAATTTACATTATTCTTTTCAAGAAGTCTTACAAAATATGTTCGAGTTTACATTTTCCAAGACGTCTTAATGGAGGTAGATCTCAATAAAAAGGAGAAAGGGCATCAGTTTGGGCAGTTCAGCACTAGCTGAAGGCAATGACGATCCCGTTTACAATTTAAAAATACATCCGGATCAAGGAAATATATTCTTAAAAAGCGTTAGGAAAAACAGAAAACACGTGGAACCGAGTAAGAGCTCTTAGTTGAAACCGATGGATTTACACTTGCAATGTTATGAGTAGAGTCTCAAAACGTTTTTGTTGAGATGTCTTAGTCAAGACGTCTTGAAAAACTGAATTTACATTACTATCTTAAGACGTCTAAAAAAATTTACGTAAGAGCTCTTAAAAGTGTATTGTAAATCCAGCTAGTTATATGTACAGCGTTGCTCAAGTTTATATGTGGAATACTGATCACTACAGAAAAATAACTTAAATTGTTCCTGACTGAATTTTCAATGTAAAATATTCGAAGCGCATTGCCAAATTTCACAGCAATTTTGATCAATATTCCAAAATTATGAGTAACGATGCATGTTTGCACAATTACATTAATTCACAATTACATTAATTTTAATTTACTATAATAAACTAGCTCTACACATAATACTGATCGATTTAACAGTTAAAGAGATGCTAAGGTAAATTAACCAATACATATTAAAACTCAACCAATATATCAGTCTTAAATTGAAATGGAATATACATCCGGGCTCTTTAAAAATAGGCAATATTTCAACTATTTTGGCAATGTACAAAAACGGTTTATTTTGAATTTAAAACATTGACATGTTTGTCATATAAACCTATGAATAACCATCTCACTGTTGCAGTTAAATGGTCGTAAAGTAGATTAATGCTTTAGTGTTTCAAATGTCGGTCAAAAAATTGTAACCTTAACATCTCGTCATGACTATAACCGATTATCAAAATACAACAATGTCAGTATGGTGTACATACTACAGTACGCGAACGTCAGATAACACACTATATATAACAGATTTCAATGACGATTTCATTGATTAGAAATGTTGTAATTTTGTATATTTACCTTAATATGCTTAATATGGTGTATTAATTTATTTTTTGGGTTATAAAATCAAAAATAGGTAGGTCTATAGTATGTCAATATCTTTTGGATTCGTACCCAAAAAATCTAAATCTAAACGAATGTCATTGATATCTAAGAACAGTTTGTGAATGATGTAGTTTTTTTATTGTACAATCATTTTTTTAATAAAAATAATGAACAAATGTCCCTGACAAATTCTGAAAATACTTCAAGCGTGTATCTTATTCTCTTCACCATATAGTACATGTACTTGTACAGGGCGTCCAGTTAATTTTGCTATAACTTTTCTTGTTTTTTTCTTCATGGAACTTCGTCAAAGTTTTATCGGAAACTTTGTCAATACTAAGTTCATTGTCAGGTAAGTTTAATAGAATAAGGTCAGATATATATGTTCCTTATGTTTTGAAAGTTTTAGGAAGAAAAAGGCAAGACAACAGAAGTTAACATAATCGTACGCCCTGTATATGTCATAAACACAAAAATCGTGTAGCAAAAACTATTTGGACCATAAAGTTATACGATGTGAACATAGAAAAAATACTTTTTATACATGTGAGAGTCCATTCTATAATATTTATAAACAAATACAATATGTTCTGTAATAAACTACATAAACGTGATCAACTAACATTCAACTAAATGACAATAGTGTTATACATGTAATGCATGTGTACATTAGAAATAGGAAACAGAAAAATATATATCGAAAGGCATGGTAATTTCTACTTTCAATGGCTTTCAATCGAATAAACCAAAAATATTTTTAAAAGAAATGAATTATCTGGAATTGAAAAGATCATATTTTAGTATTTTAGAATAACATTATATTCTAGTCGAAATGGATCGTCCATTACTTAGCCAAGATTATAGTGGACAAATTAAGATATTTGATTGCAACAGTGAAACATCAAAGCAAAAGTATCCCTACCATATGGACCTATATTTAATGGTCAAATAGGACCAAAAAGGACCTTAATAATGACGAGATAATTCGTCTCACAAACAGTGATATGACAAAAGAACGTAATAACAATATGTCTAACAAATCACAAATTAATACGATTCATACGTCTAGAATTAAGTGAATACAAAAATACGTGTATATATTTTGATTTCTTAATCAATGCGCCTGATAGCACAACTGCAACCATTTTCTACAACTATCCAATCGTGTTTCCATGCATGATCGGGTGATAGTCTGGAAACAACTTGCACCCAGCCATTTTTCTGTTGACATTGTGTTTCTACGCCGTAACCTGCAAATAAGGTCAGGGATAGATTAATACAGTATAACATTTACTTTTATTGTCAAGTCATGTAAGGTTTTGAATATGGAGTTTAAAACAACTGACGAATGCTCGAAAGGAGCAGGATAATGTAATGAGAAGGGTTATGTTGTAAAGTTTTTGATACAGGGTTTATCCTGAATGAAATGTAAATCACAATGATATCATCTTTATATCATCTAAATCTGATGATACAACCATTGTAGTGAAATTCTAATTGTTTAAAGAATATTGCGGTGAACTATAAACATGATAATTATATAAAAAATATGTATCTCATTTTAATTTGTTCTTCTATTTCTTCCGGATCCGTATTAAGGAGGGCATATTTTAAATCAGACTATAGTGTCTGGATTTGCAATCATTTAGATGAAAGAAATAGGAAATTCTTACCATAACTGTGGCATTTCGAATTTTCTTTAACACATTTACTCGTCCACACAAATGTATTCGGCAGGACCTCCACCGTTTCCATATCCATATTTATACCAGTCGTTACTCTTTCGAACTGAGATTTGGATTTGCAAGCATCGACAAACATTTTAGTGTCTTTATGTTGCCATTTCCTAGCCTTCTTAGATGATTTGTTTTTTCGCTTCTTGGTTTTTATATGGTGTTGATTTTTAAATGTTTTTTGGCTTGATAGTAAAGTGTCCATGAGGTTGTTTTCTTTTAGTATTGTATTGTCTTGATTCTGGAATAATGACAAAACATGATAAAATGGGTAACTATGGCAATATCATAAACTAGTAGCCTAGATTTAATCATCGATGCCACATGAAACTTATGAATAAATTTATAAATGTAAATTTACTAAATGTAATAAGTTTTCCTGGAATAATGTAGGAACTTTTTCAAAAATGGTTACAAGAAATGATACGAGCCCAATGTTTTAAGACAACTGTTCTGCCTTACCACTGCCATTCTACTACATCATTTCAATGGAAATTCAAATTCAAAGTACCTTGGAGATTCAAGAGTGTGACGTCGTTGACTTTATAAATGTGATGTCATATGATTCCAAGAATTTCATATTGACCTTGGATATGGATAATAGCAATGGAAGAACATTAAAACCAAAACTAAGGTTTGTTGTGGCGACCGGGAAAGTTTCGGAATGGGAAACATCGTTGACAAGAGTACTGGCAAGAAGGGAAGGGGAGGCACATCGACGAAAATCGGAAGTCAAATAGATTCCCTTTTAAAGCGATTGAGTGACAGTGGTTTGGATGTTAATCAGGAAAATGGAAAACCGGCTGCAAATGTGATTCAAAGAACAGAGGGAAATATTGGCACATTAACTCCAATTGGTGATTCGTTTTGCGCAGTAACACACCGTTCCTCCCAAGAGATAAGGTCAGCGCCAAGACTACGGAGATGGTGTTCCGTAACACCTAGTACACACACGATCTTGGAATCATCAGAAGAGGGAATGGAGGAAACTATAGAGGAAATAACATCTGATACAGAATTAACGTCCGAGATTGTCACCGGAAGTACCATGATCATGTCACCATCCGACTACCAACGAAGAATAAAATTGTAGCCACAAATCAAACTACCAACTTATGCTCACTTGTAAATCAAAATCGAATACTGGGATGTCTAGCCATAGATAGTAGATAAGAGGCAACGTTAGGAATTGAACAAACTAAAAACTTACATCGTCTAGCAGGGCAAGCATGTAGTTTCTAAAGCGGGAGAAGTGACGAATACTGTGTCCCATTGATTGTTCTTTACCACCCTTCCTTGATGTCTATAAAATAAAGAAATACAATTTTTACATTCTCTGTGACATGGTTTCTTACATAGTGATAAACACGTAACGACAACTACATTCCCCTTCCATGCACATCTCCAAGATTACAAGGGTTACTTAGTGTCAGTCATCCGAAAGGATGCAAAACATCACCTATAAGGAACTTTTGCGCATCTTTCAAAATTATGACAGTATGAACATGTTTAATATTAATATTTAAAAGATTACAACCAGAATATTGATACAATTAGTAACTCATTTAAAATTCCCGGACTTATCCCAAACTTTTCTCTCGGAATTAAAAAAAAAATTGGCGCTCATAGGAATGAACTATTTTATTATAAATTATCAAGACGCTTACCTCTGGTTCACTTGTCATGGTTGGTGCGCTGATTACAATTGTTGCTACTGCACATACGATGCTAAAAAGCATATCTATTGCACGCAAATCCATATTAATTGTTTGTTGTTTTCATATCAGTTACCCCACCTGAAAAACAAAATTTTAAATCCTTAAATACGAATCAAGCAAGTATGGATTAATTGAACATTGATAACACATTTTTATTTTCAGTTTTTTATTTAATCAAATGCCTTCTTTTTTTCGACAGTACACTGTAAAATTGCATGCATAGTTAAAAATAGTGTTCCAACCAATGCGTCTTCTTAGAAATACGTTATGCAGTTGACTGATAAAATACAGTTAATATATTTAACACTATCACCAATCAATAAAATAAAGACAATACTATAAACTAAATGTATTTCATGGCATAAATTCAGTAGCTTACCTCTTTAGTCACTTAGTTTGAATTGAATGCAGATCTGAATCTTTTCATTTTATATCACCTCTGTAACCAATCCAGAGTTCTCGAGGATGAGTCAATGTCAGTGAGTAACTGTTTCTTGTGTAAAAAATCTTTGCAGGACTTAATAACATGATTGGTGTCGATGGGAGCCATGTCTCGTATAGAGGGCAGTTTACTAGTTTTGTCTAGTGGGTTGTTCTTCACATCTGTCCCATTGGTTTGTATGTGTAAATATTGCTGTTAATATTGCTGTAAATATTTCTGTCTTAAAACGTCGCATACACTAAAATATTCTTCAGATGCTGTCCGACTGTCGAAAATCCATTTATTTTTTCAATCGGCCGTATTCTTAAGTTTTTCGCCCATATACAGGGTGACCGGAAAAAAAGGAGACCATTGAAGTAATCAATTTCTCCTAAACTAGACAAGTGCCATCAATGAAATTTTGCATACACTGGAACAGTTATATGGAAATTTGTTACTGAAGGTTTCAATACAAGCATTCAACTGGTTCAGGAGTACTATGATCATTTACATAACATGCTCCAAATAGGCACAATTGAGACCAACGCAGAGTTGGATTCATATGGCAAACTACCCTTACATGTTCTGCCCTCTATGGCATTATTATGGCATTACATATAGCAGTGATTGCCTTCTTTAGGTCAACAATAGTCTGAGGATTGTTTTGGTATAGATTGTCTTTCAAATATCCATACAAAAAGAAATCAGCAGGATTCAAGTCTAGGCTGTAATGGCAATGAAGGGTTATCTGACATGTGGTTCATCATCCTGTTGCCAAAGTGCTGATTTACCCAATCTTAAGAGTCACTTTAGGTATTGGGCATAGTGCCATGTTACTAAAACCACTATATGGCACAATTAAATCCCATATGGAAACCAAGGGCTGCCCAAAACCTCCTTAGGATGATACTGTAACTGAGTGGGACCACTGAGTCAGAAGCCATAGGTCAGATAAGCTTCGTCTCCATACACCTCAAATTTGAATCCACCTGATTTCTTTTTGTGGGGCAATTTGAAAGACAATATGTACCAAAACAATCCTGAGACAATTGCTGACCTAAAGGTGGCAATAAATGCTAAATGTAATGCCATAACAAGGTCGGAATATGTAAGGGTATTTGCCAAATGTATCCAGCTCTGCGTTGGTCTCAATTGCGCCTATTTGGAGCATGTTATGTAAATGATCATAGCTCCTGAACCAGTTGACTGCTTGTATTGACACTTTCAGGAACAAATTTCCATAGAACTGTCCTGATGTATGCAAAATTTCATTGATGTCACTAGTCTATTTTAGGAGATATTGCCTATTTCAATGGTCTCCTTTTTTTCCGGTCACCCTGTATAATAAATTTAGCCGATGACTTATCTACACCTCCTTCCTTTCGTCAGAGAGCTGAGTAGAATCATGTCCAATAACATTTCCTTCTGATTCATCCTCTAAATTTCAAAATGGTGGATGATTCTAAAAAACTTCATGACATGACAAGTCATTATAGTTTGTAAACGTGACCATCATACTTAAGATAATGTTAATTACATTTATTGCATTGGGCGAAATTACAATTGTTTAGAATAGTTTGTAAACTGGATTATCACATTTGAATCTGTTTATTTACAATTTTGGATATTTAGATTTGAAATCTTTCTAAAAATTGATTTTTTGACTGTCGGACAGAAGCTGAAAAATATTTTAAATCAAATCAAATCAATATCATATTTTCTCATCATAATCATTTATTTACATGATGTAAGTTTCATTATCCTATAGCTATGCCAAGTAGAGTTTTAGGGAGATAAGTTGGTAAGATATATCCCGTATCCTGATTTTGAGGTTTTTTTTGAAAAAATAAGAAAAAAAAGAAAAAATGTGAATAATTGAAAAAAATAAGAAAATTAAAAAAAGAAAAAATAGAAAAAAAATTTGAAAAAATTGAAAAAAACGACATATAATATCAAGGTATCATCATCTGCCCTATTCTGCCCGTATATAGTTATAAAATACAAAAAATGCGATGCAAAGATAATCAAGGTCATGTGTATGGTTTATCAAGTTCATAATTTTTTGAAATAAATATATATATAGTATATTCAAACTACGCTCCATATAAACGGCATAAGCAGCTTATCGTCGACGACAATGCTCAAAAATGTGACGTATACTTCACGAGATATGACATCGTATTGTGTCAACAGAACCAAGGATTTGTTGTGTTAACAATAGCAGAGAGATAAATAACTAGACTTTGGAAATTGAACGAAGTTCAATTTCAGACTCCAGATCTAGACTTTTTTTGGCCGAGTCATCCAGAATAAGCCGAGTCATCCAAAATAAGCTGAGTCATCCAGAAAAAGATGGATGGATGAAAAAGGAAGGAAGGATAGGCTAGAATAGGAAGGAACGATAGGATAGAATAGGAAAGAATGATAGAATAGAATATGAAGAAGGAATAGAATAGGAAGGATAGGAAGGAGAGGATACGAAGGAAAGGTAGATAAGAAGGATACGATAGGATCACAAAGGAAGGATGGATGCATTTTCAATATTTTCTTCTCTACTCTTGACTTTCTATCAGGATACCATCAGATCGATTTTTCTCGAAATTTCAATGCCATAACTTTCGAATCGGAAGTTGGATTGAAATTTGGTTTGCAGATTCGGATTCCTGAGAAAATTCTACCCTTAATGCATAACTCATATGTTAAATTTGGAGAACTTTTGATTTTGACCTACTTTTCGGACACCATATCTCAAAAGTGGGTAGAAATACTTTCTGACGGCAAAATGCTAACACTATTAGCACACTTTTTCCTACCTTTATATAAAATTTTGAAGCAAATCATTTAAACATAGTGTCAGAATCGCAAAAATAAGGAAAAACTATGAATTTGACCTAGATTTTGACCTGGGGATTTTGGTGTCCATATTTTGAAGTTAGGTAGCCTTCGAGGTCCCCTTCTTTCATAGGCTTTCATTATTTTAAGCTGTACTTAGTCTATATCTCGAATTTTACACTTCAAAAAAATCTTTTTTCCCATTGACATAACATGGGGCACCAAATTTAGCGATTTTTGAGCTTTCAAAATGTCATATCTTCCAAACAGGAAGTCGGATCGAAATTTGATTTGCAGATCCGGATTCCTAAGAAAATTCTATACTTAATTCATAACTCAAACGTTAAGTTTGGAGAATTTTTTATTTTGACCTACTTTTCGGACACCATATCTCAAAAGTGGGGCAAAATACTTTCTGACGGCAAAAGGCTAACACTATTAGCACACTCTTGGCTACATGTATACAAAATCTCGAAGAATATAATTAATCTGTAGTGTCAGAATCGCAAAAATAAGGAAAAACTTTGAATTTGACCTAGATTTTGACCTAGGCATTTTGGTGTCCAAATTTTTATGAAAAGAAGGTTTTTAGGTCCCTTTCTTTTATGGGCTTCCATTATGTTTAGCTGTGCTTAGTCTGTATCTCGTATTTTACACTTCAAAAAAATATTTTTTCCCATTGAATTAACATGGGGCACCAAATTTAGCGATTTTTGAATTTTCAAAACGCCATAACTTCTGAACCGGTAGTCAGAACAAAATTTGGTTTTCAGATTCGGAATCCTGAGAAAATTTTCTATAAGACTGATATCCTGGACATTGGATTCGGAGAATTTTTTTTTGGACCTCGTTTTCGGACACTGATATCTCGAAATCGGTTTGAGATACCAAAAAACTAAATCGACCCTAGATTTTCTCCTTTTTTATGAGGAACACAATGAAAAAAACCCGGATCAAAAATATTGAAGGACGACCGAGAAAATCAAAAAAAGTGACAAAGTACTGGATTTGACCTAGTTCTCGACCTTTGACCTAGATAAAAATTTGACCCAATTTCCCACCAACTAGATACTGATCCTAAATGAACTGTATAATGGTCTTTACTGGATACCTTATAGTTATTGAAAAAACTCTTAAAGAAAAATAACTAGATTTTGGAAATTGAACGAGTTCAATTTCAGACTCCAGATCTAGACTTTTTTTAGCCGAGTCATCCAGAATAAGCCAAGTCATCCAAAATGAACTAAGTCATCAAGAAAAAGAAGGATGGATGGATGAAAAGGAAGGAAGGATAGGATAGAATAGGAAGGAACGATAGGATAGAATAGGAAAGAAGGATAGAATAGAATAGGAAGAAGGGATAGAATAGGAAGGAGAGGAAACGAAGCAAGGGTAGATAGGAAGGATAGGATAGGATCAGAAAGGAAGGATGGATGCATTTTTCAATATTTTCTTCTCTACTCTTGACTTTCTATCAGGATACCATCAGATCGATTTTTCTTGAAATTTCAAGACGCCATAACTTCCGAACCGGAAGTCGGATCGAAATTTGATTTGTAGATTCAGATTCCTGACAAAAATTTCCCCCTAATTCATAACTCATACCTTAAATTTGGCGAATTTTTATTTTGACCTACTTATCGGACACGCCATAACTTAGGAACCGGAAGTCGGATTGAAATTTGGTTTGCAGATTCGGATTTCTGAGAAAATTCTACTCTTAATTCATAACTCAAACGTTAAATTTGGAGAACTTTTTATTTTGACCTACTTTTCGGACACCATATCT